ACAGATTTTTCAACCACACATCAGGACCTCAATTATGAGGCTGGCTTGGGCACACTGTGCAGGAAAGGAGCCTCCGGCGAGAGCTCAGCCATGCTACTATATGTAGCTGTGTATAGGGCCACATCTGACAAAAAAAGATCTGTGGCCCCAATCAAAGATAACTTTTTCAATGGCCTCCAAGGAAATTGAGTTTGACACCCCTGCTTTAAATGACAAACACTTATTGAATTTGTTATAGTGCCTGGAGTTCCTAGTACTGACCTCCATGAAAAGCCTTTGTACATTAAAAACATCTAGGCCAGGGTACTCAATGTACACATATTCCTGACACCATAAAAACTGAGGTCTCCAAACAGTTTCTAAGTCCTTAAAGGGCAGTCCACCTGCACCCTTAGTGCCCAAAAGTAGCGGGCAAAACAAAGTACCCCCCAACCTGCAAAGTATGGTCCAGGCTATGGCATGATCAGATCCATTCTATGTCTAGAGTATCAGATGACTGATTAGACATGTCATGTCTGTCATAGGGTGCAGAGGCTGCACTTAGTGAGGTAGGCTGCAGCACGAGGTAAGATCCACCCACCCAGGTAGGTAATATCCAGATTGCTAAGTAAACAAGGATACTTCAGTTTACTGAAGATTCTGGGACAGGCACATTAAAAAGCAGAATTGATCAGAGTGACGCGGTTACCATTGTGGTATATGTAACGCTACTTCTATTGTAAGAAGAATTATTTAAAGGGACACTCCGAGCACATAACTTCGTCTAAATGAAGCGGTTATGGTGCTAGTAGGCCACCGAGCGCACTTACCTTCAGTGATTGAACCATTCTCGAATGGTTTAACACGAAAGTGAGCCTTCAGTGCCGATCTCAACTTCCCCAGGTGACATCCTGCTTTTGAAATCTGTGTCCAGAAGCAAGAAGTGCTGCCTGGCAGGGGCGCCAGTGTGAGAACAGTCAGTGACACCCCATTCACAAAAATGGGCCTGAAGAAACTTACCCCTTTTCAAGACCGTTTTGTGAATGGGGAGTCACGGATTGGCTTAAAACAGCATTTCCCAATTGGTGTTCCACCAATATTTTAGTAAGAGTCGCGAGAGAGAGCGCAGCAGGGAGATCACTGTTGCCTCACCGCCAGCCGCTCAGCAGCCCCACTTGACCCCAGGGACCGCTCACCAGCAGCCCCACTGGACCACAGGGACTCCATGCAAACAGCCCCACTGGACCCCAGGGACTCAATGCCAGCACTCCTAAATGTGGGGGGGGAGGTCTGGGTAGAGTAAAATGTTTAAAAAAAAAAAAAATAATAATTGTATGTGTCTCTGTCAGGGAGTTTGTATGTGTGCTTGTCAGTGAGAGTGTATGTGTCTGAGTTTTTGTCACTGTGTGTATTTGTGAGTCAAGATGTGTCGTGTTCCATGATGTTGGTACACTAAGTCAAAGGGTTCCACGGAAAAAAATAATTGGGAACCCCTGGCTTAGAGCTTCAGCTGACTGCTCCAATCAGAGGCACCCCTCTGAAAAGATTTCAGAAGCCAGATGCTACCTGGGGGAAGTTGAGACTGGCGCTGGTATAACCCCTGAAGGAAAAAGAGTACACAGAGGGGCCTCCTGGCACCATAACCCCTTAATTTAGATGAAGTGGATATGGTGTCTAAACTAGCCCTTTAATTTCCTTTGCAAAGGTGAGTTCTATTTACCTGAACCTGTCCCTCACAGTCGCAGTTAACCCTTTCTGGCAGGTACTTTTCTGCGCTGGTGTCACTGCTATACATTTGCACATGCGCACAGTGGAGGGTTCTTTGCAGGGCCGCCCACCGGAATGTTTCCTGGTGTGCTCCCCCTGTCTGGGGCCACAGCGCTGGGAGAGCAGCTCACGAGCTGCCCCCAGCGTCTGACCGATCCCCAAGGTGCCTGCTCTGCCATCAAATGCCGGTGACCGGAGGAGAGGGGGACAGAGCAGGCAGGCGGCAAGGTAGGCTGTTGTTGCAACCTCTCACTCCTCCCCATGCGCGCCCTATGTAATGCCGGGAGCCGGAATGTGACATCATTCCGGCTCTGGCATACTAAACAGCGGGTGGGAGGGAAGAGTGAGGAGTTGCTCCACCCTGGACCCCAGGTAGGTGAGTGTTTGACTGTCAGTGAGTGAGTGTTTATTTGTGTGTCTGTCAGTAAGAGTCTGTGTATGTATGTCAGTGTGTGTGTGTGTGTGTGTGTGTCTGTCGATGAGTAAGTATGCATGTCCGTGTGTGTGTCTCAGTGAGTGAATATATGTCTATCAGTAAGTGAGTGTGTGTGTGTGTGTCTTCCTGTCAGTGAGTGAGTGACATAAGGGGGCAGCAGAAATTGCACCAGGGCCTGTGTCTATGCCTTCATAGATGGTGCTAATTTATCTGCTGGTGACGGCATGAGGACTGACTTTTTTTTTTTTTATATTAGTTTTTTTTATTGTTTTACAATAAGACATGGGAAGAGATACAGAAACAGAAAGGGGTGGGGGCGGGGTAAAAAGTCATAACATCAACCATCAATCAAACCCTATCCAAACATCTCCACCAACAAAGGCACTAATAGAAAGATGCTGGAAACACCCCACAAAACCAAAAACCAATTCTTTATGCTATAAAGCCTGGGAAGACACTACACCTAACACATCAACTCATTGCAAAACATTATGGGAAATAGACTGTGACATTCAACTCACGGACGAAGAATGGATACATGTACTAAACGACCTATCTAAATGGACAAAATGCTATACACACATAGAAGCACATCGAAAGCTACTATACAGATGGTACCTAACCCCCACACAAACTTCACAAAATATACCCAAACTCATACCCACTGTGTTGGAGATGTTCCGCAGCAGAGGGTACACTTATACATGTCTGGTGGAGGTGCCCCAACAACCAGCCTTTATGGACAGAGGTCCGTGCACTCCAAATCCCAGATACCCAAAAGACACCTGAAACATACTTACTTATGAGGTTCCCTCCGAAACTCGCACAAACAGTTGTGTGCCATTATTACTTTAGCAGCCCGGAGCCTACTGGCTCTCCACTGGAAATCCACAACTTGCCCAAACAAAACCCAACTATGGGACAAAATACACCAATTCTACGTCTATGAAAGAATGGCCGTACCTGATACCAAAATGACACAGAGGTTTAGCACAACATGGTCAGCATGGGTAGAACTGTACAACCGGCATATGGCATGATAGAGCCATAACGGCAAGGACATCCATTAGCATGTCGGGCTGGCTATATGAGCAATGACTGTATAACCGACTATGTATACCGATCCATGTTACCTAGCTACACATGCTCCCAACCACACCCCAACGTTAATGTTGTACCTGTTTTTATACTGTCTTTATGTACTATCTTCAAATGTATCACTGGTTCAAATTGTATCACTGATGACGAAAATTCAATAAAAGATATATTGAAAAAAAAAAAAAAAAAAAAGTCACAACATTATACGCATAAGCATCACAAGGCAGGTTTGCAGGAAAATGCAGTTTAGAATGGTACAGGAGACCTGTTTTCACATTCTATATACCAGGAAGCCATTCAACATCTCTCTCGTATACCCGGATTGGGTGCGAGAATACAGCCAGATATTAGGTGGTACAAAATTGTCGACATATGCATTTTGCATATACGTTTAGGCTACATATCCATTCTCATTGAGTACATGAGCAAAGTACATACACGTTCAAGTTGCTGATCTCCATGTGGTCCACATGTTCTAAGCAGAAGTGTGAACGGGGGTAAGATGCTTCTAAAGCCCTTTTCATATATGCGTTGTTTGTTTAACGCTTTCTTTAGAGCTGATATCATTGGGGTTATTTGCGTTTTCCATGCTCTCGCTATACGAATGCCTGGATCAGTTTCGCTAGTGATATGTAGCGAGGAATTTTGCTCCTGGTCATGTTCCATGTATGGAGAACTAATTTGATCTGTTGGGGGACCCAGGGCATTGGAGGTTTTTTGGCAGCCACAGCCGGCTGGGTTGGTCTCAAGGTAGGAGGGCTACATTTAGGAGGTCTTTTTCAAGAGTTATCCATTGGGGTGTGGTTTGTTTGAGAAAATACGGCACCATTGAGGCCAAGATAGAGGCTTGGTAGTATGCTTCGATGTGTGGGAATGCCATACCTCCTGCCTTGGCTTGCATTAATTTGTGGGTCACCTTAGGCCTGCCTCCCGCCCATACAAACTTAATGAGGTCTTTGTTTACCAAGAACGCCTGGGGTATTTGTAAAGGTAGCGTTCTAAAAAGGTATTGGAGTCTAGGGAGTATTGATATTTTTATTGTTACAATACGCTCTGTACATGTCAAGAACATCTGTGCCCATTTTCTGAGTAGTGTAGAGCAGTCGCTCCAGACTCCGGTGTGCCGGGTTTTTCGTAAAAGTTATCCCTAAATATTAAATGGTATCGGACCGCCACTCAGTCATATGTACTTTGTAGATATGTTAGGGTGTCTGTTGATGTGGGACTGACACTTTTTCATGGCAGTACCTCTGCCCCGTGTCAATAAGTGCCAAACTGCATTATTTTAATGGTGTTAAAATACCCAAAAAAATGCACAAACAGACTGTTCAGAGTGTTGAATGGCAAATATTATAGGGTCCTGCTTAAGCCATGTGACTATTTTATAGATTAAATTTCCTGTTAAAACTGACCATTTATTTTTATTTATATAAAAATAATTGTTAGCACTAGGCCAAAACAATGATTTAAAAAATCCATCTTAATACCACCCAAGGATATAAAAGCTGCTCCCCACCAAGGCAATTTATCAGTAGGGGGCTTTAGGTTACTCCAACCAAATAAAATTAAAAACCCCACAAAACACAGTTTAGCAGAAATGACTATGAAATCACAATGCTGTTCTATAAGTCTCGTTGGTAATGGGAATCGTATTAGTCAAAGGCAGAACGTAATAAAGTTTACCATAAACCCTAATGCCCACCGTACTAACAAAGTACCAGTCTTTCTGCCCCAAGAGATCTAAGGAATATGGAAAATCACTGCAAATTTTATTTAATTTTCAAAATAATTACAAAATGACTGTTTCATCCAGGGTTGTATTCACTTTTCTGCTTTGCCTAGTCCTCCTGAGTGGGGTGGGGGTGACAGAGGTGTTGAAATTCTAGTTTATGAGGGACAATCTATTCCAAAACCTGGCTGAACATTTACAATGCTGAATAGTTATATCCAAATACTTCTGATCTCTTTGTAACCAGACCCTGTCATTTCTGTGAATTCAGATATTGAGTTTGAGACCAAATATAACATGTGGAGGATAGAGGACCTTTTTCCTCAAATACAGTATTTATTAAAATGCAAAAAAAATATAAAACAAATCAATGACAATACAGAACAGTGAATTGTCATAATACAGTATGGCACAGTTTTAATACAAAATCAAAGATCACGTAGTAAAGGTTAGATTTGAAGGACGTGGTTAAAACTATTTTACTGATCACTAACAATTCGATTTTCATGGGTTAGATGTTCAGAAATCACAGATTGGAGAGAATTGTACGCTTTTCAAAATGTTATGTCAGTTGAATTAAAATACCACAAGTTTTGCTTGCTGCAGGAAAAATTTAATTGTTACGGATTGGTCTGTAGGCCCTCTTTACATTCCACAATGGTGATTGGCTAGATCCTGCACCGCAAGCAGAATCTGGCTGATTGCGGGCTACAGTACATTTAACAAGTGAAACTTCCACCTGGCTTCCAAGCTGGCTTCAAAGACTCTTTCTTGTTATCACGATGACTGACCCTAGTTTGCATCCCTGTGGTTTGCATGGGATCCTGGTCTCCTGTGAAATCACTGCTCTCATTTCCTCTCTGATGCAAAGCTAGTGAATGCAATTTCTCCATCTTGGCTATAGCTTCTTGAATATTGTCCATGACAATTGGCAACAGGCTCACTATCCCTCCATAGAAATTCTTTGCTTCATCACAACTGAGATGGTTGATCACATCGTGCGGATACCTGTATCCAAATACAAAAGCATTTATTCGATACCAACGTTAAGCTCAAAATCAATTCTCTCGGCCAGGAGTTGGTTGCATTTAATGAAGGAGTCAGATGGCTGAATCTATTTCTGAGGTCCTCAACCCTAAACCCAACTTAGCAGAACTTGCACTGCAGAGTTCCAGGAGGATGGATTTCCCAAGTAAGTGGATAAATCTCATAAGAGCAGGCGTTAGGTAAAATACAAATTAATTTTATTAAACAAATGAAAAGAAAATAAGTAAAACACTAACGCATTTCACCTATACAAAGGCTTTTTCAAAGTGTCCTTGAAAGTGTCACTTTGAAAAAGCCTTTTGTATAGGTGAAACGCGTTGGTGTGTTCTCTTCATTTGTTTAATAAAATTAATTTGTATTTTACCTTTGGACCTTCACTAAACATCTTTTACTGGAGAAGCTGTATCTCACATTCCCACATGGGGGACAAACCACCTATGCTATTAAGGATTGAGCATCCCTAAATGCTCATCCATTGTGATTATATCTTCGTTTTTATTCTATTTGTTTTATTATAACAGAGAGCACTATTTTTGTTCTTTTATTTTCTCCGCATATCACTGAAGCATCATCCTGGATACACCGTGTGGGTTATTGATATAAACATACAATACCAGAGGGGATCAGGATCATCCATACATCCACAGACCGGGATTGTACCGTCCATACACTGTGATCTAGAGCTGATCTTTAGCTCCAGAAAAGTGTGAGTGCAATATCTTTCTTTGTATTTTGCCTCTGCTTTTATAGATATACTACACTATATTTGTATTCCTGTCCCATTTGTTTTTTTTCTCTTATTTGCTCCATTGGATTCTACACAAGGATTTCATCTGTAAAATGCTGCTCCCCTACACTCCCTGTTCTATTTGTATCTGCGACCAGAAAGAAGAGACTCTGGTTTTGGAAGGTTTAGCTGCTGTACATACAAGGAAAAAGCGCCAGAAAGCTAATTTGCTGCTATAACATGGACGGAATGAGACACATGGAGGGGTTGGTAGGGAGGGAGGGAATGAGACGCATGGAGGGGCTGACAACTTACTCATTCCTCGTTTCATGATTTGGTCATATGGTGATTCTGACAATTCGCTGATCGTTTAAGATTTAAAGCACAAGTCTAATAACTATATGATATTTCACTTACTTGGCTTTCAGACCAGACAAGTCATTGGCTGGATTGAGAAGGTTGAAGTTTTCTTCTAAATTAGTTTTAATGCCTCTTGTCTCAAACTGCAGTTCGTTGAGTTGAATGCAAAATTCTTGGATCTCAGAGCAGATGCTCAAAAATAAGGTAAGGATGCGTCGGTCTGTACTGTTATTGCAATAAGTGTCCAAGTAGTTTTGTACCTGTGGATCCAACAAATAAGAGACATGAACAAAAACTCTATTGTTTTTTTAGACATTTTGCATATAAGCTTAAAGAATAGGAATAAGAACAGTGTCAAGACTATAGTATGGCTGCCCTAGAAAAATACATTTAAATGAACACTATAGTGTCCGTAATACAAACGTGTTTCTGGCACAATAGTGCTGGAGTGGCTATTTAGGTCCTTAACCCCCTTGCTGTGGAGTTTAAAAGAGACACTATAGTCACCAGAACAGCTACAGATTATTGTATTTGTTTTGGTGAGTAGAATCATTCCCTTCAGGTTTTTTGCTGTAAACACTGTCCTTTCAGAGAAAATGCAGTGCTTACATTACAGCCTAGAGAAAACTTCACTGGCCACTCCTCAGATGGTTACTAGAGGTGCTTCCTGTGGCAGTGTTGCACACTGAGCAGTACTGTCATTCAGTTTCTCCTCCCTCTGCATGCAGACACTGAACTTTCCTCATAGATGTGCATTGATTCAATGGATCTCTATGAGGAGATGCTGATTGGCCTGGGCTGTGTTTGACTTGTGCTGGCTCTGCCCCTGATCTGCCTCCTTGACAGTCTCAGCCAATCCTATGGGGAAGCATTGTGATTGGCTCACAGAATCACTTCTGATGATGTCAGACATGCAGGCAGGTCAAAGGCAGAGCCAGCAGCTGCAGACTTAAATATAAATAAGATTTTACTATATTTAGGGAGGCAAGGATGGGCCTGGGGGCTAGATGGTGGTTTTAACACTATAGGGTCAGGAAAGCATGTTTGTGTTCCTGACCCTATAGTGTTCCTTTAACAGCGCCTATGCAAATAATGGCTTTACCACCATGTAACATTTTATGCACATAACAACAAACACGTCTTTTAGCCTCAATTATCTTCACGTTATCCCATATAGTTTCTAAGAGAGCCACGTTACCTGTTCTAGGTTCTGTACTGGCTTGATTCGATCGTGGGCATTCTCACGGCATCGCTCCAGAGCTGTGATAAACGTTACCTGCTGCTGTTTCAATAGTTTACAGCGTTGCTGTAGGAACTTGAGATTCTCCTTTACGTCATTCATGGTAGGATTTTTGAATTAAGAACCTGGAAAACCAAACAGGGGAATAACCAGAATCATGGTTGGTTGTTTTATGTAAAACATCACTTTGGAGACAAAATGTATCCTGATGACCAAAGATGCCAAAAGTTAGTTCTCCCTACAGCCTAACAGTAGAGATTTTCCAAAGACTCTACTCAAAAGGCATTGAGTCACCAGGAAGCTGAGCAGAAAGAACACAGGGTTATTCACTAAACTGTGATTTGTCAGATCTTCACCAGGGAATTTTTTTTTATTTTTTTAACACTTTGACTACTTGTGGCCTAATATTTGCATTTCCCTGGTGACCTCTTAGCAATTCACAGTTTTTAGTAAATTTACTATATTTGCAGAGGGAACAGAGTTCCCACACTTCTTACTTTGAAAACCAAAAACAAAGGTTATTTTTAGAATAAATACTCTACACATTCCTTTATTCACACCATACCTGCACAGTGGCTTCAAATTATAGAGAAGGAAAATACAAAGAGAGAGATGGGAAATAGCTTTACATAGACTGGCCCAGTCTATACTTAGACTCCCTCAAAGGCAGGGTGTTCAAAGGACCATGGTCAGGACTAGGGTATATATATGATGACAGAACATCATACACATTAAGAGTGAGATGTTGTGAAGTACTTAAAGGTTAATGAAGCAGTTTTGCTATAGGCATTAAAAAATATTTAGCTGTTTCACTGATCAATTCTCTGCCATTAAGGAGTTAAATCACTTTTGTTTCTGTTAATGCAACCCTTGCCACACCTCCCCTTGCTGAGGCTCTCACAGCCTACAAGAAAAAAATGTTTCATCAGATGTTAAATTGCTTCAGACTTTTTTTTATCTCCCGCTCTGTAAATTTAATTTTAATCCCACCCAGGAGGTTCCTGGAGGGTCTAGAGCAGGGGTGCCCAAAAGGTAGATCCCCAGGTGTTTTATAATTTCAGCTTTCATGAGGCTTTGACAATCTAAAGGCATACAACCCCAGGGAACTACCCTTTGGGTACCCCTGGTCTAGAGGCTATTAACTGTTCAATTTATAATTTTTTTATTTCCTGCTCTAATTGTGGAGTAAAGGAAGTCTAAACATTAGATGACTCTTTACAGGAAGTGTTTATAATGGTTGTGCAAGTCAAATGCAGGGAGGTGTGACTAGGGCTACATAAACAAAGGGATTGAACACCTAAATATCAGATAATTCAGCAACGAGACTACATGGGCATGATCTATACAGCAAAACTGCTTCATTAACCTAAAGTGCTTTGGCGCCTACGGTATCCCTTTAAAGATTAGGAAGGGGTGGTGATCATGAGAGGTTCCCACACCTTTTTTTTTTTTACTATTAGAGCCAGTAAATAACTGTGATGGCATCATAAGCAGATCGTGGCCACGAGGGGCACAGGGAAAGGAAGGAAAAAGAAAAGGCGGGCGAGGGGCAGACGGGAAGCAGATTTTAGTTTCCCTACCCTTCTGCCTTTTCTGCCCCAATATCAATCTACTTATTCTTCCCAATCTCTGAGAAAGGCACATTTAAAACGAGTGAACAGAGACTCCCATACTTTAGTTTCTCTTTTTCCCCACTTCAATTGCTTCCCCATTGCCTTTTTCACTCATTACTGCTGCTTCTCCTTTTTTTCCCACTCACTCTTACTCATGTCTCTTTTTACCTAATGCTTTTCTGCCATTTCCTATCTTGTTTCTTGCACTTTTTGTCTCTTATTTCTCTCTCTTTTATCTCTTCTCGTTCACTCCCCTGTCCAATTTTTACTTCTGCTTTTTAAAATTTGACAATTTTTATTGGGTCATGCTTGCAAGTTCGTCATACAACAGGTTAGGGAATATCTCCCTTATACAGTGTTTACAATAATTATGTAGCGTTGCATAACTTTGTCATATACAATGAATAGATTCGTATATCTTCACATGTCGCATGAACCAATTGAATTTTAAGTAATGAACTAAAGACAGAAGAAAAGGAGTGAGAATGAAGAGATATGAGAGTTGGAATGTGGGTTGAGAGAATCAGCTGCGCAGCTAGCGCTGCATGGGGGGGGCGGAGGAGGTAACGGGGTTGGGAGAGGAGGACGAGTATGTTCGATCCTTGGGACCATTCCGAACCATTTGTTAGTGATTAAACTCCTATATGCGTTCTTCCTCGCTATCGTGTTTGTTTGTTTTTTCCTTTCTTTTCCTTCCCCTCCCTGTCTTGTGTGTATGTGTCCCACATATTTTTTGCTTTTGCCAAGGTTGGTTTAGGTCCAAACTGGTGTTGGTGCATGGCTTCATATGTCCAGTTGAGCCTGATTTGGTTTAGTAAGTGTGTAAGGTTAGGTGGTTCTTTGGATTTCCAGTGTCTTGCAATAAGAAGATTGTACCCTGTAATTGTTGTTTCTTGCAATAAGAAGATTCGCTGAGGTAAGTGTGTGGTATGCGATTGCCTGGTGTGTTTTGGGTAGTTGTTCGGGGGAACATATATAGCAGGCATATTTCTGGTTCAGAGGCTATTGGGGATTTAAGTCAATTTTTACTTCTGCTTTTATTCCCATTATACATTTTATTTACCCTGTTTATATATTATTTACCTTCTATATTTCTTTCATCCTATTTCTCTTTTTTTTAGGTTTCTTTTCCTGTCTGTATGTCTATTTTTCCCCCTTTCCTGTGTTTTGACCCTTGCGTCCGCTCTTCTCTTATCGATGCTAACCCACCCTTAACCCCACCATCTACATACACAAATTGTAAAAATACATCTTCATTCTGAAAAGTCCAATCTTTGAGGGGTGTAATCTCTGGGGGTCAGCTTCCTCTCGGGTTCGCTGTATTCGAGTGATAGTTGATGTTTCTGGGATCTATTCAAAATTTTTAGTGAACTGAAATCAAATTTGTGAAATTTAAGCCAAAGTGCTGATTAGGGGGGAAAAAAAATCTCCAACTAAGTTCTGAAAGTTAGAGCTCTATTTTTAACCTGAATTTTGTAGTTTAAATTTTAAATCCCTACAATAAAGCAGTTTTAGTGAATAAATGAAACTGTGGATTTAAATCGTATTAAATTGAAATCTGAATTGCAAAGGTAGGCTGAAATAGCCACGCTGTGATTATAACTTGGAGTATCGGAGAATTTTTCCAAATCTGCTTTTTTTAGACTAGATATTGCCATTCAGACTTGAATCTGGTACACAGAGTTTAGTGAATAAGTGCCCTATGTTTCTTAATAACCAAAGAATGCCTGACCGCAAGGTAACAAGAATAATGTTAGCCAACGACGAAGGCACAAACCAGGCAGCTGTCCTCCCTAGCATTGGTAACATCAAAACTCTATCTGAGATATTCACTAAACTGAGGATTCCTAGTAAACTTAAGATGTAAGGCCAAAATTGCCAAACTGGACTAATTCTCCAAAAGAGATAGGCTTTCAGATCAGCTACTCCGTTTCTGATATAAATCCTTCTGGCTTGCCTTTTACCCATTCCCTATCAAACAAATTTAAGTAGCACAGAGGCCCCAGTACATGTGTAGTCTTACCTGTATCAGGTAACTATCAGTCAATGTACATGATCCACGTCTCACCTGTGGCAGATATTTCAACTGTGTTGCTGTACCATAGCCCCAGAGGCTCTCTATCCCTCTGAATCCTAATCTGCTGTGTTTTCAAAGTGATTGTTTGGGTCGTTGCCTGGATACCATAATGATGTTTCCAGCAACTATCTAAACTCCATTAGCAACCTTGGCAAGCAGCAGATTAAATTGAACTTCCCTGCACCCGTCGTCTAAAAACAAATTTCCAATAAGCGATACAAAAATGAATTATTTATATTTAGGATCTCTTAGGCAGGGATATTCACGCAACTGTAAACTGTCAGGAATTCAATGGGAGTTTTAGATTTAGGCCACACTGTCCTGAGTTGGACAAAGATGATTTGGTGAAATTTCTTTTGCAGTCTTAACAATTCTCTATTTAGTAAATAACCCTTAATGTCTCTCTCTGTGACCCATGCATAGTGCTGGCTATCAAATCCCACAAGTTAAAAGACCTCTGGACATCATAATCACTTAATCTTTTATAAATGATTATGATGACTTAAGTATCATGGCATCTAAAGTAAACTATTTACTTATGGTTTAATTGTGAACTATGGTGCCAAGCTACCAGTGGCATCTCCCAGCTCTTCCTTATTGACTTGAGGGGCAATGAGGGGGGCTCTCATCGTTCACTGCCTCCCATTGCAAGTATAGACTGATATGAAGCTAATAAAAAGTGCCCCCCACCTACATCCCCTTCCTATTTGTCCAGCAATCACTTTCTAAATATTTATTTATTTATTAGTGCTGGGTATTGCCCAAAGAAATGTACATTTAAAAGAGAAGCATTTAGGATACATTTCTACTTTGCAGTTCTTACAAAAATGGGTAACATTATTGAAATTTAAGAATTTGTATAAAAATGCCACAATATCAATTGTGTATTTAATTACCACCATCCTTAGCCAGAATCACACTGACTATGATAGGAGTTATAGCACAGCAGGGGCAGGCAACTTCTGGCACGGCTACATCTATATATTTGTGCGGTCACTGTTTGCACTGAGCAACAGCTGTCTGTGTAACAGACACAGGGACAATTGGTGTACCTGACCCCTGTGTCTAGGGTTAACATGCTTTTTATATTAATGACAGACACAGAAGTGGCACAAAACTGATATTGTCAACCAGGAAAAAAGTGCTCCAGCTAGTTGACTGACAGCTCAGGGAGGTGGTCCTACACACAGAAGAAAAAACATTTTTATCTCTACAATGAAACATTAGTTTGTTTATTTATAAAGATAAGGCTGCAGGAACAGGATCTTTGCACCACAACCACTTTAGTAAGATGATGTGGTTATGGTGCTAAGAGTGACCCTTTAACGCCAATAGGTAAATCCAGCAGTGAATTTGGCAGTTGCAAATTAATACCAGTACAACCGAGCTAATTGAAGACAGCTTGATAGGGTTTCAGATGCCAACTTATGTAATGGAACAAACCTAGAAATTATTTTCATGTCAAACGCAAGGGAACACACAAGGAGCACAGTGCAATGAGTGCAAAATAGGAAAAGAAAAGTGACTCACAACGAGCACAGGCAAAGGAGGAACAATGAAAGCTGAATGATTCGGTGTTTACTTTTAAAAGTATATTAAATGATTTGCCAGTTGTCATCACAATCCAGTTCAGCCCTGGCATAGCCTGGCACATAGCTTTGGAAGAGGAGAAATGCAAACATTGTTTTTCATCGAGAAGAGGTAAGAAAAAACAAAAAAACACTACTACCAAGAGGAAGATATGGAAGGGTAGATCAACTAAAGAACAATACAGATCAAACAGACTCCTTTTCACTGGTCTGTTTGCTTTGTATTTTGACTGACAGGTAGAAAGGGCAGTGCTTAAAGGAACACTGTAGTTATCCAGACCACTTCATCTCAATGTCCCTTTAATCCTGCATTTTTTTGAGAATAATGACAACCACTAGAGGTGTTTCCATAGCACCGGCTGTGTAAAACTGACACATGACGTGAAAGCCCCATAGGAAAGCGTTGACTCATGCTTTCCTATGGGAAATTTTGAATGAACACTTGGCACTCTCAGCGCATGCACATTAGGTCGCCAATGCTCCTCTCTGAGGAGCCTTGTATTAGACGACGCCGGAGGAGGCCATGCCTATTCCATGACAGCAGGAGAGGTGAGCACTGCTGAGGTAGCCTCTGCGGTAGAAACAAGATAAGTAAAGAAGGGTTTTTAATTGTTTCATAGTGATCAGGGGTGGAGATGACACACACCTATTTCTACTAGAGACAGGAACACTATAACGTTAGGAACACAAATTTGTATTTCTAGCGTTATAGTGTTCCTTTAAATAATGACTGACAGGGAGCCAAGATTGAGCTAAATACAGCAGTGTGCATTTCTAAATTTGCAATGGCCCATTAAAGCAGAATATCTTAAACAAGAAGCACCAGAACAAATAGCGAGTGCTTGGATTAACCCAATATCTAATCTCTGCAGGCTCAAGGTATACACTAGCGTCTGGGTGTGGAAGCACCGCTCTAGGGTGCATACATGAGAAGCCACCTTCACTTTCTAGAACTTCCAGAACTTGCTGGCTCCCTGAGGATGCTCTTGTGATGAGGTCACGACTTTTCCCCATCAAATGAGAAGTTTTCCGACTGGATCCTGAGTCGCTTCACCACTAATGGTCTGCGCCCTGCTCCCACTTAACAAATGCAACCCCTATATTTCTTTAGTGATACGAGAAACACTGTATACCTTCACATGGCGCAGGCAGAAGGGCGAATAAGTCTCCTACAATCCCTACCAGCAATTTGTCTTTAAACAGAAGGCGTCATGCAGCCTCTCAGGCATTGAATAAATGTGATGTTCCTTGCTATTCTCCTTGAAGGAACTGCATTGTCTTTGTTCTGGAGTGCCTTGGTTTTCATACCGTCATGTTACAATGCAGCAGACGCCAGCCTGGCTGCTTTGATGCCGGGATAAACACTGAGTTGTTTTTGAACTCTTTCAAAGTCATGGATCAAACATTCACAGGGCAACAGAGTCTTACACTAGAAGCAAAAGAAAACAGCTCTCATGGCGTATGTTATCTCAATCAATAGAGAACTTGGGTAAGAGATAAAAGACTGCAAATCTGACTACATAGCTGATAGTACCCATAGAGTAAACGAGCGCTATTCTGAAACAGAACTGGGAGTTTGCATATCTAGAGATATGCGATGGAACTGTTATTTTGTATATTGAGATATGAATAGGGAATCTTGCATCTTTAAACATCAGGTGTAAAAAAGGATAAAGAATAACAATTTTTGAGACCCATGGGATTAAAAGTATTAGTTTAAAGTGGAAATGAATTGTGCTAGCTCTATGTGTACCTGTTATTCTTAAAGATTTCAGAACTAAATCAAGGAAGTCTACTTTCTCAAGCGGTTAGAATGCAATGATTATCATGTTGAGATGGGTTAGACGCCATTATGCTTAAAGGGATACTCCACTGCCACATAACATTTATAAAATATCCCTGTTTAGCAGATAAACCAATGAAAACACACATGCATTTAATAATGCATATTTTTAATTGAGGCTATATCTAAAAACAGCTTGCAAAAAACAGCCTTGTCATGAAGCCTTTGCAAGCCCTCCTCTTCTAACCTCGCCTAGACTTTCTGTGGCTGTCCAATCACATACATCCCAATGCAGCTCAAGGAGTAGTTTTTGTAGAGTGCTCTGGGAAATTACTGCCTCTTGAGTTTAGCTCAACTGAGCTAACCAAACCAGGAACTAAAATGACCGGCTGTCTGATTGACAGCCAAGGGGGTGTAATAAAGCTAATTTATAGAACTGCTAATTTCTATTGAAATCTGCCATTTTTGTAAAATTAAAAAAAAGAGGTCACATTCTTCAAACATAAAGCACTTCAGCAAGCTAGAGGCCTGGAGAGTCCCTTTAAGGTGATAGCAGAATGTGTTACCAAATGTTAAAAGTGGTCTGGCTCAAACAAACAAGCTCCAGAGTGGTTACAAAATATATCTGTCAAAACATAAATTGCATAAATGTGGTTATAGAATTGTCAGATACCAAGCCAAATCAAGGAACCAAAAATAGCCTAAATCAAACCAGAACACTTGATTAGTATGGAAATAATTAGCAGATACCTACGATATCAAGTCACTAAAGTGCAAAGTGGGAAGGGTGGGTATAGCATCCCATAGGCCGTGTCCTAGGTGTCCTATATTTGTTATTGATATTGATGCTGGTGCATCTGCGTTTGGTTGACGTTTGAGACTCTGCAGCATAGAAACAAATTCAAATGGAGGGGCGAGATGATTGGATATTATACACAACAAATACGATGGCACAGACTTGGATTTAGGTAAAAGACAAGTTAGGTACGCGTCCCACATCCCATGCTATTGGAATCATTTCTTATTTATTCAAATCCTTATGATGGTGCTGCAAACTGTTGTTGGGATTACCATTCCCAAGAGCTGGAAGCAAATCCTGGATAATGTCGAACAATAAAAGCGAGAGAGCAGAAATTGAGAAAACAGATTTTCCAGTTATATTATTTTTTCCCAGTCTTCGATATATACGGGTATGGAGAGGGTATCCAAAAAAACAAAACAAAAACTAAACGTTTAAATCAACTTCCCCACCCCCAAAATGAGTGGGTCTCTACTGGGGCAACCTTTGTTTGGCCTGTGATCCCTCCTGATGGATGGTATCATTGTGTGCGCATTTTTTCCTCTCCCTTCTTATTTGTACTTTATCGTCTTTTCTCTTTCTGCCAGACACGTTTCCTTTATGGTTACACCTGATTATTTGATAATTCCTAGTAAACACTAATTTCTTACGACCTAACCTCCTGGAGTGTTCCTGTAATGACAGGCTTCCATGCTGTTGGTGTAAATGGAATCCTGTGTACTTTCTCTCCTGAATCTGTGAAAAGTGACCGGTAGACTTGTGAAAACATTTTTTGGAGTCGGTTTGTCTGAATCAAATTTCTTCTAATCATCACCGAACAAATCAGATCCCTGATTGTAGAATCTTATTCAATGAACTTAGAGCATAATACTGACGCTTCGTGTAGGCTGCCGGATTACTCTGGTTGTCACCCTGTGACCATTATAGGTGCAGGGTGGGTATTGTATTATTATTTTTATGATCTCCTGTCTGGCTCTGGGGCCTGTGCAGTGCCACCTACTGGTTGTGAATGAGTCTTAATGTTATGTATATATAAGGAGTGGCAAGGAGCCCCCCCCTCTCCCCTTTTTGCCACTCCTTATATTGTAGGTGTACAAACTTGGAGCCAGTCATTTATGGGCTCCAGAACCAGGTGAGCAACTTCTACTTTATTCTTAAAGTTGTGACTTATTAAGAAAGAGCTAGGCCAGAGAGCAACAAATGTCTTTGTAAAGGCAGTAGTTGGAAGCAGAACAGGCAGAGGGATCGATACCTGCCTAGGAGACAGAGACTTGGTCACAGAGGTCGATAACTGCCTCGGAAACAGAGGGCTGGTCTGTGGGGTTGATACCTGCCTGGGAGACAGAGACTTGGTCAGAGGGGTCGACACCTGCCTGGTAGACGGAGCGGCGGTCAGTGGGGTTTATACCTGCCTGGGAGACAGACTTGGTCAGAGGGGTTGATACCTGCCTGGTAGATGGAGGGGTGGGCAACGGGGTTCATCCCTGCCTGGGAGGCAGAGACTTGGTCAGAGGGGTCAATAACTGCCTGGGAGACAGAGACTTGGTTGATATCTGTCTCGGAGGCAGAGGGTTGGTCATAGGGTTTGATACCTGCCTGGGAGACGGAGGGTCAGTCAGTGGGGTTGATACCTGCCTGGGAGACGGAGACTTGGTCAGAGGCGTTGATACCTGCCTGGGAGACGGAGACTTGGTCAGAGGCGTTGATACCTGCCTGGGAGACGGAGGGTCGGTCAGTGGGGTCGATACCTGCTTGGGAGACGGAGCGGTCAGTGGGGTTGATACCTGCCTGGGAGACCTAGGCCCACTCAGAGGGGTCGATACCTGCCTGGGAGACAGAGACGCAGTCAGAGTGGTTGATAGCTGCTGGAGAGACAGAGACGTGGGCAGAGAGTTCGATACCTGTCTGGGAGGACAAGCCCTTCTAAAGGTCAGCCCAGCTGAGATCGCTGTAGTTACTATCTTGACGTCTGGTTTCAGTAATGGTCTTCGCTGGCAGACCTACATCCCCGGTGGCATTTTGTCACAAGGTGTTTATCAAAAATGTTTTGATTGGGATGAATTGGCTCAAACTAATTTATGTACAAGTCTAGAGACCCAGGGAACAAAGACAGAAAACTTGATTTGGGGGTACACCCAGAACAGGCTGCTGCTAGAGCCTGAGAATCCCTAGGGAATAAGAAGCATGAAGATCACTGTACCTTTAAGAGATTATGAAAACCTTGCATACACATACACATGTGATTTGTCAATATTTATTACTGGCTGTTACAAGTTCACAGTGTTGCTATTTACTTATCACATCTATAATACTATTGTGCAATGCAGCCACAAATTTTATGAATGGTGATATGTTGCCTTGCCTGTCCTAAGAATCTGTGTTTCTATGAGAAAAGAAGATAAAGGCAAACACTCAGTTACTTACAATCCAAACAATTGCTAAACTATGGGGATGGAATAGGCTTCGTTTAATGCTACATATTACGCAATATTTACATTCCAATTCTATTATGGAGAGAGAACAAGGTAAATATTAAATAAACACATTCTGTCAAAACACCCTATGGGGCTCTGTAAAAAAAATATAGCACAGGAGAATTGGATCTATAATGTGTTATATATAGCTTGGTCTATAAATCCCTATAAACTCCAATCAGATGGGACATTAATTTTATTAAACAAACAAATTAAAATGTAATTCATTTTTACTCCACATAATAAAGTGTAACGGTACTTAAAGGGACACGCCAGACTTTCTGTAATGCTTTTTTATTTGAAAGTGTGTCATTTTTTCATTTTACAAAAAGTGCAGATTTCTATTGAAATTTACACTTTTATAAATTAATTTTGTGAAACTCCCTGGCTGTTAATCTGGATGACCGGTTCTGTTACTTCCTGGTTTGGTTAGCTCAGTAGAGCTAAACTCAAGAGGAAGACAATTGTTCAGAGCAGCTGCCTTGCATTAGTGATTTTTGTATCTTGTATGTGAGCAGTGGAGTGCCCCTTTAAAGCTTTTTTTTTTTTTTATTACATTTTAAAAAACATTATACAAAATAAATAATGAAATACATAATGCCCAAAAATGATATTTTAGAAATATACTCTGCATGGTCTAAGGGCAACCTGTCATGTTGGCACTTTTTCATGAGTGGAGTGAATGATATCACACATACACATACATACATATACACACACATACAGATCTAAGACAGTGGTTCCCAACCCAGTCCTCAAGTACCCCCTAACAGTCCAGGATTTAGGAATTATCATGTTGTGTCTAAGGTGTTTTTAGAAAAAAAAAAAAAAAAAACACTTTAGACACAACACTGATCTAAGACTTTTTCTATGTATACATAAGGCCTATTTCTTTCAAATATTGTTCACAAATCTGTCTAAATCTGTGTTAGTGAGCACTTCTCCTTTACCAAGATAATCCATCCACCTCACAGGCAGTGGTGTATTTAGGATTTGTGCTGGGCACTCCCCCCCAATTTAAATTTTCCCCACCCCTTCCTGTCAAGGCCGCACTTTGACTGACAGACGCTCATTCACTGACAGACGCACACACTCACTGATAGATGCATACACTCATTGACAGACACACACTCTCATATACACTGACAAACAATGACATACACACACTCACTGATTTGACACACTGATAGACAGACATACACCTACTCGGACACACACTCACTGACAGATGCACGCACTCACTGACAGACGCACACACACACTCACTGACAGACACTCACTCACAGACACTTCCCCAGTTGGCCAGCTCTTGGGCTCCCAGAAATTGAGGCAAACAAGGTATTTGCCTGGGCATTTGGGGGCAGCGTTTTTTGCCACCCCCTAGAAATTGCCGCCCAAGGCAAATGCCTTGTTTGTCTTGCAGCAAATACGTCCCTGCTCACAGGTGTGGCATATCAAGATGCTGATTAGACAGCATGATTATTACAAAGGTGTGCTTTAGACTGGCCACAATAAAAGGCCACTCTAAAATGTGCAGTTTTATCACACAGCACAATGCCACAGATGTCGCAAGTTTTGAGAGAGCATGCAATTAGCATGCTGACTGCAGGAATGTCCACCAGAGCGGTTGATAGTGTGCTATGCCTCTAGGACTTTAAGGGCACAGCGGGGAACCAATTGTGTTAGTTGGGGATAATGTAATCAAGTCCCCAGACAGAGTGGGACTAGGGAGGGGCAACTGTACTGTAGAGGGCCGATCCAAGATATTGTGCTGCCTGGTCCAAGGATGAAATGCTGCCCTCCCTAATCATAACCATGTCCACCAAACATCCATTATGTTATGCAGTGTGTAGTAGTAAATGCAGTGTCTGTGTAGTGGATACAGTGTGTGTAGTGAATGCATTGTCTTTGTAGTGCATGTAGTGTGTGTGTGTGTGTGTGTGTGTGGTGTTGGATAAAATATTATTTTAGTTTTTTTATATTCTATAATATAACCTGTAACACGGTTAAGGTGGGAATAACCTTGAGTTTGACTGATACAAGAGATGCCCTATTTAGAAACTAGATTATTTGAACATACATACTTTCTTCTGAAAATATATGTTCAGTATAGACTAATCCCCTTGGCAAATTCCAGTGTTTGTATTTTAGATTGTGACTTTTCTCTCCTGTGTCCCTGAGGTAAGAACACACATATGAAGTTACTCTCATCTGGCAATACATATAGTGACCTAGACACTGGGAGACCATAGACATTGTTTAAATGCATACTGGGGTTATGTGTATAGAAATATATGTGAAATTCAGGGGTTATGTGTATACAAATATATGTGAAATTCTGTGGCAGAACTCCAAAAATGGGACAGAAACATTCCATGATTATTTCTCTGCGTTTAAGAATTTTCCAAAGATTTATAATGTTTTACACTAAAAAGAAAAACAAGTGTAACAATTATTTAAAATATATGCAAAGATGTCACATAGAAATTAGTACATGTGCTGTGCTGGATGGGGAAGGGATGAGCAGTAATTTAAAATTGATGGGCTTAGCTTATTCCTGTGGCTAGGAAGGAGGAACACTAGATCGCTGGTGGTCCAGTGGTACAACACACTTGTACAATGAAGGGGTGGGGGGGCAGGAGCATCATCTTCCACTTCCAAGACAGGTACTCTCCTCTCGTAGGTTGCCATGGTAAAGCTCCACGTGGTACGCAATGCATTCCGGTGCATTGACATTGCAACTGTCGGCAGCACTTTCGCGGATCACAAGAGAGGACCTGCTGCTGGAGGTGGAAGATGAGCCCCCTTTTCATACAGCAGACTAGTTAATGTGTACAGGAGAGGCAAAATACCATCTGGGGGTATGACCCATAGGGACATATGCACAGGCTGGCCATGGTAGTGTACATTGCTTTTATGGAAGACCCTCCACCTCAACCCTGCCCCCCCACAGGGAGAGTCAACATTGTGGTTTATAGATTGATGTGTGCTGTGCAATGAAGATCATTCTACCCCATGCATTCACACTCGCCTAATGTACAGGGAATTAACTATTGCCTCTCATTTACAGGAGAGAAGGTTTCCTGAGCTATAATCACTGCAGCCCGGACCTGTGAAAAAAGGTCCTCAAAAACCCCAGTCAAGCTTCCACAAGTGTGTCTGAAGTGCTCCAGAGTCCCTGGTAGTAGGAAGGAAGCTGACCTTGTTGGAGGTACTCAGTCGGAGTACAGAAACTCTGTCACACACACAAACTCACTCTCTGATTTACACGCAGGAAAGGTTTCACAGTAGAAGGAGCAATTATGTATTGCCTACCATCCCATGATACAGGGAATGGTAGAAAGAAGCAATACCTCTCTGGGCTTTCTCAAGCGAAACGCGTAGCATCAGACACCAGAGAGGCCTGATTGAGAGAGGGAGAGCGGGGATTAGCGAGACTAAATGACAACTTGAAAGGAGACTCTAGAACTGTAACTAGCCGAAAATGCTAAAAGGTTTGATCTCTTGTAGATGTAAACTCATCTCTAGAATGTAAGCTCATTGAGCAGGGCCCTCCACCTCTCTGTTCCTGTACGTCCAATTGTCTGGTTAAAATTACATGTCTGTTAGTCCACCCAAGGTACAGAGCTACGGAATGTGATGGCGCTATATAAATAATAAAATAATAATGACGACAACAGCCTCTGGTTTTTAATCCAATATTTGGCATAATAAAGTGTAATTGAAGATCTGGCAGCCGGTGAGAATTTCTTGCTATTTGGATGTGCGTGATAGAGATCTGATCCTCCCAAAGCGCTATAGTTTTGAGTGACAATGTAGCCACTCGTATTTTGTGAGCGGCTTTCAACTGAAATCCTTTTTTTATATTGCCTCTTAATGATTTGCTCTATATTTGCTTTATTGTTTTAATCTATAGGTATTTATTGCTGAAAGAGGCAAATCATTTATACATAAGTATTTTATTAAATTATTTTTGCACGTTATATTGATTTTTTTTGTTTAGTTTATAGTTTGTTTTTTTAATGGTTGCTGCACATTTGAAACTGCACTGACAGGTCACTTTATATCAGTGACAAAGCTAGATATTTTTTCACCCGGGACAGAGACTCAGTTGAGCACCACTTATTTTTCCTTTTAAGCGTGGGCAGCCAGTGTACACCCATGCGCCAGCCTTCCTTGCACCCACCATGGCTTATAAATAGTGTGTTGTGTATAAGGGTGACTGTTGGTTTTGTGTGTTGTGTTTATAATGAGGTTGTGTTTCATATGTGGGAGGTGACTGTATGACGATCCCTATTTTCAGAGGGTGATGCTTAGTGAACATGACATAGTTAGGGGGTGAGCGTGGCAGGGTGGCGAGTGAGACAGGGTTAGGGAGATGTGTGTGGGAGTTGGGGTGTGGTGAGTGTGACAAGGGGAGAGTGACTGTATGTGGGGAGGCTGTGTTAAACATGATCTCCCCACACTGAGTAGTAACCTTTTTTTTTCTTCTTTTTTAAAGATATAGTATTTGCCTCTCTCCTGTTCACCTCCTGTGCAGGATGGAGGGCAATAATTCATCACCTAGTGGTCCAGTGGGCTGTTGGTGCAGTCACATTCCACCTTGCCTGGCACTCGATGATGATGTCAGAGTGCAGGCTGGGAATCTCAGCGACGCTGGTCTGACTCCCTCACAAAGCGTGAAACCGCGAGGGAGTGTGGCTGCACCACATACTGCTAGGGAGTCAATTTCTAAAGAGGAGGGACTGATCAGAGCCAGAGATGATGAACATCTGCCTCTGGATATAGCGCACCCCTCCATGTGGCACTTACACCCACAGCACCCTAGTTTAACCACAGCTTTATATATTTCTATTTGCATTTTGCCAATTGTATATTTGCACCTAAATGCTTGCATTTCACCTTTATAGTTTCTACATATTTTGCTGCTGTCTGCTGCAGCACCAGAATAGTTAATTTAGTAAGTAATGGATAATTTGAGCATTGTTGGTGATTTAGTCTATGTTTTGTATCTTGTTAGTAGAGTTAGTGATATCCTGGTATTTTGTAGCTTTTATAAACCACTGGATATAGCAAGGCATGTTCAATTTTTTTCCCACTTCCACAGATTGCTTTGAGTGAAAATTTTAGTAGCCAACGGGTTGCAAAAAGTAGAATGAAATTTCAAAATTGCTGATAATTTCATTGACATGAGCTACAGTACTATATCTTACTATTAAAGGAACACTATAGTCACCTAAATTACTTTAGCTAAATAAAGCAGTTTTAGTGTATAGATCATTCCCCTGCAATTTCACTGCTCAATTCACTGTCATTTAGGAGTTAAATCACTTTGTTTCTGTTTATGCAGACCTAGCCACACCTCCCCTGGCTATGATTGACAGAGCCTGCATGAAAAAAAAAAACTGGTTTCACTTTCAAACAGATGTAATTTACCTTAAATAATTATATCTCAATCTCTAAATTGAACTTTAATCACATACAGGAGGCTCTTGCAGGGTCTAGCAAGCTATTAACGTATCAGGGGATAAGTAAATCTTAATTAAACAGAACTTGCAATAAAGAAAGCCTAAATAGGGCTCTCTTTTACAGGAAGTGTTTATGGAAGGCTGTGCAAGTTACATGCAGGGAGGTGTGACTAGGGTTCATAAACAAAGGGATTTAACTCCTAAATGGCAGATGATTGAGCAGTGAGGCTGCAGGGGAATGTTCTATACACCAAAACTGCTTCATTATGCTAAAGTTGTTCAGGTGACTATAGTGTCCCTTTAATGACTACTGCACAATCACATTCATGGCCGGTGCTTATACTAGCGATCTCATATGACATTGCAGGATCTTCAATTTGCACATTCGTGACTGAATCGCACATGTGCAATGTATTTTTCAAGCATTCCCAGGGATAGGACAAGGATTGGTTAGATCAGTGCCCCCTAGGAGAATGAGTGAAAAAATTATTATATTTACCTGCATGTTCAGCCTGCAGAATGAGACAACTGTCTCATTCAAAGCTAAAACGTTTCAATGAGAAGTTGTGTCAAACTGATGCATGTCCCTTTAAGATACTAATACAGAGAAAGGTTAGAAAATAACTTTGACTAACAACCTGTTGTCTTGCGCAAGAATTAAAAGCTTGCTTTTTTTAGACATGCGATTATCAGCCTAAATGGGCCACTTGACCGGTATCTAAGGTATTATCTCTAAATCTCTCACCTAGGCCCTAGTTTTTGCAGGATTGTCCCTAGTTTTGGGCACCTGTCATGGAGTCATAGGGTCGTTCTCTGGTGTTCTGTATCTGAGACCACAAAGAAAACGTCCCCAACAAGTGCAATAAAGGAAATTATTAGTCAAAATCATGCTAGCACGTGATGTGCAGGCACACGGCCCTACATTTCTATTTTCATGTCAACCTGCAAAATGGAAACAAATATTGTGTTTTACATTTATATGTATAACAATGCATAAGAAAATAGGGAAATCTAAAGGTGTCTACTTTTTATAATGCTTTTATACTGTATTATTGTGGTCAGTAAATATCAGACCTTCTTCAAATGTTCATATACCTAAGTATTAAAACCTCTGTTGTGCCCAATGCCACCATGTGGTCAGAAAAGGCTACTATTCCAATGGGAGTTATAAAATGTGGGGAAAACAACTTTGTATTACTGGCTCTACAGTATCTTTTTAAGGGCCTGAAAAAGTGTTTCAGTGTTAATTAAACTACATTAGAACAGAAAATCACCACAGAATGAGCAGGCTGCTAGTTGCTGTTCACCTGACCGAGTGTTAGTTGTAGCTTCAGAGGGCATAGTCAAACGTAGCATTTAAATTGTCTATCAGCTCTAAATATATTTTTGAATGTCATAAGCATAGATTGGTTTGCTAGGCCTTAAGGAAAAACTGTTGTCATTTTTCAGTTATTAAAAATAAAAGAATACATGCATTATAACCTTTGTGTATTTTTTCTTTGTAATTAATACATATAAGTAAATACCTCTTTTCAGTGCATCTCGTGGCTTACCATTGCTCTAAGCAGCAGCCATTTTACGTCAGTTGTTTGCCAATAGCATGTACAATTTAAACACCTGAAGCAACCTCAGAGAGCAGTTACGAGATAACTGTTACTTGTACATAGCAGATGGATTTGTGAAAAAGTGTTTGAATGCTGGGATGTATGCACATACACAACCCCGTGCATGCACACAGATACATATACACAGATAACACAAATACACACAACAGATGCACATATACACGCAGATCACACAGTTAAGACATATATACACACACAGATAACACAAAGATCACAATTGACATATGTAGTGGACCACAGGTAACCCGAATGACTACCTCCGCTAATTCCCTTCCGTCAGTCATTCCGGACCCACTTAGAGACCCATTTCCCCCGAGTAACTTTACAACACCTAGTTCTGGAGGTACAACTCAATTTTATTATGCCACACTCGGCTTTTTTGTGCAAAAGCCCCATGCAACACAAACCAACAGGGTCCCATCCCAGGGTCCTCCACCTCCCAGGGGTCTTAGCACTGAAAAAGTTGACTTCACTCCCTTTGTTCCCCGTTCCCGCCACCCAAATCCAGGGTCTCCCGCTCCAGATGTCAGGGGTGGGGAGGTCTTCATCCCAGGAGCCTCTTTACCTGGGAGTTATATCGCTGGAAAAGACTTCCGCTTCTTTGTCTCCCAGGCACAGAAAGTCTGCAAAACTAGCCCGTGCCCCAAAAGGGTGCCCACACCAACCTCAGTGACCCCCACAACAGTACCTGGCTCGAACAGCCTCTGTTCGTGGGGTCCCTGTGTGAAACCAGGCAAAGGAAGCGTCTCCTTTCGGGATACGACTGCTCCCCCTGGTTGGCGTCCATCTATACGAATGGCGGCCACCCAGGGAAGCACTCATTAATTACTTCCCTTGCGGTTTCACACTTATGGTGCAAGTGTGAATGTTTTAAATTGATTGGTGCGAACATTCTAATGGACGTTCTAACGAGTGTTCTAAATGGGCTGTTGGGGTGGTCCCTGTTCGGGAGGTGAATGGATTCCTGTAATGAAACCTGATGAGGTAGCTGTTGATTCGTCTTTTTCCACCCGAACTGCTATGAGCAGGAGTGATTATAGCTCGCAGTTCGGGTTTCCATTTGTCTCTTTCTCCAGATCAGATACAGTTATCCTAGCAGATTCTCCCAAGGTAGTGAACAGGTACCCAAACATCAGCCGAAACTTGATGAAGGGTGTAACAAGACTGAAGCTTTATTGGTGCCACACTGGCTTTTATACAATTCCCCATGCAAGGGGCACTCCCCCGTGGACCTTGTGGATGAGAGGTGTAACGATACCTTACCTTTCCTCCTCGGACCTGCGTAGCACGGCGTCCTCTTCACTCACTTCCGGTGAGCGACACAGCCCTTCTGACGCCGACCTCTCACAACATTCTCTCATTTATAATACAGCGCATGCGCGCCGTAGTAATAGTAAGTGCCGACGTAATCCAAAACGTGACCACGCCCCCGGACCTTTTGGGGGCCTGGTTTTAAAGCTATAAACCTCACACTATATGAGTTGTAAGGCGCCCTAGTGTGGTTCCTGTTGGTTCCTCTAGTGCTTATATTATTCTTCAGTGTTTGTTTCCTGGTTATTGACTTTTGGCTTTCCATTTTGACTATTCTGCTGTCTGGTTCCCCGTATTTTGGCTAGGTTATATCGTTTATCAGTCTTCTGTACTCCCTTGATCTCTGGCTATCCCTTTGACTACTCTAAAACATTAGTCCGGCCACTCTAAGGTCCGGTATACGTTCTCCTCTGGGTTATACTCTGTGAGAAGGGGTCACTATCGTGACAACAGGGACACAACTTTTTACAGCCAATAGCAGTGTAGTGACAAACAGTGACACTCCCAACACAAACAAGTAATTCCTGCCTCTCTACCTGGAGATAACTGGGTCAGATAAAGTAATAACTTAATTATCTCCAGGCAGAAAAAAACATAATTTTCCCAAAAATTAGAAAGTACCCTAAATATACAGGATCCCCATAAATGTCATATCCCCTGATAGCCCTAATCTGGGTGACCAACATACCCAAAAACCACCAAGATCAGTTCAGGGGTTTTCGAATATCATGGAAGTCCCATTTGGACCGACCGCACACAAGGCTCCTGCCCAGAAACAGTTCCATGAGTTTAGTCTGTGCGGTTGGTCTATTTCAACAAATCACAAAACCAAACTAATGCACAAACTGAACCCTCTGGCTCATAGTAGTGATTGTTCTCATGGTTCGTGGAAACCAAACTACCGAACAGCGTTCTCCTAGCTGTACGGGAAAAGGAAGCAGGCGTTCGGAAAGTCAAGTGTCTGATTTTAGTTCCAGACACTCGACGACCAAGTCCCGCTGCCTCGTTTCGTGCAAACAAGATGGCCGCCGTTCAGCTATACGAACGGTGGCCACACAGGGAGAGCGCTTAATTGATGCTTTTCTTTGGTGATAATGAGCCAGAGGGGTGGTCGGGGATTCGGTAGTTTTGAAACTACCGAACAAATAAACGAAAACTAGGGAAACAGGCGAAATATTGTTCAAAGAAAAGTTAGGAAATACTGGGTTTTCTTACAATTCCCTTCGTGGAAGCACTCCCGAATGGGGAGCGGTCCCAATACGCTAACACATAGGGCAACACACATAATAAAGAGAGAGGAAATGTATGAACAGCAGCAGTTCCGCTACACAACATAATTTTAGCTCCACCCTGTTTTTATGTCTTTTCGGTGCAGTAGGGCAGCTACCCTGGGGTCCAGTGACATCTGGCTGAGTCTGATGGGAGTCTGGTTTAGGGTCTCCCTCCTCTATGGTCCAGGCTCTAACTCCTCCCTCTTGTCCTCCCCTCTCGCCCTCTCCTGCTAGGCTTGTTGCTAAGCTGAGAGGAGGCAACTTGTACTCACTTCCTCCCAGCACCGTGGATTCACACCAAGCAGGAGGCTCGGTCGCACTGTTAAAGGGCCATAGCTCCTGACCAGGCCTCTGATCAAAGATGGGGTTAAAGAGGCATTGTAATGCCTAACTTACCCTTCTCAAATTGCTTCCTCTTCTCTTCCTCTCTCAGAATTTGTTCTTCTTTTCTTTATTTCTGATCTACTTTTCTTTAAATAAAACAAAATAAAAGATATATAAAAAAGAAACACAAAGAATGGGGGATAAACCCTAAATGGTGAATTTAAAAAAGAAAAAACTAAACAAAAACAAACAAAACAAAAAAAAGTGTTCCTAGCTAAAAAGAGAGTTATTCAGTAAGTAAAAGCAATAAAACGTAACCTTTTATTAATATTATCATTAAAATCTGAACACACACAATAAAAAGTTTTAGTAATTAATATGCCCATGTTATTATCAGTTTGAATGTATATCGGGTGAAGTCTAGGGGATGGTACAAAGTAACAACACTTTTCCCAGTAGTGTAAGTTGATACAGAGTAGCCATTAGTATCAAGTAGACTGAGAAAGAAGGCTGCGCATATAAGTAGGAAACTATTAAGGAAAAGGAAAACTCACGTTAAAAACCCACCTTAGACGGATCTACAAAAAGTACTTGGTATCTGCAGCATGTCTCTTAGTTACAAGTGATGGAATATAGCGACTTAGAAGTTTGCGGTAACAGGTCTATAATGTAGGTATAGGTATGTACAAATTAATATAGAGAGCAACAGAGTACTAATCCTACTGTGCCTTTGATGGCACTCCTTAAAGGACCACTATAGTGCCAGGAAAACAAACTCGTTTTCCTGGCACTATAGTGCCCTCAGGGTGCCCCCACCCTCAGGGTCCCACTCCCGTGGCGCTGTAGGGGGAGGAAGGGGTTAATCCTTTACCTTTCTTCCAGCGCCGGGCACCCTCGGCGCTGGGACTCTCCTCCCTCTTCTGATGTCATCGGCTGATGTCATTCTCAATGCTTTCCTATGGACGCTGGCATCTTCTCACTGTGAAAAATCACAGTGAGAAGCGCCTCTAGCGGCTGTCAATGAGACAACCACTAGAGGCTGGATTAACCCATAGGTAAACATAGCAGTTTGTCTGAAATTGCTTTGTTTACAGCAGAAAGGGTTAACCCTAGATGGACCAGGCACCCAGACCACTTCATTAAGTGGTCCTTTAAATAAAGCTATATCTGGAGAGATATCCGCAAGACATAGACCAAACTGTGTGTGTGTGTAGATATATATATAGCCAATTACAATAGAATAAGGGAATAGAGAATCTTGGAAAGTGTTCAATCCGTAATAGGAATAATGAAATAATAAATAAAAACTGATAACATGTTGAATACCTCGAGCCCCTGATGCACGCCTTTCGCCAGAGTGGCTCATCAGAGGAGGAGCTTAAGTCAACTCCATTGCCTGTCTTTACAAGAAAGTACTCACCCTTCTCCGTGACACAAGAAATAGAGCGGACTTAAGCTCTTTCTTTGGTCAAAGAAAATCAAGTGTAGGAAAAATACATAAGACAAAGTAGTTCCTACTTTGTCTTATGTTTTAAAGAAAAATAGTCCAAAAAAAAAAAAAAAAAGAAAAAAAAAAAAAAAAAGGAACAGATTCTGAGAGAGGGAGAAAAGTGGAAACAAATGGGGAAGGCAGGTTTGCCCAGAAAGTCTGTGGGGAGTGTCCTTCGAAGATTTGGCAGGTCTTGTTTTAATTTGGGGACAATTCCCTGGTGACCCTAAAAGCTTTACACCAGGGAACAAAGTCAAGATGGCAGACAGCAAAAAATCAGGAGCGTCCCACCAAAATCAGGAATGTTAGGAGGCATGTATCATAACCAATTCAGTGATTTGAAATGCTCATGGTGCCGGTCGCCTGTATCTGTAGCGTTTTGCTATGAAAAGCTGCGCGTACGGAAATCAACTACTCTTCTGCCGGAGGTATAACTCAGCCTCCCACAGTGTCATTGAGACATCAAATGGGGCATGTACCTCATAACTGAGGAGTTGATTCCTTTGATAGCAGCTGAATCAAAATATCTACTAGGACACTACAGCGTAATCGTAAGTAAATTAAAGGACCACTCTAGGCACCCAGACCACTTCAGCTTAATGAGGTGGTCTGGGTGCCAGGTCCTTCTAGGGTTAACCCTTTTTTTTTATAAACATAGCAGTTTCAGAGAAACTGCTATGTTTATGAATGGGTTAAGCCTTCCCCCTAATCCTCTAGTGGCTGTCTCATTGACAGCCACTAGAGGCGCTTGCGTGTTTCTCACTGTGATTTTCACAGTGAGAGCACGCCAGCGTCCATAGGAAAGCATTGTAAATGCTTTCCTATGCGACGGGCTGAATGCGCGCGCAGCTCTTGCCGCGCGTGCGCATTCAGCCCAGGAGGAGGAACGGAGGAGGAGAGAAGGAGGAGAGCTCTCCGCCCAGCGCTGGAAAAAGGTAAGTTTAAACCCCTTTCCAGAGCCGGGCGGGAGGGGGTCCCTGAGGGTGGGGGCACCCTCAGGGCACTATAGTGCCAGGAAAACAAGTATGTTTTCCTGGCACTATAGTGGTCCTTTAAAATGTATTGAGAAAATGCACCTAATTCACACAGACGCATTTCTAAACCAATTTATTGTAAGTCAAAGACACATTACTGTAATTATTCTTGCTGTGGAGCGCTGTTATACACTCAGACACACCAACAGTATGAAACTCCTAGAAAAGAGACACAAAGGGATTTGCCTTCAAAATAGGGACTGTCCATCCTAAATAGGGACAATTGGGATGTATGCTTTTAGATTTTCCTCCATTCTCACTATGTGTTATAAATTACTAAACTATATAAACTGTGTCCTCCTGGTTCATCATAGGAACATAGCCCATAAACACACAGGTTTGAATCAAAACCTATTTAAAATATAAAAAAGAAAAATAATACAAAAAGTTTAATTTAAACACCATGAATACACGCAGCTATACTATATAAAAATGAACCAGCCGCCCTCCCTGTCTGTTTTCCAGTGTGAGGACTAGAATGCTATATTCATTCAATGACTATGGTAAATGGGCACAGTGAGAGCGGGTTAGTGACACTCATTGCGCATGCGTCACGTGGAACGCAAACACACCGTTGTCGCAGGGTGATTACGTGCGTGAGTCCTTGGATACTGGTTGCTAAGGAAACCTTGCAGGGCGCTCGGTTGCTAAGGAGAGCTGCTCTCACTTGGATCGGAACCAAAATGGACGCCACAGCGAAACCCCTGCGAATCCCCCCTGAGATGGCTGTGTATGCCGAGGAGCACAAGGTGTTCGACATCATCCAGGTGAGGGAGCAGAATCCATTGCTAACCTGCGGCACCATGTTAGAATACTGTCATGGATCATGGCTCCAGCTTAAAGGACATGGAGAAGGGTGTTTAAATAAGGGTGCAGTCCGTGCAGAGTATTATGGGTGGGGGCAGATGTTTATGGGAGGCAATGCAGGGTACAGAGTATTATGGGGTGCAGTACAGCACTTGGGGCATGGAGAATGGGGTTTAAATGAGGAGTGCAGAGTATTATGGGTGGGGGCAGATTTTTATGGGAGGCAATGTAAGGTGCAGAGTATTATGGGTGGGGGCAGATTTTTATGGGAGGCAATGTAAGGTGCAGAGTATTATGGGTGGGGGCAGATTTTTATGGGAGGCAATGTAAGGTGCAGAGTATTATGGGTGGGGGCAGATTTTTATGGGAGGCAATGTAAGGTGCAGAGTATTATGGGTGGGGGCAGATTTTTATGGGAGGCAATGTAAGGTGCAGAGTATTATGGATGGGGGCAGATTTTTATGGGAGACAATGCAGGGTACAGAGTATTATGGGGTGCAGTACAGCACTTGGGAAGTATAGGAAGTAATGTAGATTTCAGGGTATTACACCGTAAATGTAGGTTACAGAACATCACGGGGTGCAGATTTTTTTTGGCGGGGGGGGGGGGCAATGTTGGGTGCAGTTCAGCACTTAGTGTATTATAGGAAGTAAGGTAGGGTACAGGACATCATGAGGTGCACACCAGTATCTAGGTCATGGATTATAGAATGCACAATTACAATTATTTGTATATCGCCAAGATATTCCACAGCGCTGTACAATAGGTAAACAAGGCAAACATTTAATTCTAACAAAACATGCGCTACACAGGGGAACAGCAGGGAAGAGGACTCTGCCCAATCGAGCTGCCCTCCCCGCACTCTCCCGTCCCCGAGCTGAGAAAGGTGGAAAACAACTTTTTACTTACCCGATTTCCAGTGCTGATGTCCCTTGGTGCTAGGTTGCTCTCCTCCTTTGCCGACAACAGCCGATGGGGGGAACACCAAATGCTTATGCATGGCATGCAGATTAGGTCTTCCCTATAGGAAAGAACTGCTTAAATGCTTTCCTGTCGGATATTAAAAGATCCTGCCTCTAGTGTCCTTTTTAGGGGCAGTTTGGGCACCATATATATCTTGATCGGACACATACAGATTTATTCTCTAAAGTGAAAAATTAAGGTGTATTTCAAATTTAAAGGAACACTCTGGGTACCAGAATAACGCATTAAAAATTAAGTTGTTATGGTGTTAGGAGGTCCCTGGCGCTGGTTCATCTTAAGTGGTTAGACTGTTCTAAAAAGTTTTAACCCCAAATTCTGTGGTCCAGCACCTAATCTTCCTGCCTCTCTGTCATTTTGGCCGAAACTGACTTGAAAAGAAACGTATCTTATTCATGACTGTGGAGTCACTGATTGGCTGAAAGCATCAGCTGATCACTCTAAGGCAATCAGCGACGCACCTGCCTGATTCTGGAAGAGCCTTCCTTGATTTTAAGAAACGGAAGAACAGAGAGGCAGATAGATTTGGCGCTGGAACAAAGACTTTGGGGTTAAAGCATTCAAGATTACGTTGTTATAGTGCCCGGAGTATTCCTTTAAATTTGAAATTCACTTTAGTAAATAACCCTGCATGGGACTGATCAGGATGTGTATAGAACGTTTTAGTGAAATCACAATCCCATATACATATAAGCTATTCTTAAAACGTTTAAGGACCAGTAACAGCCAATGCCATTATTAAAAATCAAGTCAACCTTATTACTAAAATGAACTTTCCTACTCATTGTGGAGACTTTGTGTAAAGAAAAGTTATGAAGAATTGAAGAGGAATTGTGCATATTTAGGTCAAAATAGCATAGCTGTAAAACTTTTCCAAGCCAGTTATTTATCCAGCTTGACTATTTTGTCTTAAGATTTCAAATTCCTTTCTCAATTCTCCACAATTTCTGGTTTAGAGAATGCGTCCCATAATCCCACAGTTTCAAAATAAATAAGACTTTTCATTTCTGGAATAGGGTGGACCAGATATTTATGAAGGCAGAGATTAAAGAATAGCTTATACTGTATATTTTTAGATGAGATCTAGATAGTGAGATAGGTGCATGTGTAAATCCTGTTTATCCTCATTTTTTTTTTGTTGTTTTTTAGAAAATGGTGGAGAGACTTCTAGTAGACAGACCAGAAAACACTATTCAATACCTGATAGATCACCTGCGCAATGATAATGATGAAGGTAAAGCTGAACATCAGGAATTGTTTAATTGTTTAGAACTGTGTAAAACTCTGTTAATTTAGTCTCAGAATACCATCTGATTGACACACCATGGTACTTTGCTGTGCATGCCTGCAAGCCTCGCAATGCTTTCCTATGGGAAAGCATTAGTTTGGCTGAGATCATTAACATTGGAAGAGCTTCCCCAACGACACCTGCAATGTGAGGGGAAAAAAAGACAATTAAAATGCCTCTTTTAACCCTGGCAGCACTGGTCCGGTTACCTAAATGGTGACTATGGCACTATAGCATTAGAAATACATATTTGGGGGGGCGGGGCCGGACCGCCGAGCTGGACGGTCGCAGGCAAGCAGAGCTCCTGCACCACAACAATATAAACGACCAAAAACCATGCCTTTAAAATGAACAACAGACTGACAGCAACGAAGCCAAACGCAGAGGGACGGCTGGATCCAGGGCGAGGCTGGCTCCACAAGCTACAGTCCCCTGGAAGAGAAATTCTCGCTCTCGTGGGGCCTTCTCCGGCGGTGAGGCGGACGGCCGCTGCCCCACCGACCTGCAATACAACACCCAACCTAAGGCACTAATCCGGGCGGATTCGGCCCTGTTCCCCCCCCCTATGGACCGGGGGGGTGATCCCGGTCCCCACCTTAAGGCTTTGACCGGGACGCCGCGGCTGAAGCTGTGGAGTCAGACTGAGAGATCCAAGATGGCGGGCGCCATGTGCGCAGGGGACGAAGAGGTGACCGGCACCCAGCATTAATACCCACGGCTGACAACGCGGTTCCTACCTTCGAACCTGGCAAAGCTGAGAAGCGAGACCATTGTCACCTCCACCCGCAGGTATTTGAACCAGCGACAATGGCAGCGTCATGGGGGGAAGGAGGTAACCCGCGCAACGACCATTGCTACCTGAATGGACTGAGCCTGTCACCGGCGCGAAGACAGACCAACCACACACCCAGTCTGCAACAAAGCCACCCAAGAATCGACAGCACCCTATAGCGCTACATAGGTGGCCCGTGGCCTGATACCTGTTCCAGACACTCGACACATGCCACACAGATCGAGCAGAGCAGGTGTTGGTTACCAGTGGGACTCCCCGCGTATGTGAGGACTCAGGACCACCAAGAAGACAACTCCCCGCGGAGGCAGCATGGGGGTCCCGGCCGGCCGGGGTGGTAACAGCGCTTAAGCGTTCAACCGGACTCTAGCCTGTCTATAACTAAAACATACTTATTGTTTAAACTTACAGCTTTAGCTTGCTTTTATAATATATGTTATGCACCAGCAATATTCAGAGCATTTAAAATATAGTCAACGCATAGACACAACTTGAATATACCATATAGCTACTGGTAAAATCGAATGTTTAAACTTGTTACTAATATAAAATGTGCTTGTCCAACTTGTGCCCCGCATGTTGAGCGTGGGAATTGCTGAGGGATTGCTCTTGGGGCATCTCTAGACTGCCTGTACGGTACACATATGCACAACAAAAATAAAGAATAAAAAAAAAAAAAAAAGAAATACATATTTGAATTCCTAATGCTATAATGTTCCTTTAACAATCATACATTACATTTAACACTGCACTTTTGCAACACACCTTTCAACACTGCTTCCAGTTGATTTCTATGAAAAGTTTATATTTTTCCTATTTGTAAGTATGGAGTGCGTTGTTCATTCACTGTGTCATTTGCTTGCCTTTTTCCTGCGAGTCATCTGTAAAGTGCTTATATTAATATGAAGCAAAAATATAAAATACATAGATCACCTATAAAGTGATGAGTTGATCATTATCTTATTTGTGCACAATACGACAGTGACAGTTTGGCATAATTGAAAAGTTCTAGGCTTAAAGTGCTTCTCCAAGCACCATCACCACTTAAAGGACCACTATAGTGCCAGGAAAACATACTCGTTTTCCAGGCACTATAGTGCCCTGAGGGTGCCCCCACCCTCAGGGACCCCCTCCCGCCCGTCTCTGGAAAGGGGAAAGGGGTAAAAACTTACCTTTTTCCAGTGCTGGGCGGGGAGCTCTCCTCCTTCTCTCCTCCTCCGTTACGACAATGCTTTCCTATGGACGCTGGCGTGCTCTCACTGTGAAAATCACAGTGAGAAGCACGCAAGCGCCTCTAGTGGCTGTCAATGAGACAGCCACTAGAGGCTTTGGGGGAAGGTTTAACCCATTAATAAACATAGCAGTTTCTCTGAAACTGCTATGTTTATTAAAAAATGGGTTAACCCTAGCTGGACCTGGCACCCAGACCACTTCATTAAGCTGAAGGGGTCTGGGTGCCTAGAGTGGTCCTTTAACAGATTGAAATGGGTCATGGTGCCTCGATACTGTATGTGCAGCGTATTGCTGGCAGTGGGCATCATTAACCAATGTAATTGGGGCTAATGTGAATTCTTTGCATATTTGAGTTTATAATCAGAATGTGCAGCATGCTGGTGACATGTCTAAACCTACTGCACATTCAGCGGCCACGCGTCAATGTGTCTTACTCCTGCAGCATGTCGGTGGATGCCGGCTGCTGTGGATCCACACTAATTTGTAACCCAACGTCCGCCCACGGCATTGGCGACGTCGGCATGCATGTGACGTCACGTAAAGGATGCACATGCACGTTCTGGGGTCAAAGGTCAGGTACGACCAATCGGATCTGAGAGGCCTATTAAAACTCCTTTTGCCTTTTCCTCATTGCCCTGTCGTGGTTTCCCTAGTGGTTGTCCGAGAGTGTATTTCTGAGTGTTTATTTCTGGTTATTGACTTTGGCTTCGTTTGACTTCCCTGTATTCTGGTATCCTTGACTTTTGGCTTTCCCTCATCGTTGTGTCCCCGACCTCAGCAAGTATTCTGACTATTCTTTGGTACATTAAGTCCGGCCATTCTAAGGCCTGGCAAGTTACCTGTTAGTCCTAGGTGTGATACAGTTCTACGTGCCGGATCAACTTGTAATCCTGACAGATCTCAAGGCAGCTGGGACCATAGTCACCAAGAAAACAATTAGTAACACACTACGCCGTGAAGGATTGAAATCCTGCAATGCCTGGAAGGTCCCCCTGCTCAAGAAAGCACATGTACAGGCCCGTCTGAAGTTTCCCAAGAACATTTGAATGATTCAGAGGAGAACTGGGTGAAAGTGTTGTGGTCAGATGAGAATCAAACCGAGCTCTTTGGCATCAACTCAACTCGCCGTGTTTGGAGGAGGAGGAATGCTGCCTATGACCCCAAGAACACCATTCTCACCGTCAAACATGGAGGTGGAAACACTATGCTTTCGGGGTATTTTTCTGCTAAGGGGACGGGACAACTGCACCACATCAAAGGGACGATGGACAGAGCCATGTACCGTCAAATCTTGGGTGAGAACCTCCTTGAAAAGAACCACATTGAAAATGTGTCGTGGATGGGTATTCCGTATCATCAAAACTGGAAGTGCACTCCGCTCCTCACTAGGGAATCCAGGGTGCTCTTGAAAAAGTCCCAGTACCCAAAAGGACCAAGCAGATACATTTGTAGAAAATTATCAAGGCACTCCAATAGTTTCCAATTTTTAAGGCAATTTATTTGGACCAGGAACTACAAAGCAACGTTTCAGCCCCAACAGGGCTTATTTCAAGCTTGAAAAAAGCCCTGTTGGGGCTGAAACGTTGCTTTGTAGTTCCTGGTCCAAATAAATTGCCTTAAAAATTGGAAACTATTGGAGTGCCTTGATCATTTTCTACAAGTGGATGGGTATTCCAGCATGACATTGACCCAAAACACACAGCCAAGGCAACAAAGGAGTGGCTCAAGAAGAAGCACATTAAGGTCCTGGATTGGCCTAGCCTGTCTCCAGACGTTAATCCCATAGAAAATCTGTGGAGGGAGCTGAAGGTTCGAGTTTCCAAACGTCAGCTTCGAAACTTTAATGACTTGGAGAGGATCTGCAAAGAGGAGTGGGACAAAATCCCTCCTGGGATGTGTGCAAACCTGGTGGAAACTTCTGACCTCTCTGATTGCCAACAAGGGTTTTGCCACCAACTACGAAGTCGAAGAGGTCAAATACTTATTTCACTCATTGACATGCAAATCAATTTATATAACTTGTTTGACGTGCGTTTTTCTGGATTTTATTTTGTTTTGTTATTCTGTCTCTCACTGTTAAAATACACCTACCTACCTAAAATTATATACTGATCATTTATTTGTCAGTGGGAAAACTTTCAAAATCAGCAGGAGATCAAATATTTGTTTCCCTCACTGTAAATCATAACATCAGAAAACTAGACTATTGAAACATCTTTGTCATACATAGCACAGGAGGCTCCTTTTAATGTGCTGAAGAGTGGATCTTTACTTGGACTTACCACCTCCTTCTTACAACCCAGCTACTAACAACCCGTTAGCCAAAATTACCAGCCAGTGCCTAGAGGTTCCATTCCACTTTGCTGTTTACTCTGCCTCTGACTCTGCCTTACACAGCTGCCTGTGAAATCCTCATTCTTTTTACCTAAGGTCTATCTCCAGCTTTTATCCATTGCTAACACCAGGTGCCACCAAAGTCATAATCCATAACCATTAGACATGTCCTACCTATTTCGACATGCTTAATTGTTGCCTTATGCATTGTGAAGTACTGTATTGTGCTCCGTCCTCATTTGAACCTTCTGAAATGTCCCATCTAGATGATTAGATCTCAATCTTTGCTCAGGTAACCCTTTTAAATCCATTATGAGTACCTTTGACCTACTCTTCTCTTACTTGGTCATCTTTACTTTCTCTTCTGTGTCAGTCACTCCTTTGATTTGATCCACTGGAATTAATAGATTCCAGTTACCTCCAGAGGCACAATTAAAGTCCTCACCTAAAATATTCTAAGACATTGCTATCACTACACCCGTCATCATCTCTCCTCTGTTGGTTCCAAATGTTCTCCGATCCAACCTTTTTAGCCAATACTTATCTCTTCTCTTCATCAATTCCTATAACTTCTTTTACCCTTAGGTCTTTTGTCCAATGTACTGCTCTGGCAGCTTCAACATGGATGCTGTCCAGGAGGTGGGAGGGTCTGGGAGGGAGGGTCTGCTGGAGATTGGCCAGGATGTGTCAGCTGACCGGAGTTCGCCGCGAACGGTTCGTGGCGAAGTTCGCGGACGGTTCGCGACATCTCTACTGAGAGTGCATCTCTTTCCTTTTTGCTTTACATATCCAGCGTGGGATTGCACCAAGGCAGTCTTTTACTGATTCATTGAAAGGGTGAGTGCCACTATACTTGTATATGTGTGTGTGTGTGTGTGTATGTATATATATATATATATATATATATATATATATATATATATTCCTAAAAATGATCAGTTACCTTGCCTGGGTTTTGCATTTAACCTTTGCAGTGAGATCTTCTATTCTGTGCCCTAATCTTCTGTCTCGGTCAAACTCATGACTACACAGTAGTAATATGTTAAGAGGTATTTTAGTTTAATTCAAGCCTTGTTTCTTAGCACATTATCTCATACTGCACGTATTGTTATAGTATGTCAACTTGTTTCTAATCTACATCTATCATACATCTGAATTTTCTGCTACACATTTATATATATATCAAAGTCTCCAACGCCTTTAAAGATAAAATATATTCTAGAAAGCAATATCTAAGATTTTTATGTAAATCTTTTTCCCCAGAATTCCTTTCCTGTTTTGTTTTCTGTGTCCTAGTCCCCTTAAGTAGAACTTGAATTGTTTTTGTTTTGTTATTTTGGCACCAAGGGCTGGCTCATCTTTCATGGACATCTATGAAAAAAAACAAAAAAAAAACCTCCAAAAATATAGACTCAAGCAATAATAATTTTAGAAGCCGTGGCTTCTGTGCTCGCGGGATTCTTTCAGTTCTGGTGATGATGATATATCTACACCTAAATTGCGCTTTTAAGGGCAAACCAAAAGCAGAACGTAGCTATAAACCAGGATTTATCTGTGTAACATAAAGTATACTCTTCAGCAGAATGTTTTCTTCATCCTCCAACTATCCTTTGCTCTCCCTGAGACTGACTGGCACGGCTCCGTTATTAAAGATATTGATTTTTATTTGCTACAAAGACTTCTGACCGCTGGAGAAAGATATTTTCTGGTTTGTCAACTTGTTAAAAGAAATATAAGCACACTCGCTTTCCTCATCCCACCAGGATCATACGTCAGTTTTCTGGACACTAAATTATATAGATAGATGGAAACGGCTATAAGTGTGTAGGTATCGACCGTCCTAAGGCCTCCAGCTGTTAAGCTTGAACATAGAGCTTTGAATATTCATGCCTTCATTTCTAAATTATAGTTTGTTATTAATGATTTTACTTGGAAAGTACAAAAAGTGCCTTTTCAAATCTAGGTTGCTGCTTCAGCTCATCATTCTGAAGTCAATAAAAATGGTATCATTGTGTTGGGAAATTTGAACATGTATATTTTCAGGACAAACATGAAATATGGACAATCTATGCACTATGCTGTTTTGCATCCTAGACCCTGAGTCAAAATATTTTTGAATAGTTTGACCAAAACTGGGGTCATGGAGGCACTTTTGGCATGGCCTTTGAAGCACTGCTTGGTAATACTGATGTTACATCTACATTAGAGGTATGAGTTTTGTTCATATTTGGGCAGCATTGTGAGCTGTTCTTGCCATCTAAAAATAGAAAATATTCCCAACACCAGCAAAATAAATTATTATTTGAAATATTAGCTTTTACAAAGCTCTTCATTTATTTTGGTAGCGATTGCTGGTGGCACCTTCCCCAGGAGACCTTCCCAATTGGTAATCCAAACAGGTCAAATATACAACCACAGATAATATGGGGATACAGCTAAAAACTTACAAAAAATAATAATAAAATATATAATAGTGTAATAACAATAAAATGTAGTTATCACAAGCAAGTATGGAATCACAGGATGAAGACTATATGATAATATCCCAAAACATCCGTGCAGGCACCCTGGAGCTTATTATATTGTCTTCAATGTATTCATACTTGCCTGTGATACTTCCTCTTAATGTTATTATACCATTGTGTGTGTATATTCAGAGTAGGTTTTGAGGAGTCAATAGTTTTATTTATTTATTTTATTGATGAACCAATTTCATTGATATTGCATACAACGAATGCTTAATCTATGGAGATTTGGTTCACTAGGTACTGAAGATGACATTTTTGAAATCGTCTCCACAGCCGGGCTCTTTCGATTGCATTAGTTAATGTTTGAGGCTCTAGCGCTCTATTTTTTCCCCCCAAATATTCTCCTTGAGCTGCTCAGATGCATGCAGTTTGTTCACGTATACCCGCTCCTTCAAATATCCCCACGGGAAACAATCGGGAGCTGACAGGATGGGCAAATGTGGTGGCTAAATAATTGGGAAAAAATGGGAATTTCTTAAAATTATCAGCTCGCCGAACAGTTGTTTAAGGAGGTCCATTGTCGCTCAGGCAGTAATAGCAGTAGCCCCATCCTATTAAAAATAAACACACTTCAGGCTGATTTTCCTCATTGCGTCAAAATAGTGGACCTGCCATTCTGAAAATAAAATTCTACTATTTTTACTTGTACCTTTCTGAAATCACCCATGATGAATATCCCAAGACTCAGTTATAATATTTACCCGCATCAAAAAAGCAATTCTCCTACGTGCCTTCAAAGCTGCTACAGTGCATGTGTGTCATGGCATGTGTTTGTTACTCATCTCCCTTTTCGGATACTGATTCCTAATAGAGCTGTTTGGAAGTCTGATAAAATAATTTATACCTGGTCAGGAACAGAAGTGTTCCAAATCATGTATCACATCTCCTTCTCTGGCACCTCCTCTTCTCCAGTACCTCTTTTAAGTGTAGTACCCAAGATTCAGTTCTGGCTCCCTTTCTCTTTTCTATGTGCATTGCCTCTCTGGGCGATCTAATAACTTCTTGAATTCCATTACCACCGATATGCTGCCAAATCTGAGATGTACCTTTTTCCCAATCTCTCTTTCTCTATCAGCTACCTGTAAACTTTGTGTTTCAGTCTAAAACCTGGGTTTTGCCTGCAAAGTTCTTTCCTAAACTAAACATACAATTTACTGAAAAGTACAAACCAACTTGGACCTTTTTATTCTGCCAACAATCTTTACCTGATCTCCTATTGTACCCTAATCTGCTCTAGGACATCTTTTAGTGCTGCCCTGTTCTTATGGAAAGCCCTACCTCAAACTTACTTTTGTCTCAAAACCCCCCAACACACTTCTCTAGGATAGGACATCCAGATCCTACTTGCAAAGTTATTTGTCTCCTGTTGCAGTCTGATCCTCTTCAAACTTACCACTGGTGCCGTACAACCATGCTAACATGATAACAAGGAAACTATTGATGCTGATATTAGTCGCTCATTTCTGCTCAAACACCTTTTAATAAATCATTTTCTATCTCCACTCAGAGAAGAGCCTTGATTTTCCAAATGCCAGTTGAATTCTATATTCTTTCCCTAGGTTTAAAGGAACACCATAGTCACCTAAACAACTTTAGCTTAATGAAGCAGTTTTAGTGTATAGATCATGCTTCTCAGATTTCACTGCTCAATTCTCTGCCATTTAGGAGTTAAATCACTTTGTTTCTGTTTATGCAGCCCTTGTCACACCTACCCTGACTCTGATTGACAGAGCCTGCATGAAAAAAAAACTGGTTTAACTTTCAATCAGATGTAATTTACCTTAAACAATTGTATCTCTTTCTCTGTAAATTAAACTTTTATCACATACAGGAGGCTCTTGCAGGGTCTAGCAAGCTCTTAACATAGCAGGGGATAAGAAAATCTAAATTAAACAGAACTTGCAATAAAGGAAGGATAAACTTTAGATGACTCTTTACAGGAAGTGTTTAGGGAGGCTGTACAAGTCACATGCAGGGAGGTGTGACTAGGGTTCATAAACAAAGGGATTTAACTCCTAAATGGCAGAGAATTGAGCAGTGAGACTACATGGGCATGATCTATACATCAAAACTGCTTTATTAAGCTAAAGTTGTTATAGTGACCATAGTGTCCCTTTAAATATTGCAGACGTGTTTCACAGGAGCTCCTCCACAGTCTTGGCGTTGAAAGTGACAGGGCCCCATTCAGCCTGATTTCGGGACCACCTGGAGCCCACTCTGGTGCATGACATTGCTGGGCCTGGTAGTAGGGGTCGGTGACCTGGCGAAAGACGAGCAACTACACTAGCGACAGTATGCGGCCTAGTATGCACCGGGCAGGGGAAGGTGGCCGCTCTCCCGCTCCGGAGACACTCAGCGACTGCTATGGGGGACTGTCGGGGGTGATCACGGTTCAACCTGGGAGAGGGAAACTCCACTGGGAAGGAGGAGAGGTGAAGGATGGCAGGCAAGCGACTAAACCCACTACTGATCCACCCCTAATGGCGGTCACCTCGTGCCTCCCTTGTAGCCAAGATCCCACTACAGAGACCACGCTTCAGGCGAAACTAGAGGCCATCCTAGTGGCATTCTGGAGAAAGCTGGAGAGACGGGCACTACAACAAGTCCAGCTACAGGTAAGCAGCCCCTTACTGAACGGCGCCCTGCATGCACAGATCATTCTTGTGGCTCCCGCAGGGAAGAGGAGCCCAAGGAGAAGGCGACCCAGGTCTCACGTGTCTCACCAGCACAAGCAGCGGCAAAAGCGAAGCCAGACATGCGGGAGACTTGCGCCTGCACCCAGCCGGGGGTCTCCGGTATTCCTGGCAGCCAACACCCAAGGGACTGTCCGGCTCCACGTGGCAAGACCGGAGCCCGAAGATATGAAGCACCTCACTAAACCACCCACCCGCGGGCTCTTCTGCCTGACCACACTACCTCCGTCAGCACAGCGGAGACCCAAGCAACCCCTGCAGGGCATTGGCTGACCAGAGGAACAAGCTGGGGACGCTGAGACAGGCACAGGAGTCACTACTTGCCACCCAAAAACGCATCACATGAACACTCGCACACACGGTGCATATCCGCTAATGGGACAGTTCTAAATGATTGCTTGGGAGAGCGAATAAGGGCCCTGGGGTAGTTTTGTTTTATCCTAACGTTTTTATCCTACGTTAGTCTACTTAAAGTTATCTTATGCATAATTATTTAAAGGCACTCCATTAAACCGGAGCAGGATGATACAATAGCATGACACATGTGCAGGTTAACCTGCTTGCTATTACTGCTCATTTATAAAAGGCTTAATATACTACTCATGAGACGTAACAGGTCTACTAAACGCCTAACTAAGACCAGCTAACTAGGTGGCATCATCCAGACTAACCGTGCAACCAGACAACCAGATACGCCCTATAAAGCTGCATTATAGTAAACCAGCTCAGAATATCTACCGAAATGTGCTAAGTGATGCTCATGCTTATAACCCTGGTAGATAACAACCAGGGGTGCGTAGCTAGCTAGTTTGTCCCCCCTCCTTGCTTATGTTATTTAACAGTCATCATACCTAGTGATCATTATGCACAAATCTCCTGGACCATTCCTAATTTAGAGAAGTATGATTTCAGCACTCGACTTAGCTAAGCTTAAAAACAGTCTTCACGTCCATATATCTAAAAAAATGTGCATTGTATTCCAAGGTCATGCTAGCAATCCCTCGTGTTCATCCTATGTTCCCTAGCATGTTATTATTTTAACGGCAAAGCATATAATCTGTATTTTAGTCACTCTTTACTAATATGTCTCACAACTGCCGATATAACTATTTTACTCGCAACGCACTCTCTTACGTATACAACCTGTTTCATAACAAAAAATGTGCAACTGTATATCGTGATGACCTTATATGCATTATTCCGCTTGTGTCTGCTGTCGTGGCACCACAGGTCTGTTTGTTGACTCTGTTGCACCAAAAATAAAGAATTTAATAAATATTGCACTGGTTGTGTAACCAGTTGGCGTATTTGTTCTTTTTTTGTTGTTGTTGCTGTTTTATTTTTTACATTAAAAAAAAAAAAAAGATTTAATTTGGGGGGATTGTTTAGCACATAATAATAGCTAATTACATCCTAAATATGTATTCTAATTAATTTACCATCATTCCATATTAATTTAAATATATATATATATATATATATATATATATATATATATATATATATATAATTAATTAAAATAGTTTTTGTTTAAACCATTACATTAACACCCATTAGATTAGTTAACTATAATGGATAGATAAAGAATTCTTCGATGTTCCATTTTAATGCAGTTAAACTTGCCGCAATAGATATGTCCAGAAAGATAATACAATGTATTCGTTATTGTAAGATGGGAAACACTAGGAGAGCAGATGTTTTGAGTTATCAATGTTTAATGCTTTCTGTTCCCCATATGATTTGTTCTCTTGTATTAAGCCCGGTAATGATGGCTTTTTGTTAGAAGTGAACTGGGTCCCACTCGCTGCCCGTGCTGATAAGTCCTCGCCTGTTGAAATTCTCAGGTTAGTTAGATTCAGGATTAGAGTTAATGAATTCCAAACGCAGCAGCAGCTTAGATGAAGGAATAGCATGTGTGCAAGCTCTACCCTGCAACTTGAGAAATGCAAAACATACAGCGTGCTTCCAAGACAAGGCTATGTACACTCTATAATGGGATTCATGATCTGTAGTGCCCCCCTATGGCAGTTTATTATTATTGCATGGCAGGACTATGGGTAGTGTCCTGGTTCTCTTTTCCCTGTCAATATTTACACTGTGTGCTGTTTCGATTACTGAATGCCTTTCCAACTCCTCTACTGGTATCTGCATTTTATAATTAAAGGGACACTGAAGATTTTACCTGTTTAGAGGTTTAGCATCCTCCACCCTTTCATGCATTTGATGACTGCTATGGAAAATGTCAAATAATTGAATACTATCATGCAGTAACCACCACAGTTACTAATTTGCCATGAAGGGTGCAAGTCACCCTCCTGGTTCCAACCACAACCAGCAAGTCCAGGAACCTTTTTTTTTTCTAAATTAAAGGATTCCTTAAGTATGCCAGTTTCTTTGCCTTTATCAAGCTTGACTTGATGACACGGTAAATGGATTGATTTATTCGCAAACAAGAGTGCTGAACCATTTTTCTTAGTCTTAAAAAGAAACAAATGTGCATTGGGGGGAACCCAAAATGTCCATGAATATTTGTCTCTTTTTGGCTGAAAAGGATCCATTTCTTCTGATGTTCAATGAGCAACTGAGAAATGAATATGAGAGGTAGCGTGGATACAAATGCATAAGACATCAAGTGCGCATATGAGCAGCTATCCTCGTATTGACGGGCTGCTGTTGCATATGTTGTCATTCACACAGGTAAAGCAAATCTTGTGACACATTTCTTTACAGGTGTGTACTATACAAATATGCGTAATTCCAGTGCAATCGACGTCATGGTCATAGACCTATTTACTTATCCCATTGAATTCATCTGGTGAGTTCCATCGTATGCACTTCAATGGCAATTTGTAAAAAAATAATTATTTATTTTAGTTGTTCATAGCCTTGCATTGCCAAAACAGGTGATGCAGACAGTTCAGCAAACATAGAGAAACAGTGGTATGGCATACTACATTGCTCATTTTTGTGAAATAGTACAGAATACATAAGAAAAGAAACAAGCTCTCTGCACAGTTTTACAGTAACATCATGCTAGGCTAACGTGACTAGGAGGTCATTCCACAGGAGATATACACGCTTAATATCAGTGTCTAGACAGGTAAGGGCATAAAATGAAAGCTCAGCGTTAGGTTAGGTATCCAATGGCAATTTTACCTAAATTTAGGATCCTTGGTCAAACCGTAAGGCTCAGCGAAATTTTAATCAGACACTCACGTATTGGGTTAACCATACTCTCACTTGCTCTTACACTTCTCAGTGCACCACACATGTCCGGTGCAATGTGCACGTTATTGTAGTTGGTTATGCTGGGCAGATTTCTACTAATATATTTTTTCATCTCATAATTAGCACATTGTCCCATTCACATATTGTCATATAATGAATAACAAAATGCATTCTCCACCTGCATTTCGTCCATCTCATTATCAAAAGGAGTTTCAATTACTTTTGGTAAGGCACTGCTGATACAGTTAAAAGTATATTATGGTACCTGGTACCTGTCTAACATAATGTACACGTTTAAACCAGTAGGAACTCAGACTGTACATTGAGTAGTGTAAGTTGAAAAATATAAAAAATAAAATGAAATTACCATTTTAAGCTTAACCATGGCATGATTTCGTAGTTTATTCTTTCTTTATAGAAAGTAGATAACTCATTAGCGCTATGTACCATTTATGATAATCACAATCTTTTGTTAAAGACAAAGATGCACCCTTGCCTGTTGACTTATTCAGCATTGTCCAATAAAAACAGAAAAAAAGGAGATTTAGTACAAACTGAACATTTACAGTAGCCCGGGGCAATACTAAAGCATGATGCGAGGTATATAATTGTGTGTTTCCTATTTTATCAAACGTTTGTCCAAAAAAGCTGTGCATAAAAGATCCAATACCTTGAGGGTTTTCTTGTGAATTTTAAATCACTTTCCTCGTTAAGCCTCAAAAGGATCTGTGGATGGAGAGGTTTCTTGATTTCCTTTGAAGTGCTGTGAAGAAGTTGATTAATCTTGGCAAGAGAGCACTCTTTCATGGCTCCATTAATAAATAATTCCTACACACGCAGTTGGAATTCCAAGGTGCGAGTAGTTAGACTTTAACAAACCCGAGTTTAATAATGGAAGTGAAAGTATGCTTTGGATTTTATTACTCATGATAAAATATGCAATGGGTCTGTCCATAGACAAACAGCCCGAAATGAACAAATAGTCTTGTGCTCGTTAGAGATTTTTTTCTATTCTGGTTATTTTGTGGATCCTAAGCAGGTAGTAGTTGGATAGTAAGTGTTAAGTTGTGGTTATCTACCAGTTATGGAGAACAATAGCTAATGGCAAACAAAAACATGGATAAACATACACTTTCTTAGGGTATTTTTCCTCACAGCAGTTCACTTGGAACCCAAATGGCCTAGATTTCATCAAGTTGAGTTGAGTGAAGCAAACATCCTGTCAAATCGCCATGGTAATATTCTTACCTTGAATTCAGGTAACTAATGTGCTATTGTAGGTCCATATACTTGTAGTTGGGTATTAGTAGCATCAGATTGGCTCTGGGTGCTCACTTACACGCCATTCTCTCATACTATTAATGACATTAATCATGTCCCTTGTCCTGGGAAAAGCTGCTTCTCCGATATGTCAATCACATACCACCTGACCTAGAGGACGCTGCTTTTTGTCTTTTAATGCCAAATATTCACTGTGTAAATGCAGTCTCTTTTCTGCCTTGTATGACACTACTCCTTGTGTCACTCTGATATCGTCCACTGGAAATAGTGTGACTATAGTTCTCCTACTGATTACCATTATCATGATTTTGACTAGTCTCCAGTTTTGCTGACTTTTGGGTAAGTTACTTCACCATTAATTTATGGTGTCTGCCCTGACTATGGCATTCCCTGACTTTGTCTATGTATCAGTCCTCTTATTACTGTTGTCTGTCAGCTTGTATGGTGCCAAGGATACGTGTTCCCTTATCCATGTCTGGACGATACGGGAACACGCAGAATTAAGTAAAACAAAGAAAAAGTTAATCTAGTTAAACCGGTTCTTAGGATGGCCGGACTTAACGTAAAAGAATAGTAAGTAAAAAGCTGAGGTCAGGGACACAGACAGACACAAAAACGAATAGACAAAGCCAAAAGGTCAAGGATACCATAATAAGGGATAGTCAAGAACAAGCCAAAATCAAAATACCAGAAGAAAAACTATAAGAACGCATTTGCAGATAACCAGCAGGTGGAAACCTCGACAGGGCAGTGATAAAACACAGATTTGGGTTAAAATAACCCTAAAACAATCCTCATTTGTCAGTATGGGCCCTTTGACCCCCAGACAATGACGTGACGGTGCACGCATGTTTGCATCAATAATCAAGTGGCCAGAGGTGGCGCTGTAACACTGCATGGAACTGAGGTGGTCAACATCCTTATTAATGCCGGGTGCAGCAGCTGAGGCTGATCAGGTCCGTGAACCGCCAGGAAACAGATAAGTTCTTCTTCCTCAATATTACGTGACCATACCAATCGAGTGCCGTTGCACTGCATCCTCCTTAGGCAGTGTTATGATTGGACTGTTGGTGATTTTTATTATTAATCTTTTCATTGATATAGAGCCAACATATTCCGCAGCGCTTTACAGTTATAAAATGGGATTTTTTAACAAAAAGTAATTTACACATGGAATATAACCGAGACCAGAGGTGAAGAAGGCCATGCTCAAACAAGCTTAAAGTCTATGATACACACAAGAGAAATAACAGCATGTCAGAGAGCATAGGGATCGATGGGTAAGATAAAAAGAAAAAGGAATACCAGTTGGACCTACATGGTGTATTGGTCCAGGGCTTAACATTTAAGTCAACTATAGAAATAATTTACAGTTCCCAAAAGAAAACAGATGGGAAATGCTACCTGGTATAGAAAGTAGAACAGAAAGTAAACTTATAATGCTGAACTAGTTCTAGTAAAATACATGGTCAGTAAAAAATTATAATACAAAAAAGCATTACTGATCTGCCTAGTGATCACTTAAACTCCCAGATATAAATGAAATAGGAGGAGTAAAAAATGTCTTTATTAAAGTGTTTGCCAACTAGCCCCTCCTATATTATTGGCATGTGGAAGTACCAAACAGTGGCAGGAGAGTGAGTGAGATGGGCTATAGAGGCGTGGGAAGTGGTGAGGGCTGTGGAATGAGAAAAATGATACCCAGGAAAATGGTAAACTTTCCTAAAGAGGAGTGTTTACAGTGATTTCTTGAAGGACTGGAGGCTAGGGTAGAGTCTGATGGAAACAAATTCCAAAGAAACGGGGAAGCCCTTTAAAAACCCTGCACATGAGTTGGCAGTGTGGGAACGAGTAGATGTCAGGAGAATATTATTTGCAGAGAAACGTTAACGAAAAAAGGTATATTTGTTGAGTAAAAAGGAAATGAACTGAGAAGTGGAGTTACTGAGAGCTTTGCAGGTTAGTATTAGCAGTTTGAATTGGATCATGAATTGTACAGGAAGCTAATGTAATGATTGGCAAAGGGGTGAGGTATGGGAGTAGCAGTCAGGAAGATCAGCCTGACTGCAGCATTCATTACAGACTGAAGAGGGCCAATGTGGATATTTGGAAGGCCGATGAGCAGTGAGTTGCAATAGTTAAGTCGGGAAATGAACAAGTGCCTTAGGTCTTGGGTTTGTTGTATCAGATTGAAGAGGGTCAAGGAGAGTAGTATTGATAAAGTGAGTTAGACAGGTAAATACAACCCACTCATGAAGCTTAGAAGTGAAGGGGAGTAGTGATATGAGACGGTAGTTAGGAGGACAGGTTGGGTCAAGAGATGGCGTTTTTTTAGGATGTGATTAATAAATGCTTGTTTGATGGAAGAGAGGAAGATCTCAGTAGACAAAGAGAAGCTGACATTCTGCATTAGTGATGGTACCAGACTAGATGAAAGAGATTGGACAAGGTGGGAGGGGATCAAGGGGAGATGTGGTGCACTGAGGGGACAGGAGAAGTTGAAGGACCTTTAGCTTAGAGACTGAGGGAAATGAGTTATAAGTGGAAGAAGGTACAGGTTGGGAGGGAGGGGGAAAGAGGAGACTAAATAGGTTAGTTAACAGCGTGGTTGCAGTGGGGCAAAGAAGGGAGTTAAAGGTATGAAAGAGGTGTTTGTAATCACGAGTAGGTTGAAATGGGAGAGATAAATACTCTTGCTTGGCAAGGGAGAGGGCAGAAGTATAGGAACGTTGCGTGAATGTAATGTAAAACATCAGGTGTGTTGTGAGACCTTCTCCATCTGCATTCAGTAGTTTGGGAACATCTTTGGAGATAGCGGTTGAGCTTGCTGTGCCAGGGTTGAAGACGTAGCTGACACTTAGAGAGAGCTTTGATTGGTGCCACTATATCTAGAGCAGTCGAGAGGACATAATTATATTATGAGATAGCTTGAGAGGGACAGGAGAAAGTTGAAAGGGGAGAAAGTGGGGAAGAGAAGTGATTTAGATCAAGTGATCTAAAGGTATCTTATGGACCGAGATCAGCTAGAAATTGTGTGTGTGTGTGTCTATCTGTCTGTTTGTAAGTAAGTGTGTGTATGTGTGTGCCTGTTAGTGAGTGTCTCTCAGTTTGTGTGTCTGTCTGTCAGTGAATGTGTGTGTGTCTGTCTGTCAGTGTGTGTCTGGTAGTGTCTATCTATTAAGGTTTGTGTGTCAGTGAGTGTGTGTTTCTGTCAAATCAGGGAGTGTATGTGTCTGTCAGTGTGTGTCTACTTATGTGACCACCCTCCTCCCCATCCGATCGCAGTGGAAAGGTGTTTTCAATTACCTTTACCCACATGCCGTGCCTGTCTCGCCATAGCGGAGATTATTGTTCTTGATCACATGATGATCACACTGTGCAGCACTGGGCTAGAAATCACCACTTGAGTCACTGTCACTGTTTACATTGAAAATTGTACAGGGTCAGGATATAGAAACCAGAACCACTACATTAAGCTGTAGTTTTTCTGAGGACTATAGTGTCACTATAAGAACTGAATTTTTGTAGTTGAAAATGAAACTGTTGGTTTAAAAAAAAACAAAAAAAACCTGTCTCCTAACTTTTTTTTTTTAGCTGGCTCCTTGATTCCTAGTAAATTTGTCAAGTTCTACTGGAAAACATTGGATTGGCTAAGATCATCAATTTTGATAATATTAGCCAATTACATGGAGCAAGGCAGAGCCAGCTGGAGCGAGACCGACGCGGTGCTAGATAAAGGGGGAGTAAAACATCTTTTTAAAGAGAACTAGGAGAGGCTGGTCACCTAAAATAGCTTTTTAAAGCTACAGTGCCATACCTGTTTGTGTTCCTTTAAGCTAAAGTTGCTTGATGCCTATAGTGTCCCTTTATGTACTCTAAAATCTAAAATATCCATGATCACATTCCCTAAAATAAAAGTGTGCCTCTTTAGTGATTTAAATTATTGCAACAGTTGTTGCTAATAAAATCCTACAGTGTGATAATTTGGGATGTTCTTATTATGTTTACATTTACAAATACATGACATGAAGTTATACATACATTAAATACATAATCCTATAACTATAGGATAGCAAGCATGATATATTCGCTTTTTAATTATATCTAATGAAAGAACGTTTTTGACCATATCATTTGTTTTACTTCACAGTGCCAAGAATTTTTGTTCTGGGTCCCCCTGCATCAGGAAAACACACTATGGTATGCACACTATTTATTTTCTTTTATTTATAAATAAATACAATTGTCTTGTAATACAACTCTGTGGTTTATGTTATTGCTATATATATATATATATATATATGTATATATATATATATATAAATAATAATTGCCTAGAAATTATGGTATATAATCACTAAACAGTATACAGCTAGTTTGCAAATGCTAGTCTGAAGCTCAACTTCAAAAAATTATACAACTCTGCTATTCTGGTATAAGGTTTGTAAACATTTGATAAATTATTGTTAATAACCCCTCAAAGCTTAAATAGACAGATAATAGATAATGTAAAGATGGCCCTGGTGAAATCATTTTTTTTTTTTTTTTGGGGCCCCTCTAGTGTCATACAACTCCCACGGTGCTATGCCAGCTGAGGTCTACCATTTCCCCATCCTTGCAGGGTTGTATTTGTAAGCAGTGTCTGTGCATGTGAATGTAAGCATGGTTTTTGTAAAGGGTAGGTGTGTGCATAAAAGGGGCGTATTTGCATGTACTGCTGCCATACAATGTTGTACTTGTGTGTAGTGTTCTCTTTTAAATGCAGGTGTGATTTTTTTGCTAATGTTGGTATTTGAATATCATTTTGGTGTTTTAATACAAAGGCGTGTTTGTATGTAATGTTTGTGATTGCAGGGATGTGCTTGCATGTGATGTTGGCATATGATTACTGGGATGTATGCACATGCTCACATACACTGCCACATACATGAATACATACTTACACAGACATACATACACATTAGCACACACATATAAACACACTGACACATAAACACATTCAGATACACAGGGGCGTACCTAGAGCATTTGGCACCCGGGGCGGATCCTGTGCTTGGCACCCCCTTGGCCCCCCTTACCCCCCCCCACAAAAAAAAAAAACCTGTAAAAAATGTTAAAGGTTTTTTCTTTTTTTTTTACAATTTGTAAACTTTGCAAAACCGCTGTCAGCCCCTCCTACAAAACCCTTGTCCTGCCCCGCCCCTCCTACAAAACCTCTGTCCTGCCCCTTCTACAAATCCTGTACTGCCCTGTCTACAAAACCCCCGCAACCCCCTTCCACAAATCCCCTGCTTATCCCCCCTTATAAAGACTCCTGTCCCAATACAAAACCCCTGCCCCCTTCTACAAAATCCCTGCAGCCCCACACACTCAGTTACAGACAGACTGTCACACACTCAGTTACAGACAGACTGTCACACACTCAGTTACAGGCAGACAGTCACACACTCAGTTACAGGCAGACAGTCACACTCAGTTACAGGCAGACAGTCACACGCACACAGACACACATGCAGTCACAGACAGTCATATATACATTGACACACACACATGACAGCAGCAGACAGTCACATGCAGTAAATTAGAGCTTAGTGCCACGAATAATATACTAGATTGCGTACTTACAACGAGATGAGGATGATGATGGGCTCTAGCTGCAGTCTGGCTCCACTGGTCTGGTGTAGAACAGGCTCTCTGGAGGCGGTTTGTAACTGTGGTCACAAAAATCAATGTTCTGGGAGAACGGGAAGCAGCTCCATTTTTTGGGGGCCCTTTACACAGTTTAAGGTCTGGGTCCCAGGGTCCACCTTCATGTTCCATCAATGAGTTTGTTCACAGGGGGTGGAGTGTGTAAGGGATGTCCTGATATGTGTGTAAGGAATGCATTGTGTGAATCTGCGTTTGTATGTGTAAGGGCTGCAAGGTGTGTTTCTGTGTATGTACGGGATGCAGTGTGTGTGTAAGGGGTGCATTGAGTGTGTGTAATGAATGCATTGTGTGTTTCTGTGTGTGTAAGGGATGCATTGTGTGTAACGGTTGCATTGTGTGTTTTTCTGTGTGCAAGTGGTGCATTGTGTGTGATGAATGCCAATCTCCCCCCCCCCTTCAATTTCCTTCTCTTCCCCCCCTCCAATTTCTTTCTTTCCCCCCTCCCAATTTCTTTCTTTCCCCCCTCCCACTTTCTTTCTTTATCCCCCCCAATCTTTCTTTATCCCCCCTCCCAATTTCTTTCTTTATCCCCCCAATCTTTCTTTATCCCCCCTCCCAATTTCTTTCTTTATCCCCCCCTCCCAATTTCCTCTCCCCCCCCACCACTGTTGTAGTGTGGCCGAGCTCTGTATGGTCCACGGGTACAGGGAGCTTTTGTTTCCTGTACGCGGCCGGACTAAAAGGAAGTGCACACTGAGTCCGGCCGGGTACAGGAGACAGATGCTCCCTGTACCCGCGGACCATACAGGGCTCGGCCACGCTACAGTGAAGGAGTGACAGGAGGGAGCGCTTCCCTCCTGTCAGCCCCTCTCGTCATGCTGTGCCCTGGCGGTGCGCCCACCTGGACACACCAGCCCGGGTAAAGCTGCAGCCGCCTAAGGCTCTCTACAGAGCGCTCGGGCGGCTGCAGCATGAGGGTCATGGCACCCCCCACTCTGGTGGCACCCGGGGCGGACCTCCCCCTCCGCCCCCCCTTAGTACGCCACTGCAGATACACACATTGACACATACACACACTGCCACACTGATACACACAATGACATATACACATATTATTATTATGATATTCATATAGCGCCATCAAATTCCGCAGCGCCTTACAATGGACACACTTTGACACACACACACATTCTTACATTTTTAACCACCCTTCTGTTAACATATCAATTGTGTGCAGGAGGGTGCTTTCCTGGGGTCTAGCTGCTGGCTGAGGCTGATGGGAGTGTAGGTCTGACCCTCTCATTCCTCTATGGTGCTGCCTCTTCTCTCCCTCCTGCAGCCGGTGCCGCCTCCTCTTCTCTCCTCCCTTGCAGCTTTCTCTATGAAGCTAGGAGGAAGTGACCTGCACTCACTTCCAACCAGGCTAATGATACTACAGGGGCCCAGGTCGCGCTGTTAAAGAGCTGTGTCGCCTGTTCAGGCTCATGTTCAGCAATGTCCATCAGGTGGCCCCAGTTGTATGGGCCACACAAGTGGGCCTCCTTTCCCAATGTGCCTGCACCAGTGGTAGTTCCGCAGCTGTATATTCACTGCTCAGCCACAACATTAAAACCACTGACCTTTATTTAGCAAAGGATCAGTCAGTTCTTGTATTTCATGTGTTGAAAGCAGGAAGAATGGGCAAGCGAAAAGGTCTGAGTGACTATGACAATCGCCAAATAGTGATGGCTTAACAAGTGGGTCAGAGGATCTGCGAAATGGCAAGTCTTGTGGGCTGTTCCTGGTATGCAGTGGTGCCCAAGGCTTATTAATGCATGTGGAGAGCGAAGACTAGCCCATCTGGTCTGATCACCCAGAAGAGCTACTGTATCTGAAATTGCTGAAAACTATAACTCTCCCTGCCTCTGCAGCTCCCCCCTCCTCCCTGGTTCCTACTGGCCATGAAAGGGTTAAAAACCCTTTTATTCCCTTATCTGATTCCAATGCTGTTGTCCCTCAGGGCTGGATCGGGCTCCTCCTCTGACATCAGCGTGATCTGGTAGCCAGATTGCATGCTTGACAAGCGCCATGAGCTTATTGGGCTTCCCCATAGGAAAGGATTGACTCAGTGAAGTATACATTTGCTAATGCAATGTATCAATAAAAGTTGAATCTCTGTAAAGTAACAAATCATCATGGATGGTTCACTTTAAAGGAACACTATAGGGTCAGGAACACAAACATGTAAATGTTAAAAACACCATCTGGCTCCCACTTGCCCCCTAAATGTAGCAAAATCTTACCTTTATTCCAGTCTGCTGCTGCTGGCTCTGTCCCTGACCTGCCTGTTTGGCTGACATCATCAGAGGTGATGTTCTGAGCCATTCACAATGCTTTCACATAGGAAAGCATTGGATTGGCTGGGACGGTCAAGCAGGCAGATCAGGGGCAGAGCCAGCACAAGCCAAACACAATCCTGGCCAATCAGCATCTCCTCATAGAGATGCATTGAATCAGTGAATCTCTATGAGGAAAGTTCTGTGTCTGCATGCAGAGGGTGGAGCCACTACACTACATGGCAGTACTGCATAGTGTGCAGCACTGCCTCAGGAAGCACCGCTAGTAGCAACCTGAGGAGTGGCTAGTGGAGTTATCACTAGGATGTAATGTAAACATTGAATTTTCTCTGAAAACGCATAAAAAGCTTAAAGGATTATACTCACCAGAACAAATACAATAAGCTGTAGTTGTTCTGTTGACTGTAGTGTCCCTTTAAGTTAATGGGAACAGTGGCTGAAAGAGAATCCCACAAAATACTATCCCCTAAGTCCCTGCTCCTATTAAACTAACGACAGTACGATATGTAGGGGGCTAACAGAATGCCTTGAGTTTTCCTGCAGGAGCAGATGGGAATACAGGTTTGGAAATGGTAACTATAGCACTGTAGGTTATGTAATAAACTGTTTCTGTAAACTTTGCAAACCAGGTTCTGACTCTCAATTACAATGCTGACATCATCTGAAATTCTAGAGAAGGCAAGTCACCCCATATTTTGTTTTTCTTTATACGTTAACAACAAACAAAATGGCAATTATAAAGATTTTGCTGGCTAAAGTGAAAGTATAAATGCTGGTTTTCTCAGAATTAGGCTGGGGCGCTGACAGTTACGGAACGTCCAAGCAGTGAAAATCCTCTATCTCAGCACCTGGGGACTTTATTTCCAAAGCATTCAAACAGCAGGTGTGAGCAGCTCTATGTCTGAACAGAGGACTTTGCAAGCAAAATGTTTGCAGATTTTTACTGTCTCACATATGCTCCACATTAGCATACATTTCTATAATTGATATAAATGCTTGTGCAGTGCGCTCATATTCTGTTTTGTTTGTTTTGATCATCAGGCTGATGTAATTTTTTTTTAGTGTAACGCACAATTTACTGTGACACTTTAGACTATATGTAATAATCCAAAGTATTATCTTTCTCTACCGTCAGTAAGGCGTGAAGTCAGACAATGGCCCAGAGGCAAAGCTCCGTGTGCTCCTTGTCCAGCTTAATGATCACAAGGGTAGTAATAAGATTGATTCCCCACATCCATGATGCTTAAAACCAGGGCTGCAATCAGAAATGTTGGGGTCCCTTACACAGCTCAATGCCCTTGTGACACTCCTCTGATTCCACCCACAAAGCCCACCCTTGATTCCTCTCACGGAGTGTATGTGTGTATGGGTTGTAATGTGTGTGTGTGTGTGTGTTTAGGAATGCAATGTAGGGATTCAGTGGGTGTTCATTATGGATGCAATGTATGTGTTTGTAAGGGATGAAGTTTGTGTGTAAGAGATGCAGTGTATGTGGTTGCATAGTGGATGAAGTGGATGTGTGTGTGTGTGTAAGGGATGCATTCTGTGTGTGTGCAAATTTGTTGATAATAAATGGGTTCTCTTCTGTGAGGGGAAAGAGAGAAGCAGATTTATATTTTCATATAAATTGTTTTGTTTTGCTGACAAATTCTCCCCCTCCCTCTTATCTCTGGTCAGGGATAATACTGTATTCTTTGGTAGTCTGGTAGTACTCTAAAGGCTCCCAGCTTCACCTCTGCCCCAGCTCTATGTGGTATCGGAGTGTTGCTGTAGTTACCTGCGTCAACACTCTGAAAGCAAGGGCTCGCGAAAGAGAGGATCTGTAATAGGTTGAAGCGAAGACTCTGCTGGCCCCCACTCTCGGAACATGCCTGCAATGGCCTGAGGAGGGAGATCTTTTGATTGCCCTTGTCTATGTATTTATATATATATATATATATATATATATATATAAAATCTTGCCTTCACCAACCTCTGTACCGCCTCTAATCTCTCCAATATTCCTTTTCCTCTATCTGACCACCATCTACTGACTTTTGACATCAGCACACCCAAGACCCAACTGACATCACCCTCGGCAGATCAATATCACAGTTACCTCCAATGTCTTGACCTACAGCACTTCTCCACTAACCTCCAAACTCTCCTTTTACCCATCTCAAACCTCACCTGCCCTCGATCTGCAATCTCTTTAAACAGAACAACTACAATTCCACCATCTCCTCTCAACTAGACATCATGGCACCTTCTACACTTAAACGCAGCAAGCGCCCCCAGCTACAGCCTTGGCACGCCAAGCTGACCCGATACCTCCAAAAATGCTCCAGAACTGTTGAACGCTGCTGGAGAAAGTCTCACTCCGCATCTGACTTTCTGCACTATAAATTTATGCTGCGCTCTTACAGCTTGGCTCTTTCCTCTGCAAAAGTAAATTATTTCAATACCCTCATAACCACACTCTCCTGTGAACCCAAATGACTATTTCACACTTTTGTGAATCTTTTTAATTTTTTTATTGAGGCTTAGATTCTCTATAAGTTACAATGGTACAGGCATGACAACAACAGTCAGAACAAGTATGTGCACAGTATGACGACATGGCGAGTTTGATTAGGTCGCAATAATAATTACATCAGAAGCAGGAATGCATATAGTAAGACCGTATGGTAATTTCAGTTTGATCACAGTTACGGTGCACAATTCTACAATAAAGCAGTTTTGAATATGTCACGGTCAGAATAAACTAGCCTCTTTTATATGAATAAAACAAAAACATGCGTTATACAAGAGCAGAAAGAGTCAAGCTAGGCAGCATGTCTAAGTGAGTAACAGGCACAACTTTCAGACTCAGAAATAGGCTAGACATGGTGTGTGTTATGAAAATATAATCATGCTTGCTGATAAAATTACAAATTAAAAAAATAAATTAAAACATGCTGGACATCAATATAATGTGTTAACCAAGGTAAAAGTACAGGAGTCCACCTTGCTATGCATAAGGGGAAACACAGCTGTGGCAAAAAGCAGAAATTGACGGTTCACTCAAGTTATTGCTTCATCCGATGCCTAATGTCTATTTCACACTTTTAACTCTCTTCTTCGCCCTGTTTCTCCTCCTCCTCCTACCAACTTAAGCACCACAAACTTTGCAACTCACTTCACTGACAAGATCTCTACAATCAGGGAAGAGATCTCTCATCTCTCTACTTCCCCCAATCTCACTCCCTCCGCTGTTCTATGTTCATTCGCACCCGCTACAGCAAAAGTTTCTGATGTACTCCAGTCCTCCCGCCCCACCACTTGCTTCCTTGATCCTATACCCTCGCATCTCATTTGTACTCTGTCTCGTTCTCTTGCTTTGCCTCTCACTAATATTCTCAATCTCTCCCTCTCATCTGGCATATTTCCATTACCCTTCAAACATGCAACTGTAACCCCGATTCTTAAAAAAAAAACAAAAAACAAAAAAAAAAACTTTGACCCTAACTCCCCGTCCAACTACTGCCCTATTTCGCTACTGCCTTTTGCGTCCAAGATACTTGAAAGACTTGTGTATGTGAGATTGACAGACTCCTCGAGTCCAATTCTCTGCGCGACCCACTTCAGTCTGGTTTATGCGCCCAAAGTATCAAACGATCTACTCGCTGCAAAATCTCATGGTCACTACTCTATCCTAATTCTCCTTGACCTTTCCGCTGCTTTTAATACTCTTCATCATCAACAACTTCTTCTCATCCTCTGTAATCTCGGTCTACGAGATATTACTCTCTCCTGGTGCTCTTCCTACCTCACCCAGCACTCTTTTGGTGTTTCTTTCTCAAGGTCTGCCGCTTCCTCCCAACCTCTCTTTGTTGGTGTCCCCCAAGGTTCAGTCCTTGGTCCCCTACTGTTCTCGATCTATACTGCCTCCCTTGGCAAACTCATCAGCTCCTTTGGCTTCCAATATCACTTCTATTCAGATGACACGCAAATCTATCTGTCCTCCCCTGATCTCTCCCCGCCCCTCTTGACTAGTGTCTCTGACTGCCTCTCTGCTATTTCTAATTGGATGGCTGCCCACTTCCTTAAACTTGTCCAAAATAGAACTTCTGGTCTTTCCTCCTTCAAGTGTTGCTACTCCCGTGTCTGTCTCCCACCACGTTTACGGTGCTACCATCAGCTCAACCACGCAGGCTCGCTGCCTAGGTGTTCTCTTTGACTCCGACCTCTCTTTCACTCCTCATGTCCAGTCAATTGCCAAATCCTGCCGCTTCCATCTCAAAAACAATGCGCGCATCCGCCACTACTTAACACCAGATGCGACTAAGGTCCTTGTCCATGCCACTGTCCTCTCTTGCCTTGACTACTGCAATCCGGTTCTCAGTGGTCTTACATGCTCCCAACTTGCCCCATTGCAGTCTATAATGAATGCGGTGGTGAGGCTCATCTTCCTGTCCGCCTGCAACTCCCATGCCTCACCCCTCTTTCAGTCCCTGCATTAGCTTCCCGTAAGATATATAGGGCTCATTATAAAATTCTGGTTCTTGCTTTAAAATCTCTACATAATGCTACTCCCACCTATCTATCCTCATTAATACACAAATAGGTCCCGTCTAGGCCCCTACGCTGTGCCGAAGACCTGCGTTTATCCTCTGTTCGTACTCCCACCTCTGATTCTTGCATTCAAGACTTCTCTAGGGCTGCATCGTTCCTGTGGAACTCCCTTCTCTTCTCCGTTAGATGCTCACCCAGTCTCCAATCCTTCAAAAAATCATTAGAAACTCCCCTTTTCTCAAAAGCATATCAATTAAACTGTTAATGATGCCAAAAAAAACCACACTAAGTCTTAATTGAATACTATTCTACCAATCTACTTCCCTAATACTTCCCTTACATTTTGTGCCACTTTACCCCACTCCCTCTAGCATGTAAGCTCAGAGCACTTCTTGTCAGTACGGCCGGGTACAGGAAACTGAAGCTCCTGTGCCGTGGTCCGCTCCGCTCGGCCACACTACAAGAGAGGTAATAAGGCACACCAGGGAGGAGAGAGGACCATTAAGGGGGGTGGAGGGCTGTACTAAAGGGACAGGAGAGGGGAGAGGTACACTAAGGGTCTAAGAGGGGTGGGGAACACTAAGAGACAGGGAGGGGAGATAAACACTAAGGGGGGGAGGGGAGAGAAAAACTAAGGAACAGGGAGGGGAGAGGTACACTAAGGGACAGGGAGGTGAGGAGAGGAACACGAAGGGACAGGGATGGGAGGAGAGCAGGAAGGGAGAGGAACACTAAATATTCTTGAAAACATAAAAAAATCTGACTGGCATGTATATGTTGTGCATTTACCATTTAATAAAAAAAAGACTTGCAAAAATCAATAAATAATAAACATGTTCAGTTAACAGTAGATTTGTGTAGCAATTGTTTCTTTTTTCAAAATGGTGAATGTACAGAATATCGGTAAGTTATCGGCTATCATCCTGAAAGTTCACAGATCATCTGTATCAGTATCGGCTCTAAAAAAAATAAATCAATATCGGTATAACTAATATAATAATAATTATATGTGTGTGTGTATATATATACATATGTATATACATATATGATAATCTCTATATACACATTCTGCATGTAGGGCCTCCTGGTGGCCCTGGACCCTTATATGTGTAGGGCTGTACCCTCCGATTGCACTCCTGCTTAGAGATTTTATTAAATAAGTCAGCTAGAGTACTCATTTTGCCTATATGTTGTGTGTTTTATTTATTTTTGTTGTTCCAGAAGTCAGTCATACAAAGGATTGGAATGGTTACTAGTTTCCAGTGCTAAAGCTTTCTCTCTTTGCTAACATCTCACCACATGTTCATTTAATATTGGCTTACATCAGGGTCATTTTCCATCAAGTTACATGGAAATGAAAGGCAATTAACACAGCGCTTCCAGGAAAAGATGATGACCATAAAGTAATGTAATCCCTACATTTTAACAACAGCTTGAAACGCAAATTAAATGCAGCAAAGAAAAAAGAAAAAAATTAGCCCAAAATATGTAGAGAGAGTTAGGAGAATAATATTATTGTCCTTTAAAAAAAAGGACAACTCCATTCTAATTTGTCCATGTTTTTCTTTTTCTCATATGACTGTATATTTTCTATAATTTTTTTTGTCTAACATCAATTAGTACATAAATAAAAATAAAAAAAACGAATACATAAAATGATCAACAAATTAGTCATTATTTTTTTTCCACTAAAAGACTTCAAAAGATGCAGGAAACTCAAACTTTATAAAGATATTACTACTTTGAAACTTTTGCTTTTTTTAAATAATTTTTTTTATACATTGTGTTGCAGTGCCATTTTTACCCCAAATCACCTTGTTGTGCCAACTGTAAAACTACGTGCAGGCTGCAACCCTCCTGTGTCCCTTCTGCGTACACAACAGAGGAATTTCACTGTGTTTAAACATACATTTGTTCATAGATCATTTATTTAAGGCGCTAGCTGGAAGGAGGTTGAAATTCACTTGGCATGGGGAAAAATGCCTTTGAAACCTATTTTCTCTTGCAAAAAAGTTGGACTTTTCTCTTTCTCTCCCCTGCAGGCAAAGCTGCTCTGTAAGCGCCTGAATGCCACTCACATCACTCTAGAGAATTTGTTGTCAAATGATGTGTCTGCGCTGGTGAAAGAAGCTCACTCCTACAAAGATAAAGGCCAGGTATGGCGTCTGAAACACATGCATTATTTCCAAAGACATTGGTATCTATAACTGGAAAAAAAGGGTCATTTTATATGTGCACTGATACAGGCTGCTTGAAATTTAATAGCATGCTGTAAAATATTACTACACTAGAACACACAGACTGAAAATATGAGTTTGTGCATAGCTTAGGAGTGAGTTATTGCCCATGTTGGAGTTACTAATTGCCAGGAGGGTATATGAATGGCTAGGAAACATTGCATATGATTATTACTGTCAAGTTGCTCTCCATGTATAAAGCATAACAGGGTGATAAAAAATAAAAGAACTTATATTTAATAAAAAGGATTTAAAAACAAACAAACCAATGTCTGTGTTGTGCTCTTCAATCCTTTTCAGTTTCATTCGTACGATGTACATCTAAAATGCTGGATCAGAAATATAAATGTGAATCTACCGATTAGCCGAAGTAAATGCTTGATGGCTGTCCAATCTTGCTTTTCTGTCTATTGTTGGTCCGGAAACCGCCATAGTGCTCAGCCAATATCATGCCACTGAGAAAGGTTGGATTTGTAGTCATACCACACATCCACTGTTGTGCTATGATATTTTTCTTAAATTTTTTAGGTTTTGCCATCATTTTTTGTTCTCAATCTTCGTTCAAAAATAATTATTTTCAAGTACTCCCTAGACTTACAGTCATGGGAAAAAGAAAGTACATCTTTGAGTTCTGTGGTTTTATATATCAGGACATAATAACAATTCTCTTAGCAGGTCTTAAAATTAGGTAAATATAACCTCAGATGGACAACAACACATGACATATTACACAGTTTTATCATTTATTTAACAAAAATAAAACGAAAATGGAGAAGCCAGATTGAGATCTTGGAAATTTGGAGGCCAAGGCAACACCTTTAAGTCTTTGTCATGTTCCTCAAACCATTCCTGACCAATTTTTGTAGTGTGGCAGGGTGCATTATCCTGCTGGTAAACTCCACTGCCATCATAGAACACCATTGCCGTGAAGGGGTGCATGTGATCTGCAATCTCTAAGTAGGTGGTATGTGTCAAAGTAACGTCCACATGAATGCCAGGTCCCAAGGTTTCCCAGCAGAACATTGCCCAGAGCATAACACTGCCTTCACCAGCCTGCCTTCTTCTTCACATAGTGCTATCTCTTCCCCAGGTAAAAAACATACCCTGCCATCTACTGATCAAAAAAATAAAAAGGTGATTCATCAGACCAGGCAACCTTCTTCCATGGTCCAATTCTGATGCTCACGTCCCCTTTCGGCAGTGGACAGGGGTAATCAAAAACACTCTGACCTGTTTGTAGCAACACTGTAGCATACGTACTAAACTGCAGTTCACTGTGTTTTCTGATATCTTTCTGATATCTTTCCATCATGGCCAGCATTAAGTTTTTCAGCAGTTTGAGCTACAGTAGCTCTTCTTTGTGATTGGACCAGACAGACTAGCCTTTGGTCCCCACGTGCATTAATGAGATCCTCTGACACAGTCGTCTAACCATCACTATGTGGCTCTTGTCAAAGTCACTCAGATCTTTTATTTATTGTAAACTAGCTTTAAGCCAATCTTATCACTAGAACCATTACATGCTGTTGTGGTGTTATAAGGCTATGAGCACTGTTCTCTGGTGCTGGGTTTAAACATTTTCACAGAGTTTCACCAAGGGACCTTGAGGCCCCCGTGGCCTGGCTCCCGCTCTTGGATCACCAATGCGGAAATCCAACTTCCTTTTGTAGTAATAGCAATTTAGTTGATATGTGGACGGCATTGATAGAGTGCGCTTTTGAGCTGACCCTCTCAGCCTTTGAATGATGTCCATAGTTGATATTGCTAAACTTGAAGGGAACTTTCACTTTAGCAATATCACAGAAGACCAGATGGACTAGCGGTAGCTAGGGTACCCTGATAAGCATCAAATTGTTTGACTTCAAAAAACGTTTCACTCCATACTGTGCGATTTTCCCAGGAAGCTATGCCACCATAGCAACTACAGCAAGCTATAGTTGCTTTAGATGATAGTCATTATTATTATCATTAGTTAATTTTAATGGTTCACTGAAATGAGGCACCTGTGACTAGGAGTGCTATAATCAGAAGAAGGGGAAATATCCACAATAACATTTTAAACAATATAAAATATCCACAGTAGTATAAAATATCCACATATTTTATGTGGATATTTTGTATTGTTTAAATAAAGGTATTTTGGCCACTTCCATTTGTGAGTATGCCATTTTACTTTTTTATTTGTTCTTTTATTTTCTACCTGGCATCCATTTATTGTTCCAGTGAGGACTACTCCTAAAGAATCCAAGGTGGGGATTATACCATTTACGTCCTATACAGTGAGCAGTTTATATGCTCTACTAAATGTAAGTAATCATTTATTTCATTTTACTGGCATTTTTTTTACACAGTGAGCACTATTGTTTTCTCTTTTAAATTTATGGTATACACATTGACAAAACATCTACCTAACAACATATCATTACGTATCCCTAAGTGGGGATTGTGCCACTGCATGCTATCCATACTAGAGCTGGTTATAAGCTCTTAAAAACGTGAGTAGGACTATATTAGACTTTTTATACTGGTATTCTCTATCTCTGGGATATATTGCACTATTAGTTTTTTCTTTTGTTTTTACATACTGATGAATACCCTGATCTGACACTGTTTTAGAAGAATTATTCCAGGCATATTTGAGGCTATATCTTCTGGCAAGTTTTATTGGGACAATAATTGGACGACTTCTTATTATTTTTTTATCTTGGATTTTTTTTTTATATATATATTGGATTTTTTATATATTAGTAACTATATATTGTCTATTCTGTTTTGACACAACCTTATCTCCTCTTTTTTGTAGTTTTTACTTACTTGTGGGGCTTAGATGGAGCCCTACCATTTTAGGTGTTGCTGCCTCATTTACATATATTCTACATTTTATGTTTGGTTTTCCATATAGTTCATAGATCAGGGATAGGCAACCTTCGGCACTCCAGATGTTGTGGACTACATCCCCCTTAATGCTCTTACACCCATAATGCTGGCAAAGCATCATGGGAGGTGTAGTCCAAAACATCTGGAGTGCCGAAGGTTGCCTATGCCTGTCATAGATCATAAGAGAGCTGCCTGGATGAATTGATACAAATATTCTATCAATCAGACCCAGCAGCACCCTTATAATATAGCATGTGAATGATTACATTCTGTTCTATATAAGACATATATTTTTGCCACACTGCCAATTTCTGTGCCTTTCCTGAAATCCTCCAGTCTTTACGCCCATCAGAAGTAGAAGTGCTGCAATTAACAGAATATATTGCAAATCCCTCGGTTAAGCTGCAGGAGTTGGTTGAGATCTTCAGAATGGATTAGCAGTTGTGGACTGTGTCAGCGATTAGTATGTGCCTGGTATCTGTTAATTCTCCAATGATCAGGCGCTGGGCTTTCAATTGCTCGTAATGAACATCCTTTTTTCGAGAAACGATTTTAATGATCGCGGTGTTTATTAATTCTAGATTTTTTTATTTTTTTTTACCCTTCAGTATTAGGATAAAATTACATGCACTCATAGATACAAAGCAGATTTATCTACTGTGTAACGGTACAAGGTTTAAACTATATTCCTTCACAGGCCGTACTTCCATGAAGGTAATTAGGGATTTCCTTTTAAGCCTTGTGCCGAATCAAATGTTAAATCTGCAAAACATCATAAAAGATCTTCTGGACTTGACTGAACAAAGTAAAAATATTTTGACGAGAAACAACCGGGAGAAGATATAGATTTTAAATAGAACGGTACAATTAACATAATTTTATATGAAAATAATAACCCAAAGGAAAATAGAAAAAAGGGAAAAAAAATATAAAACATTGCTTTGTTTTTCTTTCTTTCTTTGTATGAGATGTATCTGCTGCAAGAGAAGAGAAACAAACAAAGAAATATATATGTATATATAACAAAATAAAAATAAAAAGCAAATCATTGTGTAATACTCAATAAATACTTGAAAAAACAACCTGCGTTGTAAAGTGAAGATGGCACTTTACATACAGGAAACTTCAGAGATCGAGGGTTCTGGCTCTATTAGGTATGTTAAAGCCAGCCTTCTTTTTTCTTAAATTGGCTTGGTGGCACTGTGTAGACTGGGCCCCTGGTATACACACGTCTGTTTTTTGACATGACACATCAAAGTTGCACACAAGACAGTAATGCTGCCAGTGAGCTGCATGATACACCTTTGGAAAGCAGCATACTCAAAGCCACAAATTTGCTCTCCTGCAGCGAGAGGTTCTGACACACCACCCACTGGGACTCGATGACTGAAGACTGTATGCTTAATTTCCTCTTTCCTTTTTTTCATTATATTTCCTGAAGGGTTATTTTTTTTTTTGTACTTTTTTTTATAAGCAGATGATCTTGTATTCATTGTGAGCCCTGTTTGCTATTTTCCCAAGACATGCACTATATATATATGTTTATTATTTTTTGTCTGTGTTTTCTTATTTTTTTAGGACATCGCAAATGAACTGTGGGCCAAACTTATTCAAGAACGACTGTCTAAAGTGGATTGCGTAAAACGAGTAAGCAGACATTTTTTAGTCCATAAGAGATATATTTGTAGACAGTAGTTTATCTTGTCATTTTCATGGACTTGTTATTTTTTTTTCACTAACAGTAATATTAAGAAAACAAAGCAAAAAAAATAAAATAGTTTTTGAAATTCAGATGGTGTTTGATGGAGTTGTTATTTTAAAAGATTTGGGTGAATCAATCAGTGTGTCATGTGGCGCTGACAGGTGCTTATAGATATTAACCTAACTGTTTGTCCCCTTAATCCCTTAAGGACCAAACTTCTGGATTAAAAGGGAATCATGACATGTCACACGTCATGTGTCCTTAAGGCTTTAAATGAACACATTTATTCCTGTCACTATAGGTGTGAAAACATAACTTAGGTCCCCGGACCTCCTTATTCCAGTGCTGAGCGGTTCTCCGCCTCCTTGGCTTAGATCATCTAACTTGATGATCTCAAAAAAACAATGCTTTCCTGGGAAAGCATTTAGAGCCTAATGCGTATGGAAAACACCACACTGCACCAATCAGCATCTACTCATAGCGATGCATTGAATCAGTGCATCTATATGAGGAACGTTCAGTGCCTCCATACAAAATGTGGAGATGCGATACATTATTGCTACACATTGTGCAGCACTGACCCAGGAAGCACCTCTAGTGGCTGTCTGAGTAAGTGCATCTCGAGGTGTTCATAGGCAGTAATTTAAATACTGCCTTTTCTCTGAAAAGGCAGTGTTTACATTAAAAAGCCTGCACAGACAGGCAGTAGACACCAGATACACTACATTGAACTGTAGTTGTTCTAAGGGCTTTAGTGTCCCTTTAAGTTTCAGAGGCCAAGATAAACTGGACCCATGATGACCTTTGCAATCATGCGATTGGGGACTAAACACCTTTTTTTTTTTTTTTTTTGCTAATCTGTTGAAATTAATCACTTTTCTAAGATACTCGATAATAAGGCATCATGGGTTACAACAGGGAAATACCGTACTAATCTCATATGACTTTGATCATCAGATCTCATAGTTGTATGTAGACAGTTTAATGAATTAACAGAAACTTTTTCAATACTTACAGTAATGGTTTCCTCCTCCCTCTCAGCTGATAGGACAGGAATATTCAAATTAAAATTAAAGACATTTATAAAAGCAATCTCTTCCTCTTAAACAGCAATGATGTAGCCAAGTGACAGTTTGATGCTGACATATTAGCCAGGAAAGGAAAACGACAATAAGTATTTTGAAAAATATTCTGTTTTCCTGGCTAATTCATGTCAGCATCACCTATGGATTTCCAAAGTTTACACTGGTGGGAAACAAAAAAGGACAAAGAGGAGTCGCTGCAAAAATATAAATTAATGAGACATGACTGAATGTTTTACTGAACTGATCCTTTACTCTTAAGGCCATAATATGTTGTACATATATATGAATTTTCATCAGACTGAACAAATCCATATTGCTCTGCAGACTTCAAATCTCAATGATGTCTGTAATCCATGCATTAACAGGGGAATGTCTGTGGGCAGCCTTAGCATTTAAAAAAATTCAGTGTACATAAAATTTACAGGGTCATTCACTAAAGTGAGAATTTAAAGGGCATTTCAAATTTAAGGCCAAAACAATGCTTCCAGTTCAGCTACTTTATCCTCAAATTTGAAATTCACTTTAGGTTCTAACGTTGGTGAATAACCCAATTAACCTATACATCTGTATACGGAAATGTTACCTTTCATCAAAGTTATTGAAAATACAGAGTAGGCTGCCTACGTTACTCTGATAAAATTTAAAGAACGTGCTGCATTTCAGGCACCAGCAACTACCTAATAACTGCATTTACTGAAATATAGTAGCTCATCTTAGGCAGTAGGGATATATATTAATATATATATTCAATACTATCAGTACATAAGCACTGATAAGTGGATCGGAAACAACACCAGAGTCTCAAAACAACAACTGCTATTAGACCAAGCAGGCAAATGGGATCCCAAGACCATATACACCGCTCTATGCACAGCCTGGATTGACTACAAGAAAGACTATGACACAGTGCCATACACGTGCATGCTGGAAAGCTTGGCTCTATACAAGGTCAACAAGATACTAAGAGCCTTAATCAAGAACTTGATGAGCAAGTGGAGAGCTACATCTAAGCCAATTCCAGGACAATTACTCAAGTAAACATCAAATTTGGCATATATCAAGGTGATGCACAGTCCCCAAAGCTCTTCTGCATAGTCCTTAGCCCCCTCAGGCAGATCATCATGAAGCATGTATACGAATATATGTTTAAAAATGAAGCTACCATCATTCACCCCCCTATACATGGATGACATCAAAATGTATGCCAAGAGTGAGCAGGACATTGAATCACTGATCTACCTAACTAGGATATCGATCAAGGAAATTGGAATGCTGTTCAAACTTGATATGTGTGGGCAAATGATAGCAAAAATAGGATAGATAATGGTGGAGTTGAGGTGCCAAAGAGCCAAAATGGAGATATAAAATATAGTTATAAGTACTTTGGGATACCACAAACACATGGCAACCATAAGTAAGAGGCAAGGAGGGTAGCAACATTCAAGTACCTCCAGAGAGTAAGACAGGTACGGAAGTCCCAGCTTCAACACATATTCTACCATTTATCAGGTTCCCAGCTGGAATAATAACCTCTCCAAACCTTTCCATTGGCTGTACCATGTACCACCAGCAGTTAGTGGATGTGGCTCACATTACAAAATCCTACCAGTGGATGGAAAAAGCAGGACTGAAAGACAGCACTGAGCATGTGCAAAGAGGCCTCCGAGACAATCAAGCACATAGTAGCCTCGTGCATGGACAGTATACAATAGAAGCCCAACCAAATTGCTGGGATTTTCTACTGAAAAATCTGCACACAAATGGGCTTGACCTGCCTAAGTCCAGATAGGAGATACCACAAAGGGTAGTTGAGAATGATGGGGCTTGTGAGACAGAAGAGCAAATACTGGCTGGCCAACCAACCTGACATTGTGGGGATAGACAAATAACGGAAGACTGCAGTTTTGATGGATGTCGCAATACCCAGTGACCACAACATCAAGAAGAAGGAACATGAGCAGGTGGGGAAGTACAAAGGACTCAAAAAGGAGCTAGAAAGCATGGGAAAAGTGAAGATAGTAGTAGTACCAATTGTGATAAGAGCACTCAGGGCTGTAACCCCCAAGTTGGGAAAGTAGTTTCAGAAGATTCCAGGTGGGACATCTGATTATGTCTCTCCAGAGGGTGCAGTTCTATGAAGATATTGCACAGAACCCTCAAACCCCCAGACCCTAGAATGAGGAATACACAAAATACTATCCAAGAGCTGAGCACACTGTTCTCCAAAGTTAAGTACATCATTGTACTCCCTTATACACAAGTATGTCCCGTCTAGGCCCTTACGATCTGCTGAAGACTTACGTCTATCTTCTGTCCGTACTCCCACCTCTGATGCTCGCCTTCAAGATTTCTTGAGGGCTGCACCGTTCCTGTGGAACTCGCTTCCCTCCTCCGTTAGATGCTCACCCAGTCTCCACTCCTTCAAAAATCGTTAAAAACCCACTTCTTCATAAAAGCGTATCAATTATACTGTTAATAGCTCCTGACTGATTCCTCTTCTGCAACTGTCATTAGTCTAATACTATCCTTACCTTTTTGTGTCATTTTACCCCACTCCCTCTAGCATCTAAGCTCATTGAGCAGGGCCCTCAACCCCTCTGTTCCTGTGTGTTCAACTTGTCTGGTTACAAATACATGTCTGTTCGTCCACCCATTGTAAAGCGCTGCGGAATTTGACGGCGCTCTATAAATGTCATAATAATAGTAATTGTAGCGTTCTCGGCTCTGAGATACTTTTGCAAATTCCTTGTGTGCGCCACAACTTGAAAAGCGTTTGTTCTTTTATTATTTCAAAGGTATAGATACAGTCAATGTTTCAGACTCACCACAAGACTTTTAGCAAATTTTGTGTGTGTGTGTGTGTGTGTGTGTATACAACCACAAAGAAATTCAGTATACAGTTTATGCTTGATTTTGGGGAGGTTATTTAAGGTAAAACATTTTTTTTGCTTTGGTGTTCTAGTGAGAGACTGGTGACGGACCTCTCCATAAAGGTAGCAGTGCCGCGCCAGCGTGCATGTCCAGCAGGCTGCACAATTTCATGTAGTGTGTGTCACATGATAAAATTGAGTGAATTGACACAACTGTACACAACGTTATTCTATGGTAAAAGCATCCCCCCCATAGGTGACTGAGGAATAGTGTAAAGGATAAAACACGATTTGCCTGATACTTTGCACACCCCAGTACTTCTTGGCTGACAGTGGCTGTCCTGGCCCAGTATTCGATGCACGACCTAAGAATTTCTGTATAGAAGAAGGGGAGCTTGGGTAGAATAGGGAAGGTGCTCGATTAACAGAATAAAAGCTGATGAAAGCATGCATATGCTAATTGAGGAGCACAGGAAGGATCAAAGGCAGAACAAGGAGAGCTTTGTTGATTGCCTGGGGCAGGTGGCAGAGATAAAGAGCGGACCAGGCAGAGCAAAAAAAAAAAACGTGATCGTCAACATATCATCTGTGCTTTTTAAGCATGTATGCTTAGTGTTCAGACTCATTCTTTATCATGTCACCTCTGAACATCTGTTGCAGTCACCCAAAATAAACCAGGGCTGGCCTGATGTACACTATAAATTGCAGCTTACATTAAAATGTACCCTGGCACTTTTTTTGACATGATGGAGACTATTTTTTTTTTTTTTATTCTTTATTTTCGGTGCATTCAGTTATGTGACGTTACGTCGTTCAAGGACTTTCTGCAGAGTAGGGTTTTCCGCGTAATGTCTTGGAAAAAGGTGAGTTGTGAATCTTCGAAGGCCAGCGGTGTCTTGTCTCTTACCGCTGCTAGTATGCAGCGTTTTTCTGTCATGGAGTGGCAGCGGACTATGACATCCCTTGGAGCCGTTGTGGGTTCCCTTTTGGCCTTGTTTATGTGGAAGTGGCTGTAAAATTCCAGCTTTTTAGCACGTGTGTGTGGCAGGATAGTTGTCGTAAGCCTACTCAGGTACTGTGTTAGTTCTGAGGGTCCGACTGTGTCAGGGATTCCCCGGATCTTAATATGTGTGCGCCTACTACTGCGGTCTTCCATGGCGTCCAGTGTTTTGGTGTGCTGTGTTCGCCGATTGTAAGTGTTTCAGGGTATCTCCTATGCTTTTTACCTCTTGTCTGAGGTCTAGTATGTCCTCTTCAGAGGCCTGTACTCGTGCTGTCACTGCCTGCGTTTCTGTGCGCATTAAGTTTAAATAAACATCAAACATCTGCTTCATTTCTTGTAGCAAGAGTCTGATATCCTTTTTAGTGGCTGGGGCTTAGTCATCCCTTTCTGTTGGTGGGCTGCTGGAGGATTCAGATCTCCTGTCTGCTCTGCGTTCTTGTGTCTGCTGTTCTGTCCCTGTGGAGCCAGTCGCCTGGTCGGCCGCCATATTGTGGCCTGCAGTGCGCTGTAGTAGGGCCCCTATGTCTTGTGAGTCCCTGGGTGCAGCTTGTTATGGCTTTTGTGATCGCCTCCTCATTTCGTCACTGGGCGTTGGTAGTCGACCCCCAGGCTATACCAGTCCTCGGGGCTCGGGAAGGACACCGCTGGCAGTTGTGATGCCGGCTGGAGGGCGAGGTAGGCCCGAGATTTGCGGACGTGTTTTTTGCCCAAGTTTGTATATAAAAAGGGCATTGGTGGGTAGCCCTCTGAACCCTGGAGCTGTGGGTCTCACGGGTCGATGGTACCCCGTACCTGAGATGTGTGGCAGATTGCTCGGTGATACTTGGGAGCCGTGGAGAGCAGCGTCCATTCGGCTCCGTGGTTAGGCTCCGCCCCGATGGAGACTATTTTTGCCGGCACTTTTTAAAAATCTGTTGCTCATTTTGCAAAATACAATTCTATTAATAAAAGGCTGCCCTTCTAATACTCATAGGCTAGCAGTGGTAGGTAAGTTGTAGTTTAACAGCTGGGAAGGTGCAGTTACAGGATTCACTATTAAAATATTGCCATCTGTTTAAAATGCCAAGCATCCTTACAGCCCTGGTCAGAATGGACTTACTTTGTTTAGGCAGTAACTTACTCTGTAACTCCATTATGAATTGGACAAGATAAAAATATATATTTATTATATTAAAATATTTTTTTCTGAGTGTTTTTCTTTTTTATACTCTTATCTAATAGTTTTCTACCATATAGTCCCCTTGCAACCTGCCATCTTTTAGGCTTCTGGGTTGATATGTTAAGCTGACATTTGATACAACTCCAAAGCTGTGGTCTCTTAAATAAGGGTGCACCATTAGTGTCTGAGTCACTTCTTGCTCTGGGAAGACCTCAGTGCAGTCGCTGTAAATCCTGAGTATATACAGCAAATGCAATAACCAGTCAATAACCATGCAGTGTAGTATCTGTTTGTTTTAAAAAAATATATTTTAAAAATATTCTTTTTTTTTTCAATTTGAAACATTAAATTTTATTTGTGTTTCACAAGGTTAAGCGTTCGGCGCCTGCACGCCAGGGTACAGAAAGTAAAAAGAGGGTATTGCAGGTACTTTTCGTTACATCATACAGGGGTTATACATGTTGCTTTCACATCCCCGCCCTGTTAGTCTAACTAGTTCCATTGCCCATTGTTGTGTGTTACTCTCGTGGGACTCGTCCAGCCCCCTATTGATTGGCTTTGTCGTCCCTTGGTGCTAACCTCTGTTTGCCCACTTTATTGTGCTTCATGGGTTACCCCTGCAGTGTCACCTGCCTCCCTTGCTCCCCCTTCTTTGTTTTTTGCATTCCCCCTGGGTCCTGTGTTAAGTCTCGTGTGGTGTGTCCCCATATATGCCCACCATTTCTCTCCCGCTATGCCAATGTGTTTTCGTTGTCTTAGGTGTGCATTTGCCATCTGCTCGTACTTCCAGTTGAGGGAAATTTGGTCAAGTAGGGCTTCCTTCGTGGGTGCTATCTGCGATTTCCAGGCTCTGGCTATGAGGGTTACTGCTGCTATGAGCAGGTGAAATATGAGCCCTTCTTCGGTTTTGCTTAGGGTCTTTGGGATCATAAATAGGATGCTTTGTTCAATAGTGAGTGGCCAACTTCTGCCTAGCAGGTTGCCTGCTATATTTTCCACGTCTTTCCAGTATTGTAAACATATTCTTTTGCATATCTTTTTAAATGTATTCTCAGTGTAATGCATTAAAGAAAGCATAGGTTGACTTCAGTCTGTCAAGTCCCTTTTATCACTGGATATATGTATATATAATTGACATATACTGACATGTAACATTTATATCTGCTCAAATGTGCTGGGAATTCTTATCTCAGACGTATAAGATGGACTTTTGATTACTTATATTTTGGCCATTATATCCCAATGGATAATTTCCGCACATTCTGTCATGTACACCATGACCTCCTTCAGGAGTGAAATAGTTAAACTTTTTATTCCGTTTTCTATCCTTCAACCACCAGTCATAATCTCTTGTAATCAGCATGTTGTGATCCAGAACTAAAAAGTGCGGACAGGAAGAAATAAATGAGGAAAGGGATTAGATGCGCTCCACTGCCGAAACTTGTATGCTATAATCAATAATGCAGCTCCTCCCTTTGAACTTACACGGTAGAATTAAGGTTTTTGCAATGCAAAACGCTGCACTTCAATTATTTGTGTCTGCCGAGCTTCCTCACTGCTGGTTCTTTTTTTTTTTTCTTGGTACAGTAATTTATAATAATTTTAAAGCATATTTGTTATGTAGTACTGCTAGTAAAGCATTATGCAGAATGACTGGTAAGAATTCTGGTGCCATAGAGCTTGCACTCTGACGATGCTCTATACATGTTCTGGCCATTGCAGATGCTATAGTCTACATTTGCCATTATGCTGTGCCAGCCAAAAGCTGACAAAGCGTCCAAGGTGATGTTGTCCATATAGCTGTATTTAAGGTCAAATCTAAGCACCATAGGCACTTTGCATTACTCTAGAGTGCATGGTGCTTCTGAGAGCCCTAGCCATCGCTAATTTCTGAGAGTGGTTTATGATTTTTCAAAACGGTCCAACAGGGCAGTCAGTTTGACAGCAGGGAATAGTAGGGTCCAAGTTGCATTATTCCAATTTTGCATGTCTTGTGCAGGCAGTATTCTCACATCACATGCAAAAGAAAAAAGGCTATTTTTCTCCCGGGTGAAGAGATCTAATCCTTTCTCCCAATAGCGAATCAAAGCATAAACTGCTAGCATCTACCATTACTTTATAAAATAATTCCAATCATCTTAAATTATGATTGGAACTATTCATAGGTGTTTATAGGATAAGATCAGTCCCCACAGGCCTGAATGAGATACCTGATTGAAACGTCTCATCCTGGTGTAGGAGAGAGTCTTCCTGCGCTCTTTTTAATTGCATTATTTATATAATGTAAAAAAAATATAGGGCCTATTTTTGCCCATATTAACCTTTTATGTAATAAAAGTACTTTCCCCTAGCTCTGGGCTAGTTTATCAGTTATACAGGCTAATCCACAAGTCTCCGAGCACCATCAGTATCATTATAATTGCTGTATTTACAGAGTGGCAATATATTCAGCAGTGATGTACAATGGGTAACAAAGGCAAAACGCACCTATGTTTGAAAGCCTTTACATAAGTATGGGAATGTATCATGTTGGACAACAGTCTGTGACTAATATTTTGTAATGCCAAGTGTTGTGGGCTATTTGTTGGCTGCAGGTACACCATGTGAAATGTGTTCCTTTATAGCTAAAGTTAGCCTTCATTAATACCGGAGAACCGAATGATTTATATTAGCCTACTTTAACCCCTTAAGGACACATGACGTGTGACATGTCATGATTCCCTTTTATTCCAGAAGTTTGGTCCTTAGGGATTAAACCCTTGTAGATTGTAAGCTTGTTTGAGCAGGGCCTTCTTCACCTCTTGTCTCTGAATGTCAGTTACTTTTCAAATATCTCCTTTTGTTAACTGTAAATATGTTGGCTCTATATAATAACTACTACTAATAATAATATAATCAGATGAAATACTGTGCTGACAAAATCACAGTCAAAGGCAGGGCCGCCATCAGGGGGTGACAACCATTACGGTTGTCACGGCCACCGGGCCCCACGTGTAGAGGCGGAACTGCCGCCGGTGCACTTGCACCGGGGCCCGCACGCTGATGGGGCCCACCCGATGGGCCCTGTATCTTCAGGGGCCCGGTTAGCGCTGTGGCCATGTAATAGCGCGACCGGGCCCCTTTAAAAAAAAAAAAACAACCGCAGCAGCAGCAAGTGCTGCTGGGAGGAAGTGACCTCGTGGGAGGACCGCCAGTGAGGGAGAGCCAGCCGACTACTCCCATCAGCCCCAGCCACCCTCCTGCAAAGACAAGGTAAGAGACAGGAGGGTGGCTGGAAAATGAGCTTTGTGTGTGTGTCTGTATTTCTATGTATGTCTGTCTGTCTGTATGTCTGTCTGTATTTCTCTATGTATGTCTATGTATGTATGTATGCCTATGTATGTATGTCTGTATATATGTGTATGTATGTATGTCTATGTATGTATGCATGCATGACTGTCTGTATGTATGTATGTCTGTATGCATGCATGTACGTCTATGTATGTCTATCTGTGTGTCTGTCTGTATGCATGTATGTCTATGTATGTATGTCTGTATGTATGTCTGTATGCATGCATGTATGTCTGTATGTATGTCTGTATGCATGCATGTATGTCTATGTATGTATGTCTGTCTATGTATGTCTGTATGTAGGCATGTATGTCTGTATGTATGTATGTATGTATGTATGTATGTCTGTATGCATGCATGTCTGTATGTATGTCTGTATGCATGCATGCATGTATGTCTGTCTATGTATGCATGTATGTCTGTATGTATGCATGTATGTATGTCTGCATGTATGCATGCATGCATGTCTGTATGTCTATGTATGTCTGTATGTATGTATGTCTATGTGTATGTCTGTATGTCATTATATATGTATGTCTGTATATCATTATGAACGTATGTCTGTGTGTATGTGTATATGGATGGATGTATGCATGTATGTCTGTCAGTATGTCTGTATATATGCATGTATGTCAGTCTGAATGTATGTATGTCTGTATGCCATTATGAGTGTATGTTTGTATGCCATTATGAATGTATGTGTGTATGGATGTCAGGGTCTGTATGTCTGTCAGTATGTTTGTATGTATGTGTGTATGTATGTATGTCAGTGTGTATGTATGTGTGTGTCTTTATGTCCTCATGCATGTGTATCTGTATGTATGTTAGTATTTGTCTGTCTGTCACTATGTATGCCTGTGTTTCTGTATATGTGTGTATGTCTCAGTATGTGTGTGTCAGTATGTATGCCTGTATGCGTGGATGTCTGTTTCAGTATGTGTGTCTGTTAGTATGTATCTATGTCCTTTTGTATCAGTGTGTTTGTGTCTGTGTGTATTCCTGTGGGCGGTATTTGGAGGTGGACCCTGTGGGCGGTATTTGGAGGCGGAGCTGAGTTAGAGGTGCTTCCTGTGTCAGTGCTGCACAGTGTCTCCACCCTCTGCATGTAGACGCTAAACGTTCCCCACAGAGATGCATTGATTCAATGCATCTCTATGAGGAGATGCTAATTGACACAGCATATAGGGGGCTGGTATTCTAAATATTTACTCCAGCACTGTAGTGTTAGGAATACATGTTTGTATTCCTAACACTATAGTGTTCCTTTAAATTCATTCAGGGTAGCTAGTTAGCACTATGATTTCTCTGATGTGGGTCCTGAAAGTGTTTAAAACAATGTACTAGGGGGTGGGGCCTAACCGTCGACCAAGATGGTCGCACATGGAAAGAGCTCCGAGTAGGAAGCCAGCAAAAAGCGACATAATTACAACAAAACTTGAAATTGATAGCCTGGGACAGCAGAGGATCGGCGACATCCCGAGACTCACCTGGGTGGTTCTCCACGCTTGGAGCAACATCCTAAGTCCAGATACAAAACGCGGCCTACCAGCGGCTGCACACGTGGGAGAGTCGGCCGATCTTCAAGTGGGCAACAATGCAAGTCAGCACTGATGGGGGTTATCCCGGCTCAAGCAAGCAGACACTACCCCCAGGCACACTGAGGCCCCCGGTAAATCATCTGCCCCTGCGGCCTACCTCCAGCCTAACCACAGAAGTTAAAATCGCGGCGGAGGACTCCAAAACCGCACCACGAGGCCCACCAACGACATTGGAAGAGCGGCTCGACGCGCTGTTCAGCAGCTTTTGTTAAAAGCTGCGAGACAGAGAGACTCAGGCAAGGAGGGAGCAGAAGAGGGAAAACAAACGCCCACACAAGCCTCCGGACCCCCCTGCACCCCCGGCAGATAAATGTCAGATGCGGCATATGGCTCCTGGCTCAACGTGGCGGGAGAAGCGACTCACCAACCCCGCTGACGCCCGGCCGGGCCCTAAGAGTTACAAAGCCCGCTACCACCTACCGAAACAGAGGACCCATAGAAAACAAAACATGAGGAACAGCACAAAAAAGCGGCAGTACAAACTCCCAAACAGAGAGAAATTCTATGGCACCCGAGTCCCTACCGCAGCAGCAAGCGTGACCAGAGCAGCAGGATAACAATGCTCATAACCAGGCTATAGGACTCTGTACACCCTCGGGTAGGCATCAGTTAAAAGGCCTCCAACTCAAGGATTCTATGGCCACCCATTCTACCCACTGACGACCACGGGACTTGTCATACAATCTCCACAACAAACGAACGCTGTCCTGCCCTTGATTACCTGTTATCTCTTCATGTTATACAAATGTTTCATTCACTCAGTAGAAGTATACCTCCCTCATGAGACCCAATGTACCCAAGTTGCATGCTGTGTATCTCCCACCAGGGTACTATAAAACATCTGAATGGGCAACTGTCAAGACATGCCACTACACGAGTTAAAACAGCATGATTGTCATTGTCTTAAAAAAAAAAAAAAAAATGTGCCGAGACCTTAATGCCACATATGTGTTCAATTGTACTACCAATGTGCTTACATGTGCCGTTGTGGTAATGTAAGATGCCTTGTTATTTCTTGCACAACAAAAATAATGTACTAAATGTACTAAACTTCTGTAAATTATCTATAATGTTTCATATTGTATTTTATTTATGTAGGCATTACAGGTGTGTTTAGCACTTTACAGGCTAGATTACAGTAGAAGGGGTACAGTAAGTATTCAGTGTAAGTACAGTAGTTACAGTATACAGTGTATGCCCAGTACATACAGATACATTAGGATAGGTAGATGCCACCCTTAATTGCTGTCAATCTGACTGGAAGTGTAAATTAATGTGACATTTAAATTATAGTACAAATCAGTAAGATGTACCTATTTGTTTTTTAAAAAACACCATTCTGCTGTCAACATTGCTGCCCAGCAGCTTATCAGCCTATTGGCAGAGCAGAGTGTTTCAATCAGTGTCATTATTAGGCTGAATGTTATCTCAATTAGATACTTTTTTCCTTTTCATTTTGATATGATATTTATGCAAGAGACCTACACTATTGATCCCCACTATTGAGCTATTTAAAAATTAGTCACTCAATGCAGGCTATAGTGAGTGACCTTTAAAGAAAAACAACAGTGTTAGTGTTGGACTACATCTTTAGATGACTGGCCCTCCTTCAGAATGCTATTGCACATGTGCGTCAAAACGCCACTCTGCATCAATCGGCCTCTACTTATAGAGATGCATTGAATCAATGCATCACTATGGTGAGCATTCAGTGTCTCCATGCAGAGCGTGGAGACGCTGAACACCGGTGTTGCACACAATGCAGCGCTGAAATAGGGAGCATCTCTAGTGGTTGTCTGAGTTACTGCACCTAGAGGTGTTATTAGGCAGCAATGTGAACACTGACCTTTCTCTGAAAAGGCAGCGTTTGCATTTCTGAGATTTTTGGGACATAGTGTCCCTTTAACAACATGGGCAAGGGCATTCAATTGTGACAGCTCTCAGCACATATCTCAAAAATTGCATGCCACTTCATCCTTAGACTAAATCCTTCTATTTTTAGGTTTATAGAGTTTAGTGCTTCGTGATTGTATCCACATAATGCCATGAGTTCTAGCAAGCTGAATGCTGATTTGCTTAGAATTTATTTTTCTTCCATTATTTCAAGCAAGGTGTAATGAGACAGACTGATCGATGTCATTCCATTTACAATCCTAGCGATATGATGATTATAGCAAAAAGGGTATCTTGACTGAGTGTCTTTTAGTGAGTCACACTTTTGAAATGTGTTATATTTATTCCTATCACATTTTTAAAGACAATCTTTCTCATTTTGTGCAACATTATTTGTACCCAAGTCTTTAAACATCTGTCACTTTTCCCAAATACAGCGAGATGTTTCAGATAAGTTGATTGACAGATCTTCACGTAGATAAAGCCATAACATCGTAAATTACGTTACCTGTTGGACAGGCCTTCATTCTGTCCAATTTATGCTTGTATTTCTACATATAAACCCAGCCTTCCCCTTGTCTTTGTAGACTGTAAATGTTAACATATTGGAATAATATTGGGACCTTAACTGGCAGCTTCGTATTTTATTTTTCCATGCTGAGTTGTAGTGCTGGCATTAATTGCACCGTTCCAATCCTCTGACAGCGGAAGGGCAGACTTTCTCATATTTTGACACTCCCAGGTTTAAAGATGTCAAGTACTGCCTTAGAGGAGAACGTTTTTTATTGATCAACACGCCTGCTGAGACTTCCTGCAGAGCGTTAAATCTCATCTAAATGTGGTTAGGCATACCAGCGAACAAGCTGCCATGTATTATAGCAGGAAGAGAAAAACTTATTGCAGGCATTGTGTTAGAATGTAGAAGTAAGGTAGCAGATCTGATGACTTGTCACCCTACAGGGGCCCATCCTGTGTAGGTAATGTCCCACTGAATCCTGAGCAGAATGCTCTCACCCCGCTGGAGACAACTTGGTGAGAGGGCCTGGGGAGAAATTTTACTCTTCCAACTGCTTGTTTTGAACCCAAATACTACAGTCTGGGTGGATTCCAGTGGTGAATTACAGCTGTTCTTTTCATCGTTCTGCATTGAAGATGTGGTGCTCAGCAGCTGTTAGCCTGTCTCCCGATGATGGATTTTGTCAGCACAGGCTGATATAGGCTATTATTGTCATAAACGATTTATTTGGGATATTAACCATTTGGGTACTGGCAAGAAATGCACAGGATAGCTAGCTGTTGCCGACAATGCAGCTGCATTTTAAACTTGTAGGCTTTTTAAATGCCTTCATTAAAAGACCAAGGTGCTTAGAACTGGCATGTCTCCTAATGTATTTAACAAAGTCAAGGTAAATGGCTTGTCAGAGATATGGTTGCTAGAGGGCAATGGCTTGGAAAAAATGTAAACTTATGAAAAGAAGAATAGTTTTATGGAACATGTTCCAGGGAAAGTTGCTAAAAAGTGATTAAATGGGGTATTTCCAAGTAACCAAAGCTTGAAATTAGTAGATTCATAACATTCCTCTGCAAAGAAGGCAAAATGTTATTTCTTCTAACTTGTAGCCAAATGGTACACGCACAGTTATTATTTGCATAAGCAGTTGATTCCAACTACAAAATCAGAGCTAGGCAGTACATCACATATCCTCCATCAGACGAGCAGGAGATCCATCACCTCTTACTGGTCTGCTTACTGAATGTAATTAAATATTCATTGTAACATTGGATCATGTGCGAATTGACAAGTGATTAAAAACTACATTAAAAAGAATAAAAGCAAAGAATGAGAAAACAATAGTTTTACCACATTCCCAGAATGCCGTGCATAAAGATGCAAATCAGTCCATACAATAAATTGTTACTCTATTCTGTTTTGTATACATCATTAATACTCAAACATGGCTTTAGTTGTGCATGAAGTATATTTAGTACCTTTTTCATGCATTTGGGCCTAGCCGTGCGGAGTTGACATTTAGATTATAGTGAAAAATGTATTGTATGAAGCTTAGCCAAATGCCAACTGTAAGGTATGGCAAGGCAAAAAAGTTACAAAATTCTCTCCACTGTATAACAAAAACAGCCTCAGAAACACTGGTGTTTATCAGCTACCTTTATAAAGATATAAATCTTGTGTAATTCTGTTTCTATTTTGAATATTACTGGGTTAACCATGTCCAACAGATGTCTCGCAACAAAGAGAGATGTAAGGTGTCCGCATGCAATTATCTAATCCTAGTGAACACTGCAAAGGTATCTGAGTACATAAGGCAGTCTGTTTGTAAGTCAGGTCTTACTCTACTGTGTTTTGCTTGTTACCAAGTGTTTCCCAAACCTCCTCTGCCCTATGACTGTCCACATATATATTTATAAGCATAGATTTTATTTTATCTGTGACATCTGCTCGAAGCATGTCCCTCCTGTGATACCAGGCTCTGTGCAGCTGTTCAGACCTCCAGTTTCGAGCTGTGCTCGGGGTGCCCGGAGCAGACGTTTTTTTTTTGATGTGTGATAAAACAGAACCAAACCACTGGGGGTATGCAGCTAGCGCCAGCAAGAGAGGAAAAAACGCATCAGAATATCAATTAACCTGCTCTGAACAAAGCACACAGCTCCATGGTGGGATAGACATTCCACTGATGTGTCAAGACACCAGATAATATATTCTAATTAAAGGATTGATTTCTTTTTTTATTTGTGCACTTGTGTACCTCTGAATTTCCAAGACCCCAGGAAATATCTAAAATATACAAAAAATATATAATCACTACGTATTTTACATTCCATTCATTATATATGAAGTCTTAGGGTGCAGGGTGGTGTATTGAGAAAATAAACAGAAGTTTGTTATTGTTTTTTTTACCTTTAATTGCGATGGAGCATTTTACGCAATGATATATTTATCTCGAAGTGTGCGGTTGTTGTCCTGGGAGATATCTTTTAACAGAACAATATGATGCACACTGTGAGGATATAGTCTATTTAAAAGAAAACTTTGCTAAAAATCAGATATTTGCAGGCTTTTTCTAAGACTTAAATTTAATATACGATGTTGACAGAAAACAACTGCTGATGACAAAATTATTGTGCGTTTTGCTATTTAATGCTATCCTCTAGAATACACACAATACTGTTACAACGTATGGATCACTAAAAATTTGACGCATCAAAACAAATAGTGATCTGCTGCAGTGACACTCACTGTAATAAAAGTTAAGAAAAAGTTCTGGAAGCCAAACGCCAAACAAAATACATATCCTTAGCATGCTGAGACTGTCTTGCTGTTACAAAACGAACGCATTCAGTGCTGCAGCAATCATCAACAATACAAGCAGCACTGAATATATATATATATATATATTATTATTATTATTATTATTTATAAAACACAAACAGATTCTGCAGCGCTGTACAATGGGTGGACTGACATACACATAGTTGAAACCAGACAAGATGGACGCACAGGAACAGTGGGGTTTTTAGAGGTAGTAGGGTATGGTGTTATAAAAGGTAAGGGTAGGGCAGAAAATTAGGTTGCTAGACTAGTTATTTGCTGAGGGGTTGATAAATCAGGGCGCAGGAAAGGAAAGCTTTTAATAGTTTATTATTATTATTATTATTATTGCCATTTATTTAGCGCCAACAGATTCTGTAGCGCTTTACAATATTTTAAGAGGGGGGCTTTATCTATAAATAGGACAATTACAAGAAAACTTACAGGAACAATAGGTTGAAGAGGACCATGCTCAAAACCATCTTACAGTCTATAGGATCTATAGTAAAACACAATAGGACAGGAAATAGCAATCAAATAAGGTCGAGAGTAAAGCAGAGCTGGAGGAGAGAGTAAATTGCTGCCCTTTAGGAGAGAGCAAGAGACAGGTATGTAAGGTAGAGGTTACTCTGGGGGACCATTAACTTTCCTAAAGAGAAGTGTTTTAAGGCACTTCTTAAACGATTGAAGACTAGGGGAGAGTCTGATGGCGGTAGGTAGGCTATTCCATAGGAAGGGAGCCGCCCACGAGAAGTTCTGCAAGCGTGTGTTTTGCCATATGGGTGCGAGCAGCGGACAGGAGAAGGTCATGGGCAGAGCGGAGAGACGGAGAAGGCGCATACCTTAAAGGGGGCTAGAATTGATGCTTTATAGGTATGGGTTAGCACTTTGAATTGACTACTATAGGATACAGGAAGCCAGTGTAAGGACTGACAGAGGGGTGTGGTGTGAGAGGACCAACTAGAGAGGAAAATCAGTCTTGTGGTAGCATTCATTACAGACTGTAGCGGGGCAATACGGTTTTTGGTAAGACCCATTAGGAGAGGGTTACAATAATCCATGCGGGAGATTTCTAAAGCATGGACAAGCTCCTTAGTAGCATCTTGCGTAAGAAAGGGGCAGATGCAGGCTGTGTTTTTAAGATATTATCTACAGGATTTGGTAACATGCTATATGTGAGACTCAAAGGTGAGGCCAGAATCAAGTATGACACCAAGACTGCGCGCTTGCAAGGATGGACTGATGTGTAGATAAAAGTTTAACGCAGGAGGGAAGGGAGCGCCACTGGAACGGTGCAGCCCTTGAGAAGTCTTGAAGGCGCGAGCATCAGAGGTAGGAGTACGAGCAGAGTATAGACATAGGACTTCAGCAGAGCATAGGTGCCTAGATGGGACATACTTGTGTATTAGTGAGGATAGGTAGGTTGGAGCAGCATTGTGTAGAGATTTGTAAACAGGTACAATTTTAAATTGAACCCTATATCCAAAAATATGTATACAAAAAAAACGAAATGAAGGATTCCCACATTAGCAGACGTGTGCCTGGAGTGAACTTGATTGTGATGTCAATTTCTAAATCTTTGCAATACATTTGAAAGAAAATAGAGCATCAAGTAAAAGAGATGGACGCAAGTTATAGGTGATTTTCAATATTTTATTGAATGTTGTAATTTCCAGAGTAGTGACAGTTTGCCTCTAGTCTTTCCAGACAATTACTTTCAGACTGCCCCACATAATTCTTTCTGTTTTAATTTGAACAGTCTCCTACCTAAATATTTAGTTATTTTGTTCTCGATCTCACTCCAATCGGTTTAAGTATAACGTGTGCGTTGGTTAATGTTTTGTAGGGTTGGATTTTGGAAGGATTCCCACGAACACGTGAACAAGCATTACTGCTGCAGATGAATGGAAATATTCCCGATCATGTTGGTATGTAGTTACTATAATACCAACAAACATCATGACTGGCTTGGGCTTTCCATATATTTATGAACTACAATTCTTGTGATGCACAGCCAGGCTAGAGGCCCAGTAGGCTATTTGAGTACTACAAGAGACATACTTCACATATATCAGGGGTGCAAATGTTATCTTCAGTTTTCTTAAAGGAACACCATAGAGTTAGGAATACAAACCTATATTGCCTTTGTCCCTAGTTATATATAGTCCTCCCTACCCTTTTCACAGAAAAATTATAAAATAAAGCTTTTTCATAGCCTTTTTCCAGCACCGGAACTCCCTCGGGGGGCTTCTCATCTCTATGCCTATTGCTAAATTATCTTGGAGGTATGACCTCGTCCATCGTTCGTCTAATCCAATGCTCCTCAAACAGGAGCATTGGGGACCTGATGCTCGTGGGTTGTGAACACCGTGTGTACACCCACGTTTTCCCATAGAAAAGCATCCTTTTAAATACTTTCCTATCAGTTTCTGCATCATGTAACAAGGTTTTACTCAGTCAGTGCATTGGAAGCCAGTAAGACAACCTCTAGTGGTGGTCAAACCTTGCAATGTAAACATTCCCGTTCCTAAGAATCTGTAATGTTTGACATTGCAAGTGTAAAATGACAAGACCACTGCACCGAGACCATTTCATTAAGATGAAGCTGTCACTGTGACTTTAGTGATCCTTTAATCATTCTGACTGTAAAACACATCTCTATCTAATAGGAAGTATGGATATATCACTTTGAGTGAAGAATCATAAGTATTGTGTAGATGCATTCTTCTCTTGGCTGGATGTGGAGATGACTTAAGCTGATGGATATAGCGTTGAAATGGCTTTATCTAATAGGTGCTATGATGTGTGTGACCTCATATTTGTGAAAAGCTGATTCTCATTTTATTTAATATGAGAGCATGTTTTGATAAGATTTGTTGATGTGGGGTGTATGGACGTACCATGAGTGGGAGTGAGATACCAAATGTTTTTCTTATCTTGTATTCCTAGCTAAAAATGCATTTTTAAAGATTCATTAAAAGCTTTTAATGTAAGAATTGTTTATGGAATATTTATATGTGCATCTGTTTTAAAGATAGATCCAGATTACTGAGCAAGTGCTGTACCTCCCATTAAATAACTGTTATGTGAGACAATGTTCTACTCGTTGGCACTTTTTTCCTATAATTGTCTTCATGCCCATATTAACATATTTATGAAAAGCATTGTGCTTACATTAGTACACCCCTTGACTGCCCTCTAAACATGCTAGGACAGAGGACCTCTGACCCACAGCCTTCAAAACCTAGTCTAACTTCCAATGCCCTGTAAAACCCAGCTGATAAAATGTAACTATTGCTCACCTACAATATATGCCTTATCATGCGAAAAATCTGGTCTAATGGTCTGTGGTTCGTGGTTGGCCTTCAGACAAACAAAACCAGAAGCCCAAGCCATATTCATTTAAAGAACCTGTCAGTATGGACCTCTGTTCTACTAGGGATCTCTCGCAATTTCCATGTTTTATTTGTTATTTCTATCAATATGGCATTAGCTTACTGGTTATGCTATTGTGTTAATAATTCTTCTTGAGTTTAGTATAAAAGAACAATTTATGATCGCAGGTGTGAATCTTGTAGCTTAATTTTTATGTGGTCCTAGTGGTTTTAGATGCTCCAGATATTGTCCTGATTGAGAGGAACATGGGAAAAAGGATTGACCGCAGAAACGGAGGTAAGAAAGTGCTCTGTACGTCATCAAATTGACATATGCTTAAACTACAGCTTCTGATTCTCTGTGAAGGAATATATTTGGCCGTGGGTTTTCAATCTGGGTTTTCATAGTCAGAGCCAATCTTATTCATTGTCTATCATCTTGTGTTACAGAGATCGCTGCCTTTGAAATATAACTAGCGTGCATTATATTTGTATAAAGTATAATAGTATTATAATTTCATGAGTTTTGGCTCTAATTTAGTGATCCTAACCGTCAGCTGGAGGTCCCAGAGGACAAATCTACTGAATTTGTGTTTCTGCATTAAAATGTATGTCCATCTTAACATTTTAGAATGTCTTGTTTTTAGTTTGTTTGTTTTTTTTTGTTTTTTTTATAAATATATTTTTTTAACCCTATGCACATCTTCTCTCCCACTCAGTTGCACAATTCTCAGTTAACCTGTTTACTGAGAGAGCTAAATGTTAAAAATTATGCACATAGAATTGTGGTAAAAAATTATATTTACGTTTTAGATATATGTACATTTTTATTTACCTACCAAGAACATGTTTGATTTAATTTTCAAATGGTTTTATGATCAGCAGCTGGTCACGTCTTACATGGAATCTAGTGAGGTGATTGTAGCAAGATCCTTTTTATCAGTTTCTTGTGAACTATAAAGGGATATTCTGGATGAATTTGTACGTGTAATGCAAAAGAGAAACTTTCACGTTATCTTGGTGGCAACAAAGATATGTGATCAGTCCATTTGTAAGTGAACCAAAAATTGCGATTATATTAGTAGTAGTTGTACCCACTTCTGCCTTCAAAAGAGTCTCAGTGCCACATAAATACAATGTACTACGAGTAGACATAGCTCTATAGAAATGAAGGTCCTCACTGACTTCCCACAGTCATCTGTTAATCATATTAATTCGTCTCGTGCTGGATCTCCCCCTAAATAGCCCTGTTTCTATCTTTTTATAGATGCTCAGTTGGATTGTGGTTTGGTAAACAGAAAGGCCAATTCTCTAAGATGTGCTCACTCTCAATTTTGCGAATTGATTCTGTTACAACCCTTGTTTTATGGCATGGGGCATTATCTTCCTGAAAATCTTTTTAGCAGAGGGATTCACTGCTGCCATGAAGGGGTGCACCTGATTGACCGTGATCTACAGATATACTGTGGCATTTATACTGATTCAGTCGATCATAACTGTTGACAATACATTGCTCCCCTTGCATTGTGGGTATGGTTGTCAGATCCACCATGCTGCCCTGGGCACACATCGCTGATACATGTAAAGGGGAAGCATAGGATATTGCCGCCTTTTATATCAAGTATCATTCATATATAATATAATTCTTCCTTATAATAAATGTACTTAATTCTTGGGTTTTTAGTCCACATATTACAGAATAACACTTACCACATGGCGATCCTCAGCATGCAGGAGTGGTGCATGGCCAGAAAACCATGGAGGGTCTGGAAATTTAAATCAAGAAAAATGCATTTTACGCAGTGACACTATCACCAGCCTGCACTGTTGACACATAGGGGATATTGATGAAAATGTTCTGAAAAGTGACAGTTGAATTCTGTCACTCGTTTGATCGCATTTATTACAGTGTCCTAAAAGTGATCTAAAAAGTGACCATTTTCTTGATAGTTAGCCCAATTTGTGTTTCAGAAGATCATCAAAAATAGTGGTGGAATAAAAGGAAATAAAACGAAACAAAAAAGTCTGAAAAAGTGGCAGAAAGATTGATACATCCATTGTTTTGCCGAAAATATTGTGTGTACTCTAAAAGGACACTTAGGGCGTTTAAGAACCAACAGGTGACAAAATCCTACAGATTTAAGAAATTGTGCTAAAAATTAAACAGAAAAATGTCAGCGACACTTTGATATAGCTCCCCCATAGATACATGTAGTCGTTCCTCTATTTCCATATCCTAGCCCTTACTTCATCATGAAACAGAAACTGACATTTCTCAGACCAGGCAATTTATATCCAATCTGTAGTGTCCTGGGTCTCATGCCTTAGTCCAGTACAACCAGGGGTTCATGGGTTTTTACAAAACAAGTGGAACTTCAGATGTTGGTTGTCTTATTGCAATTTGTAAGACAAGATATGATAAGGTGTATTGGGCCTTACTTAATGAACTGACCATTTTTCTTGGCTGTCTTAGATCTTCAACACTGTACAGTTTAGTGGAGCAACTTTTTATTTATAGCTTTAAAAAATTACTGCTCATGAGGCACAAAATGTGTAACCGTTATCGTGCTCAACAAGAAGAAATAAAAGTATTTCTTTTTAATCTCTGTTGCACATATTAGGCATTGTTTTCTTTTCTCCTGGAGGTACTGGTTGATTCATGCTTGGCTTAGATCTTTGGTAATATTTCCATCATAACATGATCAAATTAATCAAATATTTGTATTAAATTAAAACACCTGTGTGATGATGGGTTTCTTTGACTTGCAGAGATCTACCACACTACCTTCGATTGGCCTGATGACCCAGAAATACAAGACAATTTGGTGGAACCCGAAGGAATATCAGAGGAAGAGACAGGGCAGGCATTACTAGTGTACCACAGGCATATACCTGGAATACTGTGTACCTACCTGAAAGTACACAAAAAGATTAACGCTGACCAACCTTGCATGGATGTGTTTTCACAAGGTAAAGAAGTTCTTGGTCATTTGATATAAACTACATTAAGTAACAAGTCAAAACCAAAAATAGATCTATGTAGAATTATCCTGTTCTTACCCTAAACTGCAGGTGTTTTGAAAGGTTTTGCATAACCAGGAACTAGGAATTGTAGAGAAATAAAAAAGACATGGGTAATCCAAATGAGCTGAATTGGAAAAGTCCTGTAACTTTCCACCAAGGCTATTCTGGACAGAATTTGCAATTTTCTGACAGTTCTACACAGTTGTCCGTTAAGTGGATAAACACCCTCTGTGAATTGTAACTGAAAAAAGTTTGAACAAAGATAACTACAATTTATGGACTTAGTAAATAGTTTGTCAATTGGTTGACCATGACTTGTCGAAAGATAGACCATTATTTTGATCGTGCAGCAGATATCTGTTCCAAAGAACTCTTGCATATTCAAGATTCATTGTCCTCTGCCCACTTACGAGCTTAATTGAATTGATGATAACATTCAACCTTTTGCCACAAACCTGTGTTAAACAAAAAAACAATGCCCTATCTGACATAAAAAATAATAGTAATGAATGTAAATTATATGTTTGTCCTTTTCTTCACATAGCAAATTAATTAGTTTCCAAATTGCTTAATTACATCTAAAAGTCGATATCAGCATTCATAAAGTATTCATGCCTTGAACAGTAAATAAAGACATGGGTGCTTGAATATTAATTATTATTAATTAATAATGCAGAGAGCTAAATTAGGGATGGGAAAGAGGAAAATCCACACATACAAGGAAATCCTCTGTAGATCTTTCCTGCAGCACATCAAGCTTCAAAATCCTTCTTTATTCAAGATAATTAGTCAGGGAGCCCATCTAGGGGATTATTACTCCTAATTAACTTACAGTTATTTACTGGAAATTAGCACCATTTGTAAAGCGAGCTTTCTGCCAGTAGATGATCTGAGGAAATCACGGAAAACGAGGAACTTTTATTAGAAGCTTGTTTTTTTTCTTCAGATTCCTTCACTTTCACTGTATAGTCCTTGTTGTATGATCTAGGACCTTGTGGCATAGGACAGGCTTGTCCAGATGGGACTCTTTTGGAATGGTCCTTCATTCACAGCTGTCATGTGGGGCTTTGGTACAACCTGATACCTATCTAAAAGATAGCAATGGGTTGTGGTTACATAGTTACATAGCTGAAAAGAGACTTGCGTCCATCAAGTTCAGCCTTCCTCACATATTTTTTTGCTGTTGATCCAAAAGAAGTAAAAAAATCCAGTCTGAAGCGCTTCCAATTTTGCAACAAACTAGGAAAACTAGGACAGTATGATGTACTCTGTAAATCAGGGCAAATACATAAATTTTCAATTACTTTTGTTAAAGTATAGGCTATAGTCACACTATACAGCTTAATGTAGTTGTTCTGGTGAGTATACTCTGTCCCAGCAAGCATTTTAATGTAAACACGGCCTTTGCTCCATAGGAACACCTCTAGTGGAAGTCACTCAGGCGGCCACTAGAGGAGCTTCCTTGGTCAGTGCTATCCAACGTGCAGCACTGCCGTTCAGCATCTCCACACTCTGAATGGAGATGCCGAACGTTCCTTATAGAGATGCATCGATTCAATGCTCTCTATGCGGAGATCATCAAAAAGGAGGCAGAGTGTGGACAGGATCAGCTGTAACGAGACCTGTGCTGCGCTGGAAAAAGGTAAGTCAACTACCTTTTTTACAGAGGGTAAGGAGGGCCAGGGACCTAAACAGTGTTTTCACAACAATAATGTCAGGAATACACATTTGTATTCCTGACACTATAGTGTTCCTTTAACCCCTTAAGGACCAAACTTCTGAAATAAAAAGGAATAAAAGGGAATCGTGACATGTCACACATGTCATGTGTCCTTAAAGGACCACTCTAGGTACCCAGACCAGTGGTAACCCTAGGTCCAGCTAGGGTTAACCCATTTTTTTATAAACATAGCAGTTTCACAGAAACTGTTATGTTTATAAATGGGTTAATCCAGCCCTCAAATCCTCTAGTGGCTGTCTCATTGACAGCCGCTAGAGGCGCTTGCGTGATTCTCACTGTGCAAATCACAGTGAGAACACGCAAGCGTCCATAGGAAAGCATTGTAAATGCTTTCCTATGAGACCGGCTGAATGCGCGTGCAGCTCTTGCCGCGCGTGCGCATTCAGCCGAAAGGGAGGAGAGGAGGAGGGTCGGAGGCGGAGAGCTCCCCGCCCAGCGCTGGAGAAAGGTAAGTTTTAACCCCCTTCCTCTCCCCAGAGCTGGGCGGGAGGGGGACCCTGAGGGTACCCTCAGGGCACTATAGTACCAGGAAAACAAGTATGTTTTCCTGGCACTACAGTGGTCCTTTAAGGGGTTAAACTGTCCTACCTATGTACACGTTCTTATTGAAATACTTTTTTTTTTCTCCTGTATTTTTTTTGGTCATAAATGAGAATTTATATATGTATATGTAACATCAAAATAAAGCTTTTAAAAATGGTATGTAATAGTGTTAGTGGAATAAATGTGAAAGACTGAAATTGTAGGAAAAATATAAAAAATGCCCAAATTGCTCGTGTTCTTAAATACAAAACGAGTAAACTGAACCTGTGTCTTTAAGAGGCTAAAAATTAGATTTACCTTTACAGGAAGTGTGCAGGGAGACTATGTAAGTCATAGCAAGGGAAGGTGTGGCTAAGGCTGTGTAAACAAAGTGGTTTAACTTTTAAATGGCATAGACTTAAGCAGTGATACTGCACGGGCATGGTCTGTAAACCAAAACCACTTAATTAAGCTAAATTTGTTTTAGTACTTGGAGTGTAACCCCTTATTGATGTATGGTATGTAGGGACAGTTATGATATAATAGGATTTGACTCACTCTGTTGTCTTGAAAAACAACAAAATACACCTGGCTACCCTTCTACCCTTCTGAACATTAAAAAGCAAGAGATATTGTTAGTCCTGTAATCTTAGCGATAATCGTGACTGTATTCCCTGCTTACTTTAATGACACTTTCTTTTCTTTTTTGTTTTTTTTTTCAGTTTTGACATTTGTGCTAAGCAAACCAAGGTCCGTGGCCCCTTACACGCCTCGCGTCTTGCTCTACGGACCCCCAGGCAGTGGACGTGGCCTTCAGGCATCATTGCTGTCACAGAAGTATGGCCTGGTCAACAGTAAGTCTCAAACTGTGCTTTATCTTTTGATTTTACAAAAGAAATATAGCACAGAGAAGCCTGGTTTTCCCTTGGAATATGATATGTCCAGGTAGCTCCAGGTGAACTGAGTAAAACACAGGTGAGCTCTGAAGTATTATACAGCCTTTTAATAAAGTGTACAAGTAGGCACATGGCAGAGATTTGCAGGGGTAAATATTCCCTAATGAAGAATTTCAGTATAGTAAAACATTAACACAATTTTCTGAAGGTAAATACAATAATGCCTAAAAATCTCAAAAAGGCAATAGATTCATATTCAAAATATGCAGTGGATCCTGCTTAGTTGTGATGTTCATTTTTTGTGCAAATTATTATTTTTGCAAATCCCACATCTCCGTTTCCTTATTGTTTCCATTTTGCCTGTCTTTTGTCAGTTTGCTGTGGCCAATTGCTGAAGGAAGCTGTCGCAAATGAAAGTAAATATGAAGAATTAATCGGTCCATACATTGAGAACTCTCAGCAAGGTTGGCAAGTCAGCACGTTAACATTTATTGCAATGAGTGTCAATCAAAAACAATCTACTTTGAACTTAACGAAACACATTAGTGTTAGGAATACATCTTTGTTTTCCTAACACTAAAGTGTTTCTCTACTCCTGTGACTTCCCCCAGTGTTGTAAAGGGCTAAATTACCTTTTATTCACGTACCCGATTCCAACGCCTATGTCCCTCAGCGCTAGATCATGCTATGCCTCCTCCGACGTCAGCTGATTAGGGGTGGGAGGGAGGACAGGACTTAAAGCGCATAAGCGCAAGCATTAGGCCTTCCCCATAGGAGAGCATTTCCTCAATGATTTCCTTTGAGGTTTTCCTTGACGCTGGAGCGTGAGGGCATGCAGCATCCTATCACGGAGTCAAACTCCAGGAAGCATCATCTAGTAGACAGCCACTAGAGGCAGTATTAGAGGCATGTAAAGGAATGTGCAGAACTGAGGGGAAAAGGGACAGTACACCCACACCACTCAATGAGAAGAAGTGGTTGGGTGTCTTTAGTGTCCCTTTAATGCCCATCTGTGATCACATAATAATAACATTATCACATTTTTAAATAGGAAGCATGCATGTATCTTTTTATGTTCTGTTATTGCTCCACTCACTGGGGCTCATTGTATTAATCATGGACATATTAATTGCAGCCTTGACTTTTCCAGTCACCTTCAAATACTGCATGTGTATTATGTATTGAGAAATGAATAAATCACACTTGGATTGCTTCTTTGCTGCAGAGGGTCTTTGTATAAAGTCATGTAAATGATTAAAACAGAAAATGTTATTTTCACCCAGTTTTGCGGTTAAGAAGTTTGACATTTTGCATCACCAAAACTAAAATATATTCAATGCAATTATGTGTTGTTTGTTATACATCACAAGATGTCTAATTCCAAGCTGTTGTCCAAACTTTACACACTGAAGACTTAAAGTTTAACATCCAGTACATAAAATGTGGCTTCTTTTAGCTTAGCTCCACCTCCCATATCATTCCCATAATCTTGTTAATACACATTTACTCTGAATAGTGTAACGCGCCCCAAATCACTGCTGCAGCTTAACGCCAGTTTCCGAAGTGGGTACTCTAACCTCTTCACTTAAACTGCGCAGCCCTTTTGACCCTGCGATTCGAATGGTGCAGTAATCCCACTAGCTCTCCCCCCCCCCCCCCAGTAAGCAAATGATGGGGGGCAATCAAGCAGGACTGAAGGCAAGAAAATAAGTGTTTTTTAAAAATGGAGAGAAAGAAAAAGGACAGCGAAGTGAAGGAGCAATTCAGTGGGGACCTTCTCATGCTCCATTCCAGAAAGCCTTTGCAGTTGGTGTATTAGTGGTAGCTGCAAACAGCACTTGGCTGTGTAAATAATTTACCAGTTGATTAATAGACACACATGGGTATAATTAGCAGAAGGAGAGACAGCAGCTACAGTAACGGATACCGCGCTTGGGGGAACAAGAGACTATATTTTTATATTTATTTATTTTTTTTAGAACTTATTTTCCTTTTTTTTTATTTGGAAACTTTCTAGGGCACTGGGCGTTTGAAGATGAGTTGGGAAGAGCTCTGTTGGCTCTTGTCTTTTGAAGTGGAAATAGGACAGTTTGAATCTGTTGAGTTTAATTTTTCACAAGCTTTCAGAGCCCTACAGAGAAACTCCTCTATTTTTCTTTTCTTTTTTTTTTTTGTATTTTAACAGCGAAGGAAAGAAAATCACGCTGTTTCAATCTTCTTTCCTTTATTGCAGTTTGCTCTGTTTTTAACACATTTTTCACCTTTTTAGCAATGGTTTGCAGATCATTCTGCAAGTGAAAAGATTAACGCTTTTAGGTGATATGGGATTGCGAATAATTTACAAGGGAACTGTAGGCCAGAATTTCACTATTTTGTATTTTACCATTTGTAATGCTTTATTCAATTTTCACAATTCCCTGTTTAGTAAATAAACACCTTTAAGTCATTAATTTTTGGTGTGGGATTTTATTTTTTAAATAAAATCTTTTTCATTTATTTATATGATACCAGCTGTCTGTAAATTATTTATGTATACATAGTGCTGTCTAAAAAACATGATTTCAGATATCAGCAGGGCTATTTAATAAAGGGAGATCTGAAAGTGAATTTCAAATTTAAGGCCAAAGTAGCTGAATTGGAAAAAAATCTCCAAACCAGCAAGGCTTCCATTTCAGCTATTTTTGTCTATTTGAATTTGAAATTTACTTTGAAGTCCCACAGTTCACACGTTCGTAAATAACATTGCAAAAAACAATAGTTCTTTGCTGTTTTCTTTAGAACGATGCTACAGTAACACAAACCCTTGGTAGGTTTATCTAGTATAAATGTATACATTTACAAACGTATTTACAAGTAAGAATTTTCTGGAATTCAAAATGAATTTAAAATTTGGGAGCTGAGCCAGTGCTCGACTGAGAAAGATGTGGTTTACTAGAGCTCTGTGCAGGAATCTTTAAAAGTTCCGAATTCGGACACTACAGTCCTGATTTTTCAAGCAAACATGCCCTTTGTTGTGTGGGACTAATGGAGAGGCAATCAAAGAAGAACACATCCAATTCGGGCCCTGGTGTACAAGATATTGGAGCTTTGATGAGACAGACCCTGAGACCTGCGACATCCAAGATGGCGCCGAGCACAGCCATCCTCTCAGCCTCCTCGGAAAATCTGAGCTTGGAGGATGAACTAGAGGAGCTCGGCAGAGATCCTGGACCACTGCCTACTGCTGGAAATCGAGGGTACCGAGGGCCATCCACAAAAACAGGTACTAAGGCACTTCTGGGCGACATTCGCTCCATGTTCCAGTCAGAGTTAGTGATGATTTATGAGGAGGTGGCTACCTTAACAGGATGCATAGCAGCTGTGGAATACCACAACAGAGGTGTGGCAAAGTCAGCCACAGATGCAGCTCTGGCAGCCCTGCAAAGAAGTCAAATGGAAATAAATGCACGAGTGATGGTCTCGGCGGACCAAGCCAGGGCGCACAACGTGCGCGGGTCTGTGGGGTGCCAGTGGAGGTCATAGGGTAAGAACTCTTGCATTACACGAGGAGACTTTTTACTACCGTGTTATGACCAAAGCGTGCAAAACAACTAGCTATGGATGGCTCATTGAGGTTCGCCAAGGTTGCTCTGGCACCACCAGAGTCCGCCTGCGATATATACTCGTGCAGTTCCAGTGTATCTGACAAGGCGGCTCTTTTTCATGCAGGCTGTGTCAGTCACAGCCAGAGGGGGTGTGACTAGGACTGCATGGACAGAAACAAAAGTGAAAATGTCCCAGATATTTAACCGTTTGTTCCTACAGCTATCTCACCTTTGCCTAAACCACTTTAAGGCTTACATGCCTCCTAAGTCATAGCTTTGTACTTGTGTATGCATCTACACTGGCTCTGCGAGCTGCTGTTGCATATCCTAGTAAACTGAATTGTTGTAAACTTTCTTTAATATACTGTCAATAATTACTGCTTTACCACTGTCTTTTTTTTTTACACGTTATAATATACATAATTATGTTATAAGTGAGGCACATTTAGCTCTCATAACTACCCACCTAACTCCCCAGTCTAACATACTATTCACAGTCTTTTCATCTGCAAATGTTGTATACCAAAAATAAAATAAAATACAAAATTTATATTTTAGGCCACAATAACTGATCTCATTATTTAGCTTACTTGGTTTTTTGTAATTCGACTGTTTTAGTGTTAAAGGGATTATATTGCTTTTTTGGTGACTAGTGTCCCTTTAAGTTTAAAATTCACTTTGAATTTGTGTAAGTGCATACTGCTGAAAAAAGCAGGCCAAACCATTGGTCAGCATTAACATTAGCACTGGATATATGAAGCGCTGTCACAGGCAGATTATCAAGTTATAGGTTGTTGGAATTGTATATACAGATATGACATGATGTACCTATAAATGCCATGGTCAGTGGGCAGATCATGTCTTGGAATCCTGTACTGCGTGCAATTATCCCCTATAATGAACGCAGAGTAATGAGAGGGTAGTGGATGCAAGGAATAGCCTACAAGCTGAAGTGGTAGAGATTAACACAGTAAAGGAGTTTAAGCATGCGTGGGATAGGCACAAGGCTATCCTAACTATAAGATAAGGCTAGGGACTAATGAAAGTATTTAGAAAATTGGGCAGACTAGATGGTCCGAATGGTTCTTATCTGCCGTCACATTCTATGTTTCTATGTAATGCACAGTTAACCCAAGGGAAATGTAGTCCACATCATCTGGAGTGCTGAAGGTTGCCTACCCCTGTGTTAGGGGAACATAATGCCGTCCCAATAAACATTCAGTCTCTTGTTTTACATTGACGTTTCAATAAAACTCTTGATGCTATTATTTTCCCATATTACACACGTCACTGTTATGTATTCTCTACATATATAAGCAATTAATAGACGATAACGTTTTATGTCAAGCTTGCCAATTGTCCCATATGAGAATTTTCTCCTAATTCCTTTGCCCAACAGAAAATTATTCATTCTTGCCGTAAACTATGAGCGTCATTAAAGAGACTTTGGAACGGCCTTGTATTGGAGTGTATTTACAGTGCCTTCTTATTAGTAAACATTGTGTACCCCCCCTGTTATGAAAGGAAAAGAGAGTTTTGCCATGTGCTCTATGGCACCATATCTTGCTTCTGTCGAGGGACCCCTCAAGGACTAGTCCTTCTTTAGTAACAGACCAGATCCAGCTGTTTGGGAGTCATCAACCTTTCAATCACCATAAGGGTTTTCTTCTCTCCTCTATCCCCCAAAGGCTCAGTAAACACTCATCTGGGACTGTGTCTAACTCTTTTACTTGGCATTTGGAGCCCACTCCCTGGAGCTTTATTAGCTTATCACAGGTAATGGCTAACCTCTTCCAGATGCTGAGAACTCTCATGCATTTGTAGCAGAAAAGCTCTTGCAAGTCTCGCACTGCACCTGCAGAGGGCAGTAAACAATAAACAATTAATTCAGGGTTGCTGCATGCCTTGTCGTAAATGTGAATCTGTAGTTAAACATCCTCCTGCACTGGCTTCTTTTTAAATCCCTGATCTCATTACCTGCCAGAGCAGCATGAGTTAAGGATGATCATAACTGATAAGAAGAAAAGTTCAGAGCTGCTAACTGCTACGTAATATAGGTAGTTTAACCCTCCTTTAGCTAGGATATTTATATTTGTTATTTAATAGTGTGTTTATATTTTGTGCACTGCGCAAATTTGTACTCCTAGCTAGCCATCGGCGAGTAGCATAGGATTTTAATATTAAAAAAAATATTTTTTTAATACATTCTTTATTTACTAATTTATTATGGTTACAATTAGGGAAAGACTTGAAATCTTGACATTTTATGACGTGTGTGTGTAGATAGATTCATTAAATCATCTTTGCATCATTTTGAATACACATTTTGAACAAGACCTATGAATGCTTTTATTATTTAATGTGTATATACCGTATTTACTCGAATTTAATGCGCCATCGAATCTAATGCACACCTCAATTTTTGAAACATGGAAGCTGAAAAATGTTTTTGCTGGCAAATGTAATGCGCGTTTTTACAAAAATATGCTACTATACAACATTGTGCTAAAATTAAAAGGTTTATTGCCATATACCATAGTAACATTGATGGTTATTCAATTTTAGTGTTACATGTTAAGTCTATTCTTTCTTTCAGGAACAAATTTTGCCTGTGTGAATTCACCGGAATGAAATTCGCCTGTGTGAATTTGTCTGTTTGAATTCACCAGTTTTTAATTTGCCAGAATGAAATTGTCCCGAATGTAATGCGCCATCGAATGTCAGGTGCATTCAAATTTTGGAAACTTTATTTTCCAAAAAGGTGCACATTAGATTTGAATAAATACAGTACATGTCTTGCTTGAGATTGCACCCAGGCAATGACTTTTTGAATCCTTTAGGTATAAGAGTGCCGAATAACTTTTAAAGTGTGTGTATATATATATATATATATATATATATATATATATATATATATATATATATATATATATATATATATATATATTCATATACTTTTCAGTGAAGTTTACACTGTAACAGAAACATGTTTCTTGGTCCTTATAGAATCATTTCTCAGTACAGGACAACTATACTGTAATGTTAATACTGTTTTTGTCTTGTTTGTCTCTTTTCCCTAGCCCCAAATAACATTGTACTGAAGATCCTGCTCGAGAGGCTCAGCAGACTAGATTCTGCTATGAACGGGTGGGTTCTGCATGGCTTCCCAAGAGACACTGAGCAGGCAAGTCTGCTGAACGATGCTGGATTCATGCCCAACAGGTGAGATGATTTATCAACACGCTCACCGCTTACTGAGTCTTTCGTTAACCATTGGCATATGTATGTGGAATGTAGGATTGAGACAGGCCAAGTCGAAAGTCACATTCACATTTCTTTGCTGTTAGAAAATATATTTTAGACTTGCAGGTTTATTTGCTAACTTCACAATTAAAATTCTAGCCTCAAATAGCTGAATTGAAAAGATAGCCGACTTGAAGAATGTTTACAGTTGTCTATTTTGGCCTAAAATGTAAAAATAATATTGAATTCCCAACAACTCACACTTTAGGTATTAACCATATGAATACTAAATGAAACACTAACAGGGTTATTCACTAAAGAGAGAATTCAAAGTGAATTTCAGATTTAAAGTCCTTATAGCCTAGCTGTAAAAATTCTCCAAGTCGATTATGCTTCCAGCTCAGCTACTCTGGTCTTAAATTTGAAATTCACTTTGAATTTAGTCTGCATTTTCACTTTAGCAAATAACCCTGTTACAAACGATAGGTTGCACCAGTAATGTTTTTAGGAACTAGAGCTTCCAGGCTCCTGGAATATTGACAAGCCTTATTATTAAGCCTTATTATTAAGTCTTATTATCAAAACCATTTACTTAAAAGGACACTCCAGGCTCAAGAAAACACCATTATTTAAATGCATTACGTAGATAGTATATATTTTTTTTAAAATGCTACAATTTTTTTTATAATAAACAACAGAGACATACATAACAGCACTGTTAACACTATACAAACGTAGCAGTGAGATACGCTCACAAAACCTTTGACATCATGAGGACACATAACTGATCCACACACACAACTGTGCAACTGATCCATTCCATTCTGCGATATTTGTAACTGCCAATGTGTTCAGTTTGCTGAGATTTCTAAGTTATACCTGCAGGTAGTTTTTTCATCAAAACTAGACAAATTAGAAATGTCCTAAGACAACTAAAGACCTTCAGTGTTGGCACCTTAATGTGGTGGAAGGGGACTTTAATCTACCACTAGACCCATGTGCCAATACAAGAAAGTCACACCTCCCTGCCTGTCTGTTGGGGGGGGATTCGGGCCTTCCTCCATGAGTACCAATTAATAGATTGTTGGAGAACCCCGCACCAACTGATAGGTATTATATATTTTACTCAACTCCACATAATGCCTACTCACGCATCGATTACAATTTTATGCACCTCAACCTTTTTCGTGATTCTATAATACCAAGAAACAGGCTTTTAGATTCTCACTTCTATATTTGGTAGAGTTGTAACCTTATTTAACCCTTTTGGAAGAACATACATAAGACACTTCTTAAAACGTTCCCCCACTCGTTAACACCTGAGCCTTTTCTGTTGCATCTTTACCCAATCAATTTATGCAAATATTAGGGATCTATTCTACCACATCTCATAAATGCAGCACGTAGTACTATTGCAGTACCCTGGAGTAAGGGCTCGATACCCCACTGTCAGGTAGTGGATTGCGAGGGTGGTGGACATCAAAGCTCATGAGGAATTAGTACTGAGTTATTCACTGATGGATCCTTTTAGAATCAGGCTTTAGCGACATCCTAACGGGCTGTTGCTACAACTAACGTGTCTCCAAATAGACTTTCAACAAAATCACAGTGGGTGCAATATCCTGTGCATCCCATAATTACCTTTATTTCAACCCTTTTTCCTAACCCACATACTCTGTTTCTCTCTCCAAATTCCACCCACACTTATATCTTCTTCCACTCTATTTACCTAACACATTTACACTACTATTCCATCACGGACAGTCGCTGCAATGGTCTCAGAGAGGGAGATCATATGATCTCATGGTTTGCTAGAATTACAATTTACCACACTGAATGTAATTGTTATATCACGGTCATACTATTTGATTATTAATAGCTAATAATGTGAATGTTTCTGTTCTGATTATTATTGCACAGATTATGTGATATGCACTTCTTTTCCGTGTACCGATACGCTTTCTCTGTACCTGCGGATATAACTTAGACTCAATAAACGTTGAATTATAAAAAATAAAAAAACTAGACAAATTATTGCATGTATATATAGAGTGAAGTAAATGACTTGAAAGGGACACTATAGGCACCCAGACCACTTAAGCACATTGCAGGCTTTTACATTAAAAAGAGTGTGCAAAACTGATCTTTTCTTTGAAAAGGCATTGTTTACATTAAAAGGCCTGCAGGGACATACTAAACACACCAGACTACATAAAGCTTTGTCTGTGTTCAACCAAATCAAAATGTTGCATCAAGTTCATTCAGCTTTTTCCTATGATTTCAAATCTTCAACATGACCTCAGTATAGACTTTGAGCTGGTATTGATGGTCCCATAGCTTTCTATGTGTTAAACTTTGAAACTGGATGAATCCACTTTCTTAATTTATCCACTTACCATGCTTTCTTGTGATAGATGTTACTCTGCTGTCATGATGCCTTTATTAGACAGGTGCTGCACTTTCTACACATTGATAAGTGTCCTACCCAGTCTTTCCAGTCCAATGGTTGTCACATGATATAGAAATAAGCTGCAGTCTGTATTGTTACATAATAGTATAGATAGGACCTACTACAGTATGAGAATTGTCGGAATTCAACTTGAATTTCAAATTTAAGTCCAAAGTAGTTGAACTTGGAAGCAGAGCTGACTTGGAGATTTTTTTCCAGCTCAGCTATTTGGCCTTAAATGTGAAATTCACATTGAATTCCCAAGAATTCGCCCTTTAGTAAGTGTTTTACCCAGTCTGCCAACGTCACACAGTTGTCACATGATATAGATAATAGCTGCAACATAATGAGGGAGATTTATCAATGGCATGTGTTCACTAAATATTGAATTATGGTCAAGTAAGATATGAATGGCAAAACTGAGGCAAAAATAGCTGATTTAGAAAACTTCAACACAATGCTAATTTGACTATTTTAGCCTGAACGTTGTAGTTTGTAACATTGTAACTTTAAAAGTTTTGTGTCCTAAAAAATGTGTCCTCTCCTGCAACTGTCATCAAAACAAAATCACATCAAAACACTTTTCTACCCTTACCCTTGCCTTTTGTGTAAATAAACCCCACTCCTTCTAGCATGTAAGCTCATTGAACAGGACCCTCAACCCCTCTGTTCCTGTGCGTCCATTTTACAAATACATGTCTGTTCGACCACCCATTGTACCGCGTTACGGAATCTGTTGGCGCCTTTTAAATAGTAATAATAATAATAATAATGGAAAGAAGCGCCCATTTCTACCTGTTTGTGTCACCCATTTCATGTCAAATACATCTGAATACACAGCAATAGAATTACTTCTAGATATTACTGAAATACTGGATAAAATAATCTTATCTAATGAGTTCTACTCCTTCTTCATCTGCTATTTTGTGGTTTTGACAAGTCCCCTATTTGTTCATAGGTTTTGAATTCCAAAATGTTATTTAATGCTGTTGGATATTTTATTTTTTGTTAATTTATTTTATTTAGTCATTGAAACCTGTTTAACCCCTTAAGGACCAAACCTCTGGAATAAAAGGGAATCATGACATGTCACACAGGGGTTAAACGTAGAAGTACATGGTATTAATGGCACTTGGCAATGAAGAAGTAACTATTACTAAAGGCTCCCGAGTGAAAAGGCTTGGGAAACATACTGGGAAATATAAAAGGGCTTTATTCGGTAATTGCTGGCATGTTTAATGACTAAAGTAAGAATTGGCAGGAATTAAAAGTGAATTTTAAAATTTAGGCCAAATTAGAAAATAAAGAGAAAAAAAAACTCCAAGTCAGTTCTTTTTTCAGTTTGGCTTTATCGGCCTTAAATTCATTAAGAATTTTCATAAATGTTCAATTTAGTAAAAAAAAAAAACCCTCTTTGCGATTTGTAGGAATTGAAAAATGAATTGCAAAGTTTATAAAAGTAGCAGATATTTTACACCAAAATATCCGATTACGAAGAAACTTCTTTGTCTGATTTATTTTTCCAATTGGGCTACTGCGGTTTATTATGTACATTTCCTGTCACTCACCCTTAATTCTTGTTTAGTGAATAAGCCTCCAGTATTCATTTTACACCATTCCAATTTTGCCTTTGCCATGTAGAGCTGATTACAGCAGCCGATGACTGCACTCTCCGGGAGCCTGAACAAAGCTTAGGATGTAAAAGTGCCTTTGTTTACTTTGCTCTGCTTTTCACAACGCGGTGTCCGAATTTTCCACCGCTGATTCCCGTGTGGATTAAACACAATAAACAGCCTATTAATAAAAGCTTGAACTAAGGAATGGAGCTCGAATTTGCAGCAAAATCCAGTGCATAGTGTAGGTTAATAACTCTATTACTGCCAGCTGAATTCTCCCTGCGTTTGAAGAGCCTGCTATAAGCCTTCTCTTACTCCCCGTTAATTGAGCTAATAAAACCTCAGTAACCCATCCATGCTGCCATTATCTGTGAGTTTACCAAGACTGGACTAGAATATTTATTCTGGGATATGGATTCCACCCTGGCTGTGTTTTTCTTTCACACAAGCTGGGATTGATTCTTGGAGGTGGGGAAAGCAGGAGGGAGATCTAAGCATCTCTGTGGGATATCCTATTCTAATCTGTATTAACTACCATTATCCGATGCTCAAAAGTGCTTACGGTGAGTTCTTAAAGAGAAATAAACCCTCTGCTGTATAAAGCAGCATTATCTAAATGTTCTCTACAAACCAAGCAGCGTTCAATTAAAAATATCAGGGGCTTAGTGACTAAGGAGTGATTGATTGGCAGCGCACGTTGGCAACCCCTAAAAATACAACCAAATTGGAGATTTTGTCCAACTCTGTTTTTGCAACTAAATTCACTAAACTGTGAATTGCCTGGAAATTACTAGGGTGATTTTAAATCTTATGCCAAAAGAGTTGATATGAAAAAATAGATGAGCTGAAAAAGGGTTCCAGTTTGTTTTTTTTGGTCTAACAATGTTAAATGTCCTGCTCAGTTCCAGATAGATTTCTAATTAAAGGAACACTATAGGGTCAGGAATACATGTTTATAGTGCAAAACCCACCATTTAGGTGGCTTACCCCTCCCCCCTTAGCCTCTTAAAAGTGAATAAAACTCACCTTATTTCCAGCACCGCGTGGGTCTGCCGCTTTGGTGACATCATCATCAGAATTGCCGATGGGGAAAGCATTAGATTGGCTAAAATCGGCAAGGGTCGGGGCCAATTGCTGTTTTGTCCAATCAGCACTTCCTCATAGAGATGCATTGAATCAGTGCATCTCTATGAGGAAAATTCAGTGTCCACATGCAGCGCGTGGAGACATTGAACGGCACTCCTGCCTACTGTGCAGCACTGAGCCAGGAAGCACCTCCAGTGGCCATCTGAGGAGTGGCCACTTGGAGATGACCCTAGGGCCAGTGTAAACACAGTCTGAAAATGCCTGAATGATTAAACTTACCAGAACAACTACATTAAGCTGTAGTTGTTCTGGTGACTATAGTGTCTCTTTAATTCAAGCCAAGGCAACTCTTGGTTTAGTGCAGAGGTACACAACCTTTGGCACTTCAGATGTTGTAGACTACATCTTCCCTGATGCTTTGCCAGCATTATGGGAGATGTAGTCCACAACATCTGGAGTGCCAAAGGTTGCCTACCCCTGGTTTAGTGAATAAATCCCTCAGTCTATAGTAAGTGAGTCTATAATTTTAGTACTGGCTCTAAATGGTTCAAGCAAAGAGTAGGTTTCATTTTAAATGTTTCTTTCTTTATATTTTTTTCACTAAACTGAGAATTCTGGAAAATTGAGAAGGGAAGTAGTTTGAATTTTTCAAATTCTGCAAATTTGGGCTCAAATTTGCCATCCCCTTGTCAATTCTCCTCAGTTCCTGGTTGAATGCATAGATGCTCAGATATAGTATAATGTTTGTTTATCCATTTGTGCTAGTAAGACTAGGGGTTTATCCACTAAACTGTGAATTATGATGCAATTACTGACTTTCAAAATGTAGGCCAAAGTAGCCAGCTTGGAAAAAGGTATGGCTAAATTGTCTTTTATTCTGGACTCTACACTGCCATCCCAGTGCAAAGGAACAGTGTAGAAGAGGATTTATTATAGTAGCCCAAACATAATTGTTGAGGTCAGGGGTACCATATAGATGAGTCCTGTGGTACACATTCTAACCAGGAATGGGGAACAGAATTTGACTACACTTTTGATGGCATATACACAGCCTGGAAAATTGTGGCCTCACGGCTACAATTGCAACAAAATCAAATGTAAATGTGTACACTGACATGTTAAAGGGACACTATAGTCACCTGAACAACTTTAGCTTAATGAAGCAGTTTTGGTGTATAGAACATGCCCCTGCAGCCTCACTGCTCAATCCTCTGCCATTTAGGAGTTAAATCCCTTTGTTTATGAACCCTAGTCACACCTCCCTGCATGTGACTTGCACAGCCTTCCATAAACACTTCCTGTAAAGAGAGCCCTATTTAGGCTTTCTTTATTGCAAGTTCTGTTTAATTAAGATTTTCTTATCCCTGCTATGTTAATAGCTTGCTAGACCCTGCAAGAACCTCCTGTATGTGATTAAAGTTCAATTTAGAGATTGAGATACAATTATTTAAGGTAAATTACATCTGTTTGAAAGTGAAACCAGTTTTTTTTTCATGCAGGCTCTGTCAATCATAGCCAGGGGAGGTGTGGCTAGGGCTGCATAAACAGAAACAAAGTGATTTAACTCCTAAATGACAGTGAATTGAGCAGTGAAATTGCAGGGGAATGATCTATACACTAAAACTGCTTTATTTAGCTAAAGTAATTTAGGTGACTATAGTGTTCCTTTAATGCGCACTTTTACAATTTTATTTTGAGAAAGGTGAACGTAAGCCATCTTTGCACATAATACAAAGTTAAATCTTACTTTCAGATTCCTTCCCTAAACCTCCACATTCATTTACACCTGATCACAAATCTAAAACTAACTGATGACATTTAATGGTCTCAGCAGGCGTACGAGAAAAGAAATGGCTACCCCAACACACCATCACAGAATTCACGCAGCTTGAAATAGCAATCCGGTGTACACTCCGTAAAAAAAAAAAGGTTGAGGCATTAAATTGCATTGATAGGAAAATCACCCGCCACATCGTTGCTAATGCTTTGAATCTTTGAGAAATAAAACCATAATAGTTGGCAGAAAATGAAGCGGAATTCATACTTTTTTTGTAAGCAAGTAGAACGCTCCCCTTTGACATTCTAGCATTTCCATCACTCACTGAGCCGCAGGAGCAGTGGGTGGCTTGCTTTGAAGCATTTGTGCTCGTAAGAACTTGGTGAATTACATTTGGAAGGAGAAATCACGGGTCACTTATACCTCCATACAGGTTAAAACTTAGTTTATGAGAGTCTGTTACTCAGTTTGCAGACAGCCTCGCCAGAGACCAGGAGCAATTACTTTTGAAGCAAGTGCATCCAAAATATACATAACCTTCTGAACTGCGAGTGCCCCATCCCTCTCAATTTCATAGTATATTGGGGGGTTGGGAGGGCGAGGAAGTGGACTTCTTGTTTGAACAGAAATTGCCTTGACAACACTCAGTTTGCATCCAGAAGTGGGTGCCCCTCCTCCCCCACTAAACCTTTTAGATTTTGTAGGTGGCCATTTAACCTTTTAAAGCCACACTACATGGTGCAAATGTTTCTGGTTGCCGAAGGGTTAATTTATAAAATCAATAGAACCTCACAGAGGCTTCATTGATGCAGTCATCCGAAAACATCCCTTTTAAAGCAGCACTGTCACCCAAGAGTAACTTTAATCAACAAAGCATAAAAAAATTACATATGTGATACAATTGTATTCTATTAGAAATTCTACAAAACGTATCTTGATCGTCTTAAAAATCGTGCTGTCTGGCAGTGTAAAAAAAAAAAATCACAATATGGGTATTATACTTTTGTGCTGCTATGATGTATAAAAAGATACAAATCTGCAGTTTGGGAAAGGCACAGAGATACCAAATGCCAACCATAAAAAATGGATTAGACGGAGGGAGCAAAGTGATATGTGCATCTGATTTCCCTATCTCTGGTGTAGAGCCTTCACAGTTATAGTTACTAGAAGAATCACCATAATAAGAAAAAAAATGATACCTCCAATGTGTCCCTTTTTCATAAGGGACAGTCACTATCCCACATAGGGAAACAAAATGGTCTCTCTCTTTTATTTCTATAAACTCAGAATGTTTGGCGTGTATGCGTGTAGTACTGAACTGTACTACCCACCTAGGTCTGTGTAGTATGCAAGAGTGTATCACAGAGCTAAATTCAATATATTTTTTTTGTATACCATAGCCCCTTAATTTTAATGGTGTACCATTGTTGCTGGGTAACACCAAACGTGTTGTCTAGTGAATTCCGCTGACACCTAGTAATGGAAATATAAAGTCTACACCTCTAACTTTGTACAGAAAAAAATGTACTATTGAATTTGATCAATGTAGTTGTTCTGGTGTTTATTGCCAGTCCCTGCAGACATTTTAAGGTAAATACTGTGTTTACATTACTGCCTTGAAACACCTCTAGTGGCAGTGACTCAAATGACCACTTGAGGTGCTTTCTGGGTAGCGCTGACATTCAACGCCGCCACACTCTGCATGAAGATGCTGAACACTTTGCATAGAGATACATTGATTCAATGTATCTCTATGAGGAGATACTGATTGGCACTGCGTTTTGCTGTGCATGCACAATAGCCGAAAGCAGTGGATTGGCTGAGATCATCAAATTTGGTAATCTCAGCCAAGGAGGCAGAGTGGGGCAGAGCCAGCCACAGTGCAGTGTGCTTTTATTATTTTGAGGTTACATCTGCCTGAAAGGAATGGTTTAATCTCACTTCTTTTGAGAATACTATAACACTTAATGAAACAAGCCACATTACTTTTGAGCCAAACATTCCCTTTCAAAGGGCCTTTCAGGGACATGTAAGATCTGACTGCAGAAGGTCTCTGTAAAGGTAGAGTTTTGATTTACCTGTTTCCAAAAACCGACGGTGCCAATTTTAAAAAGCAAAAAAAAAGCTTTTTGAAAGATCCTCCTCCTCACCCCCAAAATAGCATCCACACATGAGATTAACACTCATATATGTGAGAATAAGCATCAGTATTGATTTTTATATATAAACATTATTGTTTTGAAAAGACATTTTCCATACTGAAACAGAATTTCAAGACATATTTACCCTGGAAATTGCTATTGACAAGGTTTAATAAATGTTTCACTGTAGACACATATTGCGGGCCCTCGGGAAAGGTCAGCCCGAAGAAGAATTTCTGTGGCAAATCAAAGCATGTCAGTTACTTGCCATTGGGTTTTAGATATGAGAAGAGGCAGAGAAATTCTGGCTTGCTCACATACAGTAAGGTATTTTCACATCACAAACATATTAACGCCAAATAAACTGAAACAGAGATTTGAGACCTTGCACGTTTGAGGTTAGATAAATACTTGATGGGGGCTAGAGACATTGGTTCAAACTGACCTGATATATGCTCATTCTAGACTCTCTGTGTCTTGACCTATTCCAGATACTTCTAGACAATGCTTGTTGCCATCTCCCACCTCTTTGTTGTGCTCCCAGACAGCATCATTTGGTCATGCACACACTCATACGTCACAGTCACGCTTCTTCACTTTGATCTTTTGGCAGAGACGGATTTTAGATTGGTCACTTTTTATAAATAAACTTATGTCCACTACTCTGGTCTTCTCTGTACCCAATAGTGCATTACTGAACACTTTGCTTGTTGATTTATGGAAGTATTTCAATGGCTGAACTTGACTCATGCTGTGTTTCATGCCAGCTTGCCCACGGGCATATTTTTTTCCGTCTCATTAGCAGTGTTTCATTATGTGCCACCACACTAAGGACTGATTATGCATATTGCAATTACTGTTGCTCTTTCCTATCGTTGCTTGAAGCCTATTCTAGCTGATTACTCTGTGAGTAGGTGCTTATTGAAAGGTACAGACATAAAGTTTTGAGAGTTTCTGATCTTCTGCCCAATTTATAGAAATGGATCCTGAAAGCTAGGGGGGAGGGAATACAGTTTGTGGATAGACAGTTGCTGAACATACTAAAAGAGGAGGCCAGTTTGACGAAATCAGGAAATGCTCAGGACATATTGCAAACTTTGTGAGCAATGGCAGGAAGGAAAGGGTAATGGAGAAGGGGTACCATGTAGGCAGACCAACCAACAGACAAAGATGGCTCAAATAACAGTAGAGTTTGGGGAAGCACTGCCTTCATTATAACATGGTGATCACCTATAACAAGCAGCAATGCCTGTCAGTTATTGTCTCAGTGGCTGATGCAGCACCTCTTGAAGCAGCAACCGAAGTTAAAAATGTGATTGAGAAAAAGTACAAGGCCCAATTCTCAGCAACAAGTAATGCTCCATCATACTTTCCTGGACAATTTACTCTTCTTGATGATGATGGGCAGCAGATGAAGCATTCTGCCTGTAGTATGTGGCATTCATATACTGCATGAGAGAATCTATTAACTAAGCAAGGCAGTTTTTTTGCATTCCTCGTTAATTAAGAACTGATGTCCTTCCGGCAGTATATTCATTCTATAAACTGCAGAGTATCATTGGTTTTGTTTTTTAAGAAGAGTCTTGTAATAAGTAGCAAATTTGGCAGATGCAGACATGATCACGCCCATGTAACTATTTAAATGGCTGCACACAGAATGATTTTGGGGAAAGTAGACTTTATATGCCTGCAGTCCCAAAACTACCATTTACCGTGTTAACACAGATAAAAATTTAAAAAAAATACCTCTTCAATATCAGACTTTCTCTGAGCAGTTCATTGTCAGGTTGCATATTTACTTTCGTGCCCAGGAAAAAAATGATCAGTTTCAGGTAGATTTTCTCGGGAGAAACCGTTGACTAGAAGCACGAGTTCCACAATGTCTAATGTTACCGCAAAGTGTGTTTAGATTTCGCTTTCCCATAATCCCTTGCACTGCCGTATCTAATGACTTGTTCTCTCAGCGAAGATGGTTTGTGTATATTTGCCATAGCCAACTGCCCCCTCTCTCCGTACACAGCACTGGGATTGATCCGTTGCTCCCATCAACAATAATTAGTCTTGTAAGACTAATGGAAAAAGTCATGTCTAATTAGCCTGTTGAAGGCCCAATTATGCTATTAACGTTTGTGGGCTTTAGGCTAATAACAAGGAGAGCTGTCTAATTTGCATAGCATTAAGTTAATTGAGTTGGAAGCTCCGGGGCGGATCGTTGTGATGATAGTAGGATTTCGTTACGGAGTGGATAATGATCACTGAAGTTAAGACTATTCACCTGACAGTTTTATTAATTAACGCCGATCTTGTTACCTGCAGAGTCCTTCCTTTCTATAAAAGGGACTTGTTCCGTTTTTTTCGTTTCTTTTCTTTTAATGAAAACCGAGATAACTCTGCTAATTGTTCCCTGTAATTAATTATAAAGGGATAGCTGCCTTTCTAATCTCCACTAGTCTTACATATAGACGGGGTTAGCAGCTGTTTGCGAATAGACCAAGGGAGGTCCGTAGGTCCTTGTCAATCTTAAAGCAACGTTTTTATTCCCGTATGTTTTGTTGTTTTAGACAACATTAACCCCTTAAGGGCTAAGCTTCATTTGCATGTTTTTCACTTAAGGACCAGAGCACTGTTTGCTATGTGTGTGTTCTTTAGCAATTTCAATCTTTCTCATTTATTGCACCAATACATATTACATACTGTTTTTAGAAGAAACAAAAGGGCTTTAATTTGATATATAAATTCTCATTTATTAATTTTTTTAAAATACACAAAAATGCAATGAAAAACAAAACAATCACTGTTTTGGCAATAATAATGGGTGCATAATTAGTGCAGTTTAAGAAAAGTAATCCAAAATAAATCAACTTATTTGTCCTGATTTAAAGAGGGTTTCAGTTTATTTTTGGTAGTTACAGGTCACAAAATACAAAAAGCAATATGGAACAATTTTAGAATTTAGTTTGTTTGTCTTCTAAGCTTAATAGCCATCACAGAAAACAAAATTGCCACAAAAAAAAGTATATATTTATATAAAGTAGACATCTCAGGCTTTTAACTTACATATTTTGACACTTTTTAAAGGAACACTATAAGGTCAGGAACACAAACATTTATTTGTGACCCTACGTGTCAATAAAACTTATCATATTTCCAGCAACGCTCGTGACCGCAGCTTGGCCAATCAGCACCTCCTCATAGAGATGCATTAAATCAGTGCATGTCTATGAGGAAAGTTCAGTGTCTCCATGCAGAGCGTGGAGACATTGAATGTGGCACTGCACCAGGAAGCACCTCCAGTTGCCATCTGAAGATTGGCAAGTGGAGGTTTCACTAGGGGGCAATGTAAAACACTGCATTTTCTCTGAAAAGACCATGATTACATGAAAATGCCTGTAGGGACTGACTATACTCACCAGAACAACTACGTTAAACTGTAGTTGTTCTGGTGACTATAAGGTCCCTTTAAGTAGCCATTTAACGGCCAATCTCTGCTAAATATTGTAGTAAAAGTTTTGTTTTTTAACATTTAGCAAGGTGCCATATTGTGTTCATCTACATCTTCTGAGTACAGCAATACTCCTAGCGTTTGACTTTTCCTATCGTGTGAAGCTGCAACACCATGTAAGAGACCTGACCATTTCAGTTTTTTACAGTTGGATTTGATGGGCCTATTTTGGGGCGCTATAGCAGTTTTACTTTTCAAATTATGCCACAAAGGCATACAATTTCCATTTGTGAAAGTAGACACTCCAGGATATCTCATGTAGTGTATATTGTGCCTTAATGTGATGCCATTTTTTTTTAATGGCAAATTGATGATTGATCTATGGTGCATTCTGGGGCATTTTAGTAGCTCATATATTTAAATGACTCCATAAATGCATAGTGTTTGCAAAAATGGACACCTTGGACCTATCACAATACATTTTCAGCTGTATTGCTTTATTATTTTTAAAGGAACAGGATAGTTTTAGGAATACTAAAGTGTAATTCTAACACTAAAGTTCCCCACTGAAAGGACTGTTGTCTCCTCCCCCGCAAAGTAAAGGGTTTAAAAAAAAACCTTATCTGATTCCAACATCAATGTCTCTCAGAGCTGGGTATGGCTCCTCCTCCTCTTACATCAACAATCCTGGGAACCCTAATGCGTGTTGAGTGCCACACTCATTAAGTCTTCCACATAGGAAAACATTGATTTTAACCCCCTGGATGTCCTCATGCAAAGTGTGAGGACATCTAGCGTCCTTTTTACAGTGTCAAAAGCTCTGAAACTCCAGGAACCAGTCTGAATCCTTTTTTACATTGCAGGGTTAAGGGGATGAAGTGGTTTGGGTGCCTATAGTGTCCCTTTAAAATTTTAAATACACATTACATTTGTTATGCTTTTTAAAATCTCATGTGTCCCATTGTAATAAAATTATGTTAGTGTCAGCAATACATGTTTGTGTTCCTGACACTATAGTGTTCCTTTAAGACACTTAACTAGGCACGCTTAGTATTGTTGTGAAGTTTTGTTATACACTCAGACACACCAACAACATGGAGCTCCTAGAAAAGGGAGTGATTAGGATAGGAACAGAAGGATTTTGGCACAAAGTAGTAACTGTCCCTCCTAAATAGGGACACTTGAGAGGTATGCGTCCAGTATCATCTCTCTGAAGGTAAATGGAGAATAGTGGTGTTAGTGAAGAACTACAGGATTCTTCACTTTTTTGGCCTCCAAGAAAGAGCTTTACATGACTCCAGCTCACCTTCTTCATCGTCTAGGAGTTCCATACTTTAGTGGATTTGTTCACCTGGACTTTTGGTTATTTCTGCTAGACTATATGCCCACTATACTATATCTACTGGTACTTCAGTTGATTTGGTGTGCTTGTTCCCATACTAGGAAGTTTTTTTTCAACACTTACCCAGTGTACTGTTAGGTCCCTGAATTACCTAATGCTTTTATCTCTTTGGAGTTTTATTTATTTGCTTATTTAAAGAGGTAAAACAAGTATTTGATCCCATGCTGATTTTGAATGTTTGTCCACTGTCAAAGAAATGATCAGTCTATAATTTTAATGGTAGGTGTATTTTAACAGTGAAAGACAGAATAACAAAAATATAATACAGAAAAACGCATGTCAAAAAAGTTATAAATTGATTTGCATGTCAATGAGTGAAATAGTATTTGATCCCCTATCAAGCAGCAAGATTTCTGGCTCCAAGGTGTCTTTTATACAGGTAACGAGCTGAGATTAGGAGCACTCTCTAAAGGAAGTGCTCCTAATCCCAGCTCGTTACCTGTATAAAAGACACCTATCCACAGAAGCAATCAATCAATCAGATTCCAAACTCTCCACCATGGCTAAAACTAAATGAGCTGTCCAAGGATGTCAGGGAAAAGATTGCAGACCTACACAAGGCTGGAATGGGCTACAAGACCATCGCCAAGCAGCTTGGTGAGAAGGTGACAACAGTTGGTGCGATTATTCGCAAATGGAAGAAACACAAAATAACTGTCAGTCTCCCTCGTTCTGTTGCTCCATGCAAGATCCCACCTTGTGGAGTTTCAATGATCATGAGAACGGTGAGCCTAGAACTACACGGGAGGATCTGGTTAATGATCTCAAGGCAGCTGGGACCATAGTCACCAAGAAAACCATTGGTAACACACTATGCGGTGAAGGACTGAAATCCTGCAGCACCCACAAGGTCACCCTGCTCAAGAAAGCACATGTACAGGTCCATCTAAAGTTTGCCACTGAACATCTGAATGATAAAGAGGAGAACTGAGTGAAAGTGTTGTGGTCAGATGAGACCAAAATGTTACTCTTTGACATCAACTCAACGTGTTTGGAGGAAGAGGAATGCTGCCTATGACCCCAAGAATACAATCCCTAACGTAAAATATGAAGGTGGAAACATTATGCTTTGGGGGTGTTTTTTCTGCTAAGGGGACAGGACAACTGCACCGCATGAAAGGGACGATGGACAGGGATATGTACCATCAAATCTTGGGTGAGAACCTCCTTACTTCAGCCAGGGCATTGAAAATGGGTCGTGGATGGGTATTCCAGCATGACAATGACACAAACACACAGCCAAGGCAATAAAAGGAGTGGCTCAAGAAGAAGCACATTAAGGTCCTGGAGTGGCCTAGCCAGTCTCCAGACATTAATCCCATAGAAAATCTGTGGAGAACGTTGAAGGTTCAAGTTGCCAAACGTTAGCCTTGAAACCTTAATGACTTTGAGAGGATCTGCAAAGAGGAGTGGGAAGAAATCCCTCCTGAGATGTGTGCAAACCTGGTGACCAAGTACAAGAAACGTCTGACCTCTGTGATTGCCAACAAGGGTTTTGTCACCAAGTATTAAGTCAAAGGGGTCAAGAACTTATTTCACTTATTGACAATTGATGCAAATAAATTTTTACCTTTTTTGACATAGTTACATAGTTACATAGTTACATAGCTGAAAAGAGACTTGCGTCCATCAAGTTCAGCCTTCCTCACATTTGTTTTTTGCTGTTGATCCAAAAGAAGGCAAAAAAACCCAGTTTGAAGCACAATTTTGCAACAAGCTAGGAAAAAAATTCCTTCTTGACCCCAGAATGGCAGTCAGATTTATCCTTGGATCAAGCAGTTATTACCCTACATTGAAGATTATATCCATGCGATTTTCTGAATTTTATTTTGTGTTAATCTGTCTCTCACTGTTAAAATACACCTACCATTAAAATTATAGACTGACCATTTCTTTAACAGTGGGCAAATTTTCAAAATCAGCAGGGGATCAAATACTTTTTTCCCTCACTGGACTTTTTGCTAATTCTATTTTTTTTTGTGCTAATTTTGGACAGGGTAACAAATAAACTGTCATTTTTTTTTTTTACAGTTGCGCTCCTTTACTGTACAATATTAATTTTTAGGCTGACTTTGAAAATTTTGAACAAAATTTCCTAGATGAAAAAAAAAAAAAATCACCAACTTGGTTAAATTGGACATATTTTTTAAAATCCATTTATTTTTACTTAAATATTACAAATCGGTTGATGCTCTGTCTCACTGTTTAGCAAACAAACCTGAGTGAATTTGAGGCTTCTCAAGGTCACTCTACAGACCAAGTGTTTTTATATATGATATAAACACTGCTCACTGCGATACAGCCTAATGACATGGTAATTAGCAGGATCCTAAAATTCTAGTTGGATTACAGCCCTTGAGTACCGATTCAAGGTCTGTAAGTGAACAGCAATGCAATTTTCATTTTTAATCTCTTGTTACCAAGCCAAGAGTTAATTATTCAGTCCTTCTAAAACCCACGGATCTCCCCCCAAACCTGTGAAGTCATCTAGTGAGTGTTAGCGAGATGTTAAACAAAAGACTATCGTATGCTGGTGCCTTTTAATCATGTAATTGCAGAGTGTCATTTAACACGGACGCGTTCTGTTACCCCCGTCAGTTTAATGAATGGAGGAGGACTAGCAGTGTCACCCCCTCCCCTATCTGCCTTCTGCCCCTGAGGCTTGCGGCCTTCTGAGGAAGGAGCACTTTTAACTACACCGAAGTTTGGCCAGGCTTCTACATATTACAGAAGCAACACGAACGCATACAATTGAAGTCTTTGAAAACAATAAAATATGCATGGCTATCGCTGACAGCGCCACAAAGTCAAGCAATTAGCAGTGTAATCCAAGAGGCTGGCAGCCGATCGGAGAGGAGTTTGCGGTTCTCTATTAGTTAAATGCATTTTGTAGGTCCTCATTCCATCAAATCAACTAACACTTCCTTTAATTGGCTGATAAATTATACAGCTGCACGCATTATAATTTAATAACTCGTAAACATTCCTAGGGTCTGCTGTAAAGTCTATATCGCTCTCATTAATTCCTTAATTTCAGCTGATGGAAGAGGAGATGGGATGAGCATGCTAGTGCAGTGAGCCCCGGGCTATGAAATAAGGAAAAGGGACCAGGGAAGGGGGGTGGGGGGGCGTCCTTTTAACGCTTATTTTTTTTTATTTAATTTTTTTTTTTTTAATTTTTTTTTTTTTTAACACGGCACTGTCGGAAACTCAATCTGTGAGCTGTCAACCGTGCCAGGTTGCCCCCTCCCCATACAAAGGGTGACTGACAGATTCCTACCAAGTCTTGTCAAGCTATCTTTAAACATCAAGCCAGCCAGTAAACAGAACCCAATGTATATTAAATCTTGTTATACCACCCGCCCCTTCTCATTGCTAATTCTACCACTCCACCACCAGCACCACCATCCTCCTCGCCCCCCCCCATCCCACTCACTCTGTCTTCATGAATATTTCATACCAGCCAGCATAAATATTAATTCTAATAGCTCAGTATAGTAGTTATTATTTCTGTTTTGTGACAAACATACATTAAATATTCAGAAAGCTTTTTATATATATTTAAAAAAAAAAGAGAGAGAGAGAGAAATTTACACACTTGATTGCTGAAATAAATTTCTCTCTATCCTGGGGACATTTGGGAAATCCTAATTTTGTGTTTAATTCTATTGGATTTAACCCCTTGTAGTTAAATGGATTAGGCAAGCGTTATGGTATCTAACAGAATTTTATATGACTTTTAGGCTGTTTATAATTGAAGTATTCATGACATAGACATGGGATGAATAAAATGAAATGTTATATTTCTGGAAGTATAAATTAAGTAGAATTTTCAGTTGAAGTTGATTGTTCATTGATTATTCACACGAGGTCTTATGTAATTGTTTAAATGACAATTATATGTGTTTGTTATTAATGACTGTGAGGCCTCTCCTAAGTGTATAGCTCAGTCAGTTAATACACGAACTGCAGTACCTAATCAAATGGTGGAGTTGCAGGTTTCAAACCACATTTTCATTCTTCCGATATCATCATAATGGATACAATTGAGTTGGGAAACTGTAGCACCTCTTAGAAACCTGGCAATTTGTTTAAATTTGAGTGACTTGGGGAGGAAAACATTGTGTAAAATGAGAATAATCATATCGTTTGATAGATATTTTTACTTATCACTGTTCACCTATATGAAACTTTATAAATAATTTTAGACTTTTTCTATAAGCTACGAAATTTGTATTAATAAACTGTCAATTATGTATATATACTATATATTATGAATCCCTCTGCAGCCCATTTTATTATTAAGTAGCTGTTAAGACTACATTTTGTCAAGGTGATAGCTAGGGTTCTAACCTTATTGTTTGCAGATCATGCAGTTGCGATTGTTGCCTAGGTCACAAAATCTGTATTCCCAACACTAAAATGTTCCACTGCGCCCACTTTGCAACCCCGGTAAAGAGTTAAAATCCCTTTTTAAAATTGCTTTCTTTCAGCTCTGAGGTCACTTATTGCTGGCTCCGTCTTCCTCCGTCATCAGCGCTGAAGGGGCAATCTAATGCGCATGCGTTCCGAGCACTGTATGCGCATTAGGCATTTGAAGATGCTGGATGTCCTCATTCACAGCATTGTTTTATAGAGTGAAACAGCAGGAAGCGCCTCTAGTGGCTATCTGAGAGACAGCCACTAGAGGCAGTCTTAATCTTCCAATGTAAACATTGCAGTTTCTTTAAAACTGCAATGTTTTACGTTGCAGGATTAAGGGGACAGGAACCGTGCACCCAGACCACTTCAAGGAGACGATAAAGTCTTGGTGTCTATCGGGTCCCTTTAAGTTATAAAAAAACGTCAGCCTTACAGTGAGAGGGAGTGGTATACTGCTGGGTAACCACGAAGCTGGCTGAGCATCATGGGAAATGTAGTCCATTGCAATAACTAAAAACATGAAATATATGCATCTAATATGACTAATCCCTTTGCTTACACTCTGCATTTCAATAGCTGTGACAGATGTGGTCTGGGGCAAACATGTTGCAGCACCTTCAGTCAATGAGACTGCAGAGCCAATGAAAGAAGCACATTAAGAAATGTGTCACTGGTCCTTCGCTACGGACCCCCATCAGCGAAATTTACTAAAGTGAAAATTAAAAGTGAATTTCAAATTTAAGACTAGAGTAACCAGGTGAAAGCGAAGTTGGCATAGAAAATTATTATTTTTTTATTTTTACCTTAAATTTGAAATTCGCTTCGATTAACCTTGAATTCTCACTTTATTGAATATTGCTGTATGTGTATGTTCCACTCTGCAAATGTCTTAAAGACTAGTGCAACAGGGGAGAAATAGAGGATAATGTCAAACACAGACCGATCTTCACTAATCTTCACTAAAAGGTAATGGCACAACATGGATTACATAAAAAGCAATGGGTTGGCGGGCAAAATTCGAAAAATGGAGCAATCACTAACAACCAGTGAGAATTCTGCTAAATGCTCCACCTCCACGTATAAAATTTAACCTCAAAACTGTCTATAATCCAGTGATTTTACTAATACTTTATGTTTTCGATTACATGACGGATTTCAAAAATCCAAGCATTTTTGCCGCTTACAATACAACAGTACAATGGTTCTGTAAATGGTAAAATAAATAAATAAATATTCAACCCATTAAACCTGGAGGTTTGGATTATTTTATGGTGGATCTATACGGGTTATTTTTTAAATATATATATATATATATATATATATATATATATATATATATATATATATATATATATATATATATATATATATATATATATATATATCAGAACGTGCCGCCTCTATACTAAATAAAGTAAATGCTCTGACTACTTGGTAAGAAAAGTGTAAGAATATTAACATCTCCAGCAGAGCAGGGTTTAATTGTCAATAGTTCGATTTGTTTTGTTTTTTGGCATATTTCTACTTTTCTTTTTCTTTTAGATTGTAAGCTCCTATGTCATGTGTTTTGCTGGAATTCAATGTTTGTGTTGTTTACCTAGTGTACAGTGCTGAGGATTATGTTGGCGCTATATAAAGAACTGTCATTTTTTAAAATTTTTAACTGATTTCGCATTTGTATAAATTATTACTACCAGAGGGAAGTGTGATATATCCAAATTCTAGATCTTAGAAATCATTCACTTCACTGCAAGATGAAAACGCCAATCACTTTTCTTCTTGTTTGTCTCGGCAGAGTTTTTTTCCTGGACATCCCAGACTTCACTGCCATAGAGCGCCTGTCTTACCGTATGACAGATCCTGTCTCAGGAGAGAGGTTGGTACTGACGATTATTAAATAAAGATGATCTGATCATATTGACTCGCCAACAAGAAAACACTTAGACAGGCTGTAATGAGTGGGGGTTGAAAAAGAACTGGTAAACCCATCAAATCTACACACTCAAACCAAACCATGCTGACAAGCCATGGGCTTACAGATACACGCCTACCTGATGTTGGTAGAAATTGGATTATTATGTCAAACAGAGAACAATTCTACAGACTTTAGCGGTTAGTTAAGGCTTATTCTCTAAACTGTGAGAGAGCAACAGTCTTGTAAAACAGGCCAAAACTGTAGAGATAAAAAAAACAGACATGAACACATTTAATTAGCTTATGAAAGAATATAAACAAATTGCATGTTTTAAGCCAAAATGAAAAAATGTAGAAATTTTCTAGATCTCGGCTTTTTTGTTTACAAATTTGCGGTGCCCTTCTCAATTCTCCACAACTCCCGGTTTAGCAAAAACATCCCACTATCTTGCTAAATGTGCAATCAGTATATAGTTAGTAAACAAAGAACATTCACAAATGGAATAACTGATTGCGTATATACTCATAAGTAAAAGTTTGAGATGTAAGAAAGTATTTGTGAAGCTAAGAAGAAGTAATATTCAGGTTTTTGCTGAGTTGGAAAACTTTTTCAGTTCAGGTACTTTGGCATAAAATATGAATTGTCCTCGTCAGTTCTTCATATTTCCTACTTAGGTGAGCAAATTCCAATTCTAAATTTAAATTTGTATGTGCTAGTTAACGCATACAGACATGTATACTGGGTGGTTATTTTAGAATTATCTTCTTTTTATATATTTTTAATAATAATTAGTTTTACTGCATGAGCCCACCATTTCCTCCACCTTTTAAAGCTACAATGTCTTCCTTTGTGCTTTAATACATGTTGTTGTACAGATTATAATGACTTGGGATTCTGGGAGTTGTAGTTCAGCTGTTAGTTTGCTATGGCAGACAGCTAACATGTGCAAGCATTGTGATTGGCTTTTTTGGGGAGAACTTACTGTAAATGTTGCCTGGATATTTGCAGCAAGTACAAGTCTTTTTTTTTCCCCACCATTTTTAATCTTCTTTCATACATTTACTTAAAGGAACACTCCAAGCACTATGACCACTAATCTGCTTACAGTTTAGGGGTAATAAGCAGGCTCCAGGGCATTCCTGGCACCATAACTACTACATCACACTTTTGTGGTCATGGTCCCTGGAGTGTTCCTTTAATGCATTTTCTAAAAAGAAGAGTCATCTCCAGCCTGATTATTAAAATAATTTTTGCTTACTTACCCCTCAAATTGTGTAGTCCAGAATTATTATTAAACTGTAGCCCTCAGCAATCTTTTTTGGACTATAACTCCGTAAATTCTCTTTCAGCCCATACAACTATCAGAGAATTATGGGAATTGTAGTGCAACAGCTGCTGGGTATACCTAGTGTAAACCTCTCATCGTCTTCCTCATGAACAGAGGCACCTGCCAAATCTCCGCAGAGAGTGCTTATAGTTACAGTCCCCCATATCTAGAATTCGTGCTGCCAGATTGCCACTTTTTCCTGAAACCTTGATACATTATGCATTTTGTGAGACTGAGAATGCCCCCTGTGTATATCAATCAATTACTCATGACCAGCATCCCAAACAGAGTGTTGAAGGGAACCACAAAATTGCTTCCCTGCAGTATGTGGAATTCATACACTGCACGATTCCTGACCTGCAGCATTTTAAATAAACATACTGCCCATCGATATATATATACCTGATATTTGTCCATACAAACCCAATCCCATTATACATCAATGCTGCTCACTGTACTAAAAGCACTTCCCCATGACGTTAACAAGTACCAACCAATTAAACAAATGCAAAAAACTGACACATATGATGTCTAAATAATCCACTAGTGCAGTCCTAGTTTTAATGAAGAGCAAATTGTAATTACTGACATTTCAGGCTGTAGTGTACATTGAAAAGAGCTCCTTTTCTGCTTTCCAAAATGTCTATTATTGCATTTTGCTCTCCATTAAAACAGAGACTGCATTAGTGGGTCCTTCAAACACCATTTGCGCTTGTTTTTAATTTGTTTAAAGTGGTTGGTACTAATCCCAAAGGAGTGCCTCTTTAATCATCAAGAAATGCCAAAGGACCTGCCATGATTAGGAATGTAAATTTACTTGTGCAGCATAGGAATGCTACATACCTCAGTGCTGCAGTTTTGATATGTGGCCCATTATTCTGAACAAGAGATACCTTGGTGGGTCTGATAACACTGTTATGTTGTTTGACGTAGCAGAAGCACATAACCACAATATTCATCTCTCTAACATTGCCAGGTATCACAGCATCTACAAACCAGCTCCTGGTGTGGACGTACATCAGCGACTGCAGCAGAATCCGAAGGACTCTGAAGATCAGGTTCAGGCGCGGCTGGAAATGTATCATGCCAATGCCGAGGATCTGGAGGAGTTTTATCAAGATGTCATTCATGTTAACGCTGATCAAGACCCATACACGGTCTTTGAGTTCATCGAAAGCTGTATTATCAAACCCCTTCCCAAGAGCGTCCCTGGGGATCCCGCGTCTCCCTAATCACTCTCAGCAGATACAGCACAATCTATTAGACTGGATCGGCAAGCCATGTCATAAAGGCTATTTTATTCCGCCATAGAGAGAAATGTCAGATTCCTTTTTCACTTAACTTTCTGAGTGCCAGAAAGTGACACAACATCCTGTCGCAGTGACAGGGGAATTGACTGCTGCTCACTCTTCCCAACCAGGGGGTCAGTCACTTCCATGTTACCTCTTTCCCAGCAACTCTGATCTTTTATTCACATCTTACAAGGCCTTGTGCAAAGATCCAAAAATAAAATATTTTATCATTTTAATTTGCAGTTTACTTTGCCTACCTTTCTAGGGATGGTGTGTGTGTGTCACGTCACTGTAAGCACCATGGTAGTAGTATGGTAGTGGCTGTGATTCTACGAATTTGTCCATGCAAATGAATTTATGTATTTTAAATCCTCATCAACACTTAAATGGTTTGCAGCTCCATCTTGGATGCCCAGGCTCCACCTTCTTTGCCGTGATGTAATTGGGGGAATTCTAGCTTCCCCATTGATCCATCAAAGACTTGTATTTTAGTCTCGTTTACTTACAGGAGCTGCTCTATGTGAGTATTTGTGCACTCACGCAGTCCAAAAGGTTGGATAGCCCTGAAAGTGACTGAAAAGTAATTTTAAAATGTTACGCCAAAATTTAAAAATAGATGTCCGCTATGATTTTGGTTTATGTCTTTTGGCCTAAACTCCCTGCATTTCACACATCATTGAATAAACCAGAAAGTGTTAAAGTAGATTTATGTCCTACAGTTTCTTTGACTGTGGTGAATAATTATGCTAATTATGAATAATTGTTTTTAGTTTTTTTTTTTTTTTTAAATTGTGAATAATTAATGGTATTTTAAATGCTACAGGAGGCTGAAATCAACATACAAAACCACTATGAATATATATACAATTATACTGCGTAATTTAATTACATTTAAAAAAAGGCATACAAGTTGTTGGTTTTTTTTTAAAAAGAGAGAATTTACTGGACGTGTGACAGATATGTGAAACATTATAAAGGGTTATACAATAGAGCAATGTAAACGTACAAGTTATAGATTTGAGGTTGTCTTGGAGCTAACTTTGGATAATGGGCAAAGCCTGTTTTGAAGTTTCTAACTGTAAGAAAATTAGGCACTAGATCCATGAAGTACTTCTCTCAAATATTGGGTTAATTCATGAAATTAGTAATTTTGAAAAATTGACAAAAGGATTGCAAATTGTGAGTAAAAATATTTGATTTTGAGAATTTTTTTCATTATGCTTAACATTTGCAATTCTTTTGTCAGTTCTCCACAATACATCGAGTCTATTCATCTGAGTTATCCACTAAATCAGAAGATGCTGACATTTACACAGAGGACTGTAAATCATACCCGTCTATTCACTAAGCTTGTTTGAGCAGAGCCCTCAAAACAGAGCCGAAACTATTATCCGGGATTGTTGTATCTCTCATGTAGAGGGTGTACCCTCTGTCCCTGAACTCGTCCACCTATTGAACAGCGTTGCAGAATATGTTGGCGCTTTAAAACTAATAATAAAGGTGTGATTTGAGGTGAATTTCAAATTACAGGCCAGAACTTCTTAACCCAGAAAGATAGCTGGCATGGTTAAGTTTTCCAATTCAACTATTCTGGCCTGGAATTTGAAGTATCCTTTAGTGAAGAACCCTGTATATTTCTAATTTGGTAGCCAACATGTAAAATCTTTATACTAACTGTTTATTTAATTTGGATAGAGTGTTCTAGGATAGGAAAAGAGGATAGTTAATTGAAAAACTCCACGGCAGTCCATGCCGATTCCTTGTCCAGTTTTACATTAAATATAAATGTCTATTGATGTACCATACAATCCATGGATCAGGGAGTATATGTGTATATGCAGTGTGTACAGGTTATGCATTACTCATTGTAATCCCTTATTTTAATAAAGAGGGGCCCTGTGCAACCATGTCCAACATAGAGTACTTGTCTTTCTAGAAAATACTATGCAATGCCCTCCTAAGAGTACTTCCTTCAGTTAAGTTGCAATCTGCTTCATTTATTTTGCTGATTAATATTCTTCCTTTTTTTTGTCCACGCTGAGCATATCTGGACCATTGTATTAGTTCCCCTTCGGTGGCTCAGTGGATAATGTGAGCAGCGAAGGGAGGGTTGGGTTGAATCTATCTCATTGACATGCATTCGGTTTGATTCTGCTTGTTGTCTGGGGTCAGTGGTCATGTCCCTAAGGGTTTGTCGCAAACCAAGGAAAATCAACAGACGAGTTAGCATAACATGCTAATACACTTGTACAACGCTCCCTCTGCAACAACGTGATCAATTGGCATTCATTTAATTACCACAAACAAGACAGCTCATTGCATCACTCTGCATCGTAGCTTTGGTTAAAGGAACATTACTGATTTAAAACCGCAACTGGGTGATTAATGAGCTCCTGGGAATTCATTATCAGTCATCAACATGAATCTGTTTTGTTGTGATTTCAAAATATTATTCAATGCTCAGTCTGTAAATGGAATAGGTCTTTCACTAAAACGTGGATTGTCAGGAATTTAAAATTAATTTCAAATTTTAGACCAAAATTGCTGTTGTGGACAAAAATATTAACCCAATTCATATTAGTAAAATGCCTATTTACTCAACATAACTACAATCAGCATTATTCAACTTTCTATGTGCTTTACTTAAAATGGCCGCTAGGGAGTTTCCCCTTTAAAGGACCACTCTAGGCACCCAGACCACTTCAGCCTTATGAAGTGGTCTGGGTGCCAGGTACCTCTAGGATTAACCCTTTTTTTAATAAACATAGCAGTTTCAGAGAAACTGCTATGTTTATACTGAGGGTTAATCCAGCCTCCAGAGCCTCTAGTGGCTGTCTCATTGACAGCCGCTAGAGGCGCTTGCGTGCTTCTCACTGTGAAAATCACAGTGAGAGCATGCAAGCGTCCATAGGAAAGCATTGTAAATGCTTTCCTATGCGACCGGCTGAATGCGCGCGAGGCTCCTGCCGCGCATGCGCATTCAGCCGATGACGTCGCGAGCAAGGAGGAGAGGAGGAGTACAGCTCCCCGCCCGGCGCTGGAGAAAGGTAAGTGTTTAACCCCTTCCTTTCTCCAGAGCCCGGTGGGAGGGGGTCCCTGAGGGTGGGGGCACCCTCAGGGCACTATAGTGCCAGGAAAACGAGTATGTTTTCCTGGCACTATAGTGGTCCTTTAACATTGACTAACACCCTCATTAACAAGATGGCGCTGGAATCTGGGGGAGACCTCCAAGATACCAGTGACATCACACCCGGTAGGAAGAGCACTAAATAAACCACTTAACACCTAACCAATTATTGATGTATTATTCCATGTTATCTCTGACAATGCTTATGATGTAATTTTTTAAGGGGCATGCCATCCCCTCAAAATAAACATTCCTCAAGTTTTTCATTAACCCGAAACCTGTGTCTGGTGTGAATTACTTTAGGAGCGTGCACGCATTATTTCTTTAATTTAGCCGGGGGCAGATAGACAAGATAATCAATTTATTGATTGATTGCCCCTTTCAATAGCTGAATTGAAAGATATCTCCAAGTTTTAAGTTTGGCCGTTTTAAGTTTGGCCGTTTTGGACTGGAATTTCCAGTTCTCTTTGATGTAGGACAGGGGTGCCTGAAAGGGAGATCCCCTCATGTTGTAGAACTACAACTCCCATGATGCTTTGGGTGCCTTTAGAATGCTATTTGAATGACAAGGAATCATGGAAACTTTTTTTTAAGACATCTGAGGATCCGATGGGCACCTGTGACGTAGGACAATTCACACTTTAGTGAATAACTCTGGCAGTTTTTTTTTTGTTTGTTTTTTTACCTGGTATTTATCAGAATACCTATAGGTCCCTAAAGTTACATTGTAACCAGTGCTGGAAATAGTGGCCTCTCACAGTGACTAACCATATTACAATTATAGCTGGCCATACAGCTGAAATACACTATAACCATACTGGCATAGTTTCTTTTTGCCCCAAACAAGATATGCCATTATGCACAGCAACTGCAAAAAATCTATACAATACAGTTATTTACTGCTGTAGGTGCCTCCTTAAAGTCAGCTTATTAAAGTGGTCTGGGTGCAGTGTCCCAGGTCACTTACCCCTGTAAATATAATTAGTGCAGTTTTCAATAAACTGCAGTAATTATCTTTGAGGGTTAAAGGACCACTATAGTGCCAGGAAAACATACTTGTTTTCCTGGCACTATAGTGCCCTGAGGGTGCCCCAACCCTCAGGGACCCCCTCCCACCGGGCTCTGGGGAGAGGAAGGGGTTAAACACTCACCTTTCTCCAGCGCCGGGCGGGGAGCTCTCCGCCTCCTCTCCTCCTCTTCGGCTGAATGTGTATGCGCGGCAGAAGCTGCGTGCGCATTCAGCCAGTCTCATAGGAAAGCATTCATAATGCTTTCCTATGGACGCTTGCATCTTCTCACTGTGATTTTCACAGTGAGAAGCACATAAACGCCTCTAGCGGCTGTCAATGAGACAGCCTTTAGAGGCTGGATTAACCCTAATATAAACATAGCAGTTTCTCTGAAACTGCTATGTTTATAAAAAACAATGGGTTAACCCTAGCTGGACCTGGCACCCAGGCCACTTCATTAAGCTGAAGCGGTCTGGGTGCCTAGAGTGGTCCTTTAACTCCGTCTGGTAGACAGCCACTAGAGTTACTTCTGGGTCGTTAGGCGATTGGTCGCCTGATGCTGGGCGTCCTCACGCTATGCATGAGGACATCCAGCGTCATGTAAAATCCCATAGTTAAGCATTATACATACTTTCCTATCGGGGAAATACTAATGTGAGTGCAGCGATTGTTGCTATGCATGCGCATTAGGTCTTCCCCGCCGGCTGAGGGAGATCCTGAACCAGTGCAGAGGGACATCAGCGCTAAATTCAGGTAAGTGACAGAGGGGGTTTTTAACTCACTAAATCTTCTGTATTCCGTTGACTCCTGAAACTAGTTTGCAACCTTGGTCCTTGGGTTAAATTTTCAAATCTTTTTTTCATTTACTATTTTAAAGAGGACATTGTTTAGTCTGTTCTCAGAGTCCTCAGTTTTAAATTGCAATGCATTGACTTGGTCTCTCCCTATGTAGAAAGGGTAGTCTAGGCATGAAACTCGTCCCTAGAGGGGTATTAGCTACAAAATAGGCCAAAACTATTATCCGGGATTCTTGTATCTCTCATGTAGAGGGAACGTGCAGGCATTTCGGATCAGGACAGCCCTTATGGGTAGGATCAGTCTGATATGCAAAGGTGCAAAGCTTCACTCTGGAATGGCACAAGTGAGCAAAAATTAGTTTTAGTTTTGAGCAGGGATATTCCGAAGGACATGCTATTGCGTTTCTCTAAGCTTTTGTCCATTCTCAGAGCTCTCATATTCCCTGTTTTGTAAGAGAGGGGTATATTAAGAATAGGCCTGGCCTGGAGGCAATCCTTAAAAGACACCCCCCTCCTACATATCCCTACATTTTCACACAATAAAATACATTTTGTTTAGCTATTTCCTTAATCCATAATACTTAGTGACATTTAGTTTATTAGTACCGTGGCACCTTGGAACTCGAACTTAATCCATTCCAGAAGGCTGTTCGAGTTCCGATGTGTTTGGGAACCTAATGAACATTTCCCATATCAATTAATGGAAATTTGATGAATCTGTTCCAGACATATCCTGTACCAGATGTGATCATGTACATGTACATCCAATCCTTCCTGACTACTATATCGCCAACATGCAGTCACTACAGTACTTATGTTCACTTTTACAAAGAAATCTGCCAGCCACCTGAAAGCTTAACGTGGAACAGCGATGTCCCAAAAGATTGCTCAACGGGCACTAACCTCCGTCATGACCCCCAAGATGCTGCCACTCATGTGGACAGGACTCATCCAGTCATATTTTCTAGCTGTCAAAGGCAGTGCCCATCGAAGTCGAAACCCCGACACAAGCAGCTCGTCCACCGTATCCATCAACCTCTCCAGAATACAGCCTGACTACTGATACTCACGTAGAACCAGCAGGTATCACTGCTTAAGATTACCAACGAGATTACCATAGAGCCACATGATGTGTTCGGGAACCGAGGATCGTTCGCGTACTGAGACCTTTTTAAGGCAAATTTTTCGTTCGAATTACAAATTGTTCGTGAACAGGAACGTTCGAGTGCCGAGGTTCCACTGTAATTCCCTTTTTTTTCCTTGTAAACACTCCTGAGGCCTCTACATATTTGCCCCACAGACCCTTCTTCAATTTTACACATCTCTGTCTATGTCATGTCTATGCTTTAATCTTTGGGTAGGTTGAGTGATACAAATCTCTACAAGTGTCGATCTGCCACATTGTACTAAGGGGAAAGAGAATGAATTTGTGGAAAGAAGGTGTAATCCTATGCTTTTAGAGCATAGGATTCATTAGATGCATCTAGGTTCCTTGAGATTCGTTCAATGACAGATAATTTTTTCCGTATTATAAATAAAAGAAAAAACTCTTAAAGGGACACTGTAGTAACCAAAACAACTTTTGCAGTTTTTGTGTATAGATCATACTTCTGAAGTCTCACTCCTCAATTCTCTGCCATTTAGGCAGGGCCGGCCCATCCATAGAACAGACTGGGGCAATGACCCCAGGTGGCATTTTAACAGGGATGGCAATGCCGCTCCACACTGCCTCTGCCTCCGGTCTGCAGCTCCGCTGTGTGCAGATCATGTGATGGAAGGCTCATGAGCTCCTAAAGAAGTGCCGCGGGTTACCATGGCAATGCTTTAATCAGAGCTCACAAGAACTTGGTCTGCAGCTCACACTCGGTGAAGCTGCAGACCTGTAGAGCCAGCCACTGGACTACCAGGGAATGGGGAGCACTGATAAACAAGGTTTAAACAAGGCACAGCCTGCCCCCACCTCACAGCCTGTCACCCCCCTCACCACTGTCATCCTCATACCCTGCCGCCCCCACTGTCACTCTGTCACTGTCACCTTCACACTTTGCCCCTCACCACTGTCACCCTCACAAACTGCCCCCACGGTCACCCTGACACGGTCACCCTCACACCCTGCCCCCCTTCAATATTCCCCCCACACTGTCACCTTCACATCCTGACCCTCACCGCTGTCACCCCCACTGCCACCCTCATAACCTGTAAACCTACTGTCACCCTCACATCCTGCCCTCATACTGTCATCATACCCTGCCACCCACCACTGTCACCCTCACGTCCTGCCCCCAACTGTCAATCTCTCATCTTGTCCCCATACTGTATTCTCACACCCTGCAATCCACCACTGTCAACCTCACATCCTGCCCCCCACCACTGTCATTGTCACCCTCACATACTGCCTCCCACCACTGTCACTCACATACTGCCTCCCATTACTGTTTCTCTAACACACTGCCACTACCACACCCTGCCCCCACAGTCTTCATACACACTGCCCTGTCCTACACACTGTCTACTTATACTGTCACCTTCCTACACACTGTCCCTCCTATACTGTCACCTTCCTACACACGGTCCTGCCATTCCAGCCCAGAGGTAAGAGGCAGGAAGGGTGGATAATCCCAATTTAATTTAAACTGCTCACCCCTACCAGCATTTATCCAACTTTACACACACACACACACTGCATCCACCACACACACCCTACATCCACTACACATACTGCCTTCACTATGCACACACAGACAATATATTCAATACACACACTGCATACAATACACACTACATCCATGACACAATTACAGACGCAGCATCCATGACACAGACACTGCATTCACTAAACAAACACACACTGCTTCCAGTATACACACACAGACAATATATTTAATATACACACTGCATACAATACACACTACATCCATGACACAATTACAGTCGCAGCATCCACAACACACAGATGCAGCATCAGCGACAGACAAACGCAGCATCTATGACACACAGACACTGCATTCACTACACACTGAATATGATATACACACTGCATCCACTACACAAACAGACATTGCATTCACTATATACACTGCATAACATAATGGATGTTGGCGTGCTTCTGGTGGAAGGCAGGGGTGGGGGACAGCATTTCATCCTTGGACCCAGGCAGCACAATGTCTTGGGCAGGCCCTGCATTTAGGAGTTAAATCAGCTTTGTTTCTGTTTATGCAGCCCTAACCGCACCAACCCTGGCTGTGAATGATACAGCCTCCATGAAAAAATGGTTTAATTTTCAATCAGATGTTAATGTTCGTTTTTATTTCCTGCTCAGTGAACTGAACTTTAATCGCAGATAGCTATTAACAGTGCAAGAGATAAGAAAGTCTAAATTAAACAGACTGTGCAATAAAGGAAGTGTAAACATCAGAACTCACTTTACAGGAAATGTTTAGGAAGGCTGTGTAAGTCACATGCAGGGGACTTGGCTAGGGCTTTTAACTCCTACATGGAAGAAAATTAAGTAGAGACTCCAGTGGCATGACCTATACCACAAGAGTGCTTTATGAAGCTAAAGTTGTTTTGGTCACTATATTGCCATTTAATGGCTTCTGAAAGATTTAAAAAAAAATTAAAATACAATTTCAATATATTATGAACTGTTTATTGCTGTAATTTGTTTAGTTCTACTTTTTTTTTAATTCTTTATTTTTACTGTGCAATAAAGATTACATGCAATCTTGCAGTGCCACGATAGCAGAGACAGGCATAGTGACGTATACAATATCATGACAGGATTGTACTGCATATTTTTTGTACGTAAACAGGATGATGCTATTAATGCTTGAGGATGCTTAAATTGGATTAGTAGTTTAAGGTCATGCAAGCATACAGGCACAATAGGTATAATGTAGATAACATGTAAGGAACATTAACTTTGCTTGGACGCCATGGATGTTACTCACATGGATGCTGAATAAAGTAAAACATAAATTAATGAATTATACAGTTAGAAAAGATGCAGGATAGAATAAAATTAAATAACCACTGGGTTGCACCCGCACAATAAATCGAGCAGAGGGAGAAACTAGGCTAGCAAAGTTATTGCTTATGGTGGAGCAGCAAGTCAATTTATCCCAAGCCCTTAACATAAAGCTTGACCCTAAGGGACCTGCATGAGGCTGTTTAACCGACACCTATCTGCGGCAGGCTGTCGACCTTGGAAGCATGAGTCCACTGGTTTCTTGGTGGGGCCAGTATCGTATTGCGGTTTGGTGGCTGGGTATGGGCCGCAACATGGGCCGCAACGTCGGAGCTTGGGTCTCTCCGGGTTTCTGTGCACCAGGAAGAGCCTTCCCTGTTTGCGTCAGGAGCTTTCATCTCCTTTTTTCTGGGTTGCTCGCCCGAGGTATCTTCGGGTTGTGAGGGTACTGTAGGCTGCGTATGCGGTTGGTGGGCTTCCCTTTCTTGCAGGTACCTGACCTAGACTCGCGTCGGCCCTCCAGGGTACGAGCTGGGATCCCTGGATCTGCAGGCAGGATGGTATCCTGGGTACGTTTACGGATGCGTTCCCAGAAGGCTTGGCACACCATATCAAATCTGTTCTCGAAGTTTGCTCTCCAGGCTTGGATCTCAGGGCTTTCCGAGAGGGTCGTGCGTTCAGGCTCGGCGGCAATCTTAGGCGCACCATGCAGCGGTTGATGCATTGAGAGATGCCCCTCTTGTAGGTAAGGCTTCCCCAGTGGGGACCGGGATATCCCCCGCTGGTCCAGAGGGGGGGTAGCTGGCCGGCAGGAGGTTTGTCGTGTGGAGCGATCCCCATGTCGGGAGATCGGCCGCCTCCCCCAGGCATCAGGTCACCACACATGCTAGGCCTCACAGCCATATGCCTCGGTTTCTTTGCTGTCGGCACAGATTTCCCGGTGTTGCTTTGTTCCCACTCTTTACCGGTCAGTCCTCCGTGGTTGGTTTGCTGTAACCAGCGTAGGATTTTGTAGTTTTAGAGTTCTTTGTGCTGGATCGTGTTGGCTGCCATCTTGGCTGCCAGCAGGGCCAGATTAAGAGCCCAGTGGGCCTGGTGCTGATAATTATGACGGGCCTAATTACAGAATCATATCGACCAAAAACAGTAAAACACTCCAAAGCATCATGTATCTGATGGTGCTGGAGAGAAAGAAAACAGCAGCTATAAGAAAACACATACCCTAGGCTAATCTCTCTCTAATTTATGTTTTCATCTTTCAAGTAAATCCATAACCCCTAACAGCAGTGTCCAGTCAGGCAGGAAGTCAATGGGCATGGTAAAAGGGTGTGCCACTGACACAAATCACGTAATCTGCCAAAAGGGGCGAACATGCCCAAAAAGAGGCCATGTCTGCTCAAAGAATTAGAAGGCCAGCCTGGCATGAATGCATGTCAGGCTGCCTGCCAATCATGCAGCTGGCCAACTAAGGGCATACTGCAGGGATTGCAGAATTATTAGGCAAGTTGTATTTTTGAAGGAGTCACTTACGGAGCCAATAGCTTATAGGCTCCAACCCACGTGAGTGGTTTCAACCAATTGCTACCATTATTCATTTTTTATTTTTTGTAAACCATCTGCACTATATTCTCTCTTTTTGTTGTTTTACTTTGTATGTACATTTGGACACATTGTATCACTATGTTGGAGGGGTGAGTATACCCCCTCATTATTTATATATATATTCAATATAGCGCTCCACTTGCTGGTATATTGTTTATACCTTTTTTTCTTGTATTTTGCATTTTCTTGTATTTTGCACTTCATTGTGGATTAAGGTATTCCACTTTTTGTGTTGAGCTGCTTTTATTCAGGCACTTTAGTATATCACTCACTATCTCAGTAAGGGATAGTTTTTGTTTTTAAGTTGTATTTTTGAGGATTAATTTTATTATTGAACAACAACCATGTTCTCAATGAACCCAAAAAACTCATTACTATCAAAGCTGAATATTTTTGGAAGTAGTTTTTAGTTTGTTTTTAGTTATAGCTATGTTAGGGGGATATCTGTGTGTGCAGGTGACTATTACTGTGCATAATTATTAGGCAACTTAACAAAAACAAATATATACCCATTTCAATTATTTATTATTACCAGTGAAACCAATATAACATCTCAACATTCACAAATATACATTTCTGACATTCAAAAACAAAACAAAAACAAATCAGTGACCAATATAGCCACCTTTCTTTGCAAGGACACTCAAAAGCCTGCCATCCATGGATTCTGTCAGTGTTTTGATCTGTTCACCATCAACATTGCGTGCAGCAGCAACCACAGCCTCCCAGACACTGTTCAGAGAGGTGTACTGTTTTCCCTCCTTGTAAATCTCACATTTGATGATGGACCACAGGTTCTCAATGGGGTTCAGATCAGGTGAACAAGGATGCCATGTCATTAGATTTTCTTCTTTTATACCCTTTCTTGCCAGCCACGCTGTGGAGTACTTGGACGCGTGTGATGGAGCATTGTCCTGCATGAAAATCATGTTTTCTTGAAGGATGCAGACTTCTTCCTGTACCACTGCTTGAAGAAGGTGTCTTCCAGGAACTGGCAGTAGGACTGGGAGTTGAGCTTGACTCCATCCTCAACCCGAAAAGGCCCCACAAGCTCATCTTTGATGATACCAGCCCAAACCAGTACTCCACCTCCACCTTGCTGGCGTCTGAGTCAGACTGGAGCTCTCTGCCCTTTACCAATCCAGCCACGGGCCCATCCATCTGGCCCATCAAGACTCACTCTCATTTCATCAGTCCATAAAACCTTAGAAAAATCAGTCTTGAGATATTTCTTGGCCCAGTCTTGACGTTTCAGCTTGTGTGTCTTGTTCAGTGGTGGTCATCTTTCAGCCTTTCTTACCTTGGCCATGTCTCTGAGTATTGCACACCTTGTGCTTTTGGGCACTCCAGTGATGTTGCAGCTCTGAAATATGGCCAAACTGGTGGCAAGTGGCATCGTGGCAGCTGCACGCTTGACTTTTCTCAGTTCATGGGCAGTTATTTTGCGCCTTGGTTTTTCCACACGCTTCTTGCGACCCTGTTGACTATTTTGAATGAAAAGCTTGATTGTTCGATGATCACGCTTCAGAAGCTTTGCAATTTTAAGAGTGCTGCATCCCTCTGCAAGATATCTCACTATTTTTTGACTTTTCTGAGCCTGTCAAGTCCTTCTTTTGACCCATTTTGCCAAAGGAAAGGAAGTTGCCTAATAATTATGCACACCTGATATAGGGTGTTGATGTCATTAGACCACACCCCTTCTCATTACAGAGATGCACATCACCTAATATGCTTAATTGGTAGTAGGCTTTCGAGCCTATACAGCTTGGAGTAAGACAACATGCATAAAGAGGATGATGTGGTCAAAATACTCATTTGCCTAATAATTCTGCACTCCCTGTATGCAGACAGCACCCTGAGCTTGGCATAAATGCATCTAATGATGCGCTCACTCAACGCTTTCTGAGGACTGCCCCCTAGCACTCGCTGGTCCACTTGTCTCCTTACCTTCTTACTAGCAGGCAGAAGCTCCTGGTATATGGTCTGGGATAGAGAAAAGCTGTATGTAGTGAGTGTAGAAGAAAGGGAACATGCCACAGTGTTAGAGAGACCAAAGTCAGCATTACCTTAAAGGATCACTATAGGGTCAGGAACACAAACATGAATTCATGACCCTATAGTGTCAACACCACCATCTAGCCCCCCTGGGCCCCTCATGCCTCCATAAATATAGCAAAATCTTACTATATTCAAGCCTGAAGCTTTAACTCTGCATGCTGTTAGACTCATACAAACAAGCAGTCTGCTGACATCATTAGAAGTGGTGGCCTGATCCAATCACAGTGCTTCCCCATAGGATTGGCTGAGACTGACAAAGAGGCAGATCAGGGTCAGAGCCAGCATGATTCAAACACAGCCCTGGCCAATCAGCATCTCCTTATATAGATGAATTTAATTAATTAATCTCTATGAGGAAAGTTCAGTGTCTGCATGCAGAGGGAGGAGACACTGAATGTTTGGATGCATTTTAGGCAACCATGACCCAGGAAGGATCTCTAACAGTCATCTAAGGAGTGGCCAGTGAAGTTATCACTAGGATGTAAAGTAAACACTGCATTTTCTCTGAAAAGCAGTGTTTACAGCAAAAAGCCTGACAGTAATGATTCTACTCACCAGAACAAATTCAATAAGCTGTAGTTGTCCTGGAGACTATAGTGTCCCTTTAACTATATTCATTGTCAGCCAGTCCACACAAGTTTTGTTCCCATACATCCCTCTTAAGTTTCCATACTTCAGTAAGAGTATGTGAAAAGTAGTTAGGGTTGCCACCTTTCTTGGAAAAACATACCGGCCTTACTAATTTGTATAATTAAATATGTATGGGTGACATCACATGATGTAAATCACAAGGAGTGACATAAGAGAAAATGCTGTAGAATCACCAAAAAACTACTTAGTTTGATTCTGCTGTATAGATGGATTCCTCCCAGTGCCCCCATGTCTCCCAGTGCCCCCATGACTCAGTGCCCCCATGTGTCGATTACTCCAGGTCTCAGTGTTCCTATGTATCAGTGTCTCAATGCCCCATGTCTCCCAATGTCCCTTAGTGTCTCAGTGTCTGGGTCATTATGTCTCCCAATGTCCCTTAGTGTCTCAGTGTCTGTGTCATTATGTCTCCCAGTGTCCCTTAGTGTCTCAGTGTCTGCCATAATGTCTCCCAGTGCCCCTTAGTGTCTCAGTGTCTGCTATAATGTCTCCCAGTGCCCCTTAGTGTCTCAGTGTCTGCCATAATGTCTCCCAGTGCCCCTTAGTGTCTCAGTGTCCCCATGTCTCCTTGCAGCCTTTCCCCCATCCCTTACTTCCCTGAGCTATAGGCTGTCTCTGCAGGGTGGGAGTTGCTGTCTAGACTCTTTGTAGCTGCACCCCTGCAGATCAGTGAGTATAGATAGGCAGGGAGGGATATGCTGGAACTTCCTATCCCTGCCTCTCTCCATACACAGTGACCCCTACTGGCCAGTGCTGGTATTGCAGAGTAATCTCTTGTTTATACTGAGAAAAATACCAGCATTTGTATTGCCAGTATCACTGCAATATTGGCACCAGCCAGGCAGCCTCAAATACTGGCTGTGCCAATAAAATAAAAGCCAGGTGGAATCCCTAAGAGTAGTGTGTGAAAAAAAAAAAAATGTAAAAAAAAAATATTTTTTTTTTTTTAAAATCAATGGGCCTATTCCATGGGCCTGGGCCTGGGCCTGGGCCTGGAGCTGCAGCTCCATCAGCCCCTATGTTAATCCGGCCCTGGCTGCCAGGCTCCGCCCCCTAGTTCTACTTTTTTTATGAAAGTAACAATCCACTGGCATTCTTCCCTTCGTTTTATTACTTACTGTCAGGTATAGCATGGCATGTATTTCGTCGCCGGAACCCACTTCCGGGTTCACGGCGCTCAGCCCCGCCCTTTTTTCTGACGCGGTCCCTCCACGATACTTAGG